TGTCAAAAAACAACAAAAAATGTTGAACCTCCATATATACTAACGTGGCAAGTCATAACAAGCTTTCCTGTTTATATGGTGGAATAATTTTTTTTTCAATTTTAAGACCTATGTTTATTTGAAAAAAAAATTCCTTAATTCTAATGATTTCTATTTCACTCTGTAAAACAGCTTTGCTTGTTACTGAATCTAATAGTATAAAGGAAAAAATTCAATTTTTTTTCTTTAATTAATAAACTCAACAAATTCAGAAGCGACTATAAAAGTTCCTTTACTTATAGAAATCTACATTATCAGCGAGTAACATGGACTATATTTTATTTTCTCTAACCGTGCGAAGCCGGGGCGACTCACTACTATATAAGGAAGCATTTTCAATGTAACAAAACTATGACCATGCACTTAAATTATTCTACGCATAGAAAATTCTATAAAGCGTATTCCGCAATTCATATTTCTTTCTATTGAACCTTTTTCTATTTCATCTAATCAATTGAAAATCAATCTAACCGAAATTACAGTATCGTAATAACGTTTAGTAATACATTAAGTAATTGGTTGGAAAATGCACTGCTTCTATTAGTTTATGAAGAGTTTTTTTTTTTTTTATAAATGATAATGGAATGGTAACCCCGCATTGCGCTATCGGTATACACCGGCGGGGCACCAGTACACTAGGGGATGATAAGTGGAAATGAAAGAGCAGGTCAGTCAGCCCATCGTGATAAATACACCTGAAATTCAGCACAATGGTTTCCAAGGGTGGACGCTGGTTTTTATTATTAATTCTGCAGAAACTTGGATCCAGAAGAATAAAATTGAAATGAAAAGACAAAAACAACATTACAGATGAAATAAAATTAAAAAAAAAAAAACAAAAAAGTACTTTACAGTAATGAAATAGTTTCTACTTCGATGTTTTTGTTCGTATTGAATACCTACTCTTCATAAATTGGGAGGAAGGGATTGTTAGTAATGCGAACTCTCAGTCTCATTGCTAGCAATATACTCTGACAGGTCGACCTCCACGTGGTCCCCCTGGAAACCATCTTGCTGAATTCCAGGTGTATTTATCACATTGGCCTAAGTGAGCTGCCTTTTAATTATCACCTACTCATATCATCTCTCACTGGTGCTCCGCCATAGTATACCGTTAGCGCAGGCGGGGTTACCATTCCATTGTCAATTTATTAAAAAAATATACGAAACTCTTTAACAATATACAGACTGACGAAATTAATTTTCCTCCATCAAACTTCACTACAGTAGATACGTATATAATTTATTTCCATACAGTCATCGTTATACGTTTGTACAATAGTCAACACAGTTGTGAAATACGTCGGTAGGGGAGCGTGCGCGGCTTGCCACATACATGCCGGCAGGTGGGTACGTTATGTAACACAGGGCGTGCAGCCTTGACATCTGTCTGTTGCGGACGGTATGCGTATGGCTCCACAATTGTTTGGTTGACCAACAAAAGCACTTGCGAATGAGGACGTTACTGCACCAATTATAAATTTCGACAAAATAATCAAGAATTACGAGTACTTAGAATTCTGCGTGACTTACCTATTTTAATGAGTTTTTTTATGCAACTTAGAATGGCAAACAAGCTGACGGCCCACCTGGTGAAAGGTGGTAATCGTCGCCTATAGACATGATCAGTACCATGGGCATAACAGAGTATACTGTTTCGCCCATGATACCTCCCAATTCGTTGCCATTCCCACTCAAATGTTACTTCTCTGTACCCTGTAAATTCACTGCCATATCCCACCCTTCAAACCGAAACACAACCATACAAACATAACTGCTTCTCGATGAAAACACGAATGGGAAAGAGATGCCCAAGCAAACGACTTTTGTACAGTCTCCCTCTAGTAGTTGAGCTGAGTTTACGGTCCTTCCCTAAGTCATTTCAGAGTCATTACATTACGGTGCCATTGACTTACTTAAATATACTTGTAAATGCTATAAAAATTAATATAATAACATTTCATTACAGAGGAATAACACCTGAGCCCTTAGGAATGGCAACGCATTGGGGGTATCATGGGCGAAACAGTATACTCTGTTATGTCCATGCTACTGCTCATGTCTATAGGCGACGGTTACCACTTTCCATCAGGTGTACCGTCAGCTTGATTGCCATTCTGAGTTGTATAAAAAAAATTTCACCGATAAAAAAATCTTACTGTCATTCTCTAACTACGGCCTCTGTATCAGTGTATACAAATCCACATACACAAATATTTTAAGTAAACACGAAATATCGGCCCAGAAATTAGAACTACCTTTTGTGGTAGACCAACTGCACTAGTATATGCGTTCAATGTAGAACTACTTATTTAAATGTTTGTAATGTCTTTTCACCCGACTTCACAAAGAAGGAGATTCTCAATTTAGTTGTATTTTTTCATGCTTATTACCTCATAACTCCGTCTGTTGTAAACCGATTTAGAAAATTCTTTATTTGTCTGAAAGGATATATGTACTTACAGATTGGTACTAGAGAACTTTTATCAAATCAAATTAGTAGTTCAGTTTAGACGACGTACTCCAAAATTATACCACTTTTATAGTTCCACTAGTGTTTTTTATATTTATTTACATATCAAAATTATAATTATAAAACATTACATGAAGAGATACAAGAATGGTATAAAAAAAATTCAAATCATTCTTTTTTCTTTTTTTAAATATACTATATGGCTTCTTTCCAGCCATGACTAAGTTTTTAAATCGAAATTACTAATTTTGCTCCAAATGACGTCAGCTTTTCTGTGAAACACTGTTTCTGTGTATATTATAAAATGAATTCTTATATCTATCTCAGGCACCAGTCTCTCACATTTTTTTTTTTTTATAATTTGTTTACTTTAATATAAGCATGTCTCATTGTATTTCACTGAGATGAATTGTGAAGAGAAAATAAATCTATTATTATTATATTATAAAATGGATTGGATGACAATACTGAAAATTTAGTATATTTATTATAAATTTCTATAAATATTACTGTACAATACCACAGAGTGTATAATAATTTTAGATGAAACAAAGAAATTAAAGTTTCAAAATATTTGTACCAACAAGTAATTTAGCAACCAATTGAATTGTCTCGACAGTTGTAAACAATACCCGTTAGACAATAAAGTAATAATGTTTGAATTTTATATTATATTTTATTTTCAACACAAAACGTGTTGGTGTTGTGTAAAGGTTTTTGTTTATCGACATACGTTATAAATACTGCATGCTTTTAGCTCTCACGGCAATTAATTGAAAGGATATTTGGTAATCACTGATTTAACAATCCATAGATATATGTGAACGAAAACAATGAGGCCATATTAAAACATCGACATTAAATAAATAATTAATGTGCTTTAAGATATTTATTTTGTCAAAGAAATACAATTCGACATGAGAAAATACAAAGTTTTACAAATATGATGATATAAAAATTATAATTATTTAATTACCATTCAGACTATTGATTTAATATGAATATTATAAAATCCCCAGAATAGATTAAGGCCTTCGACAGTTATATGTACTTGGGCAGAAAGAACTAAACCCACGACATTGTCAAAGTTCAAAAATTATTTTGGAACCATTGTCTCATTTTTAATAATTTAGTAGTTTGAGCTCTCTCTCTCTCTCTCTCTCTCTCTCTCTCTCTCTCTCTCTCTCTGTCTCTCTCTCTCTCGACATCTCTCTCTCACATGACATCGATATATGTAATGATTATTTTTATTGTTTTCCTTGTCGCCTCGTCTGCAGCGAAATAATCAATCGAAAGTCCGGTTTAGAAGGTCACAAGCAGGTTTCGATGACATAAAAATCGCATTTATAAGCCACAGTGCTTTTTATGCAGTAGGTAATTACGACAAATATAAGTAGATTCTTTTTATTGTGTCAATGGTAAAATATTTAAAAACTTAACCTTTTTTTATCTGTTATATTTTTTTTTTTAACAACTTAGAATGGCAAACAAGCTGACGGCCCACCTGATAGAAAGTGGTAACCGTCGCCTATAGACATGAGCAGTACCATGGGCATAACAGAATATACTGTTTCGCCCATGATACCCCCCATGCGTTGCCATTCCTGAGGACTCAGATGTTATTCCTCTGTACCCAGTAAATTCACGCCATATCCCACCCTTCAAACCGAAACACAGACATGCAAACACAACTGCTTCACGGTTGAAACACGAATGGGACAGACGTACCCAAGCAATCGACTTTTGTACAAAGTCTCCCTCTAGTAAATGGTATATTAACTGTCCACTGATGACGGTGGATCATAGGTCTTTTTTTATACCACTGAGGTGCTAAACAAGAATACGGCCCACCTGATGGTAAGTGGTTACCGCAGCCTATGAACACCTGCAATACCAGAGGTATTACGCGTGCGTTGCCGACCCTAAAGAAACCTCTTTAACCCCCTTTTGAAGAACCCCATATTGTAGTCTCTTGGGAAAGGGAGGGAGCTCATTCCACAACCTGAGTGTTCGTGGGAGGAAACATCTCTGAAACCGCGCAGTACGCGACCATTGAGGCTGTAGGACATGAGGATGAAATCCCTGTCGATGGCAAACCCTTTCCTCATAAAGGAGGGGGTTTACCAATAGTTGCCACGCTCCACAGACGGATTGACAACCGCAGTTTTGTGATATTTTAAGAGGAACGCAGCTGCCCGTCCCTCGACTATTAAGTTCCGTTAGTCACCTCTTATGACACCCACGGGATAGGAATGAGTGGCCCATTCTATGCCGGGATCAGATGGCACAAAATGGTTATATAAGAATGCCATTTATAAATGAATGTCTAAAATTCTAAATAGAGTCTTGCGTTTATTAATTAATGTGAAACACATTCTTCACATATCATCCATTTCTGGTATCCTGTCATAACAAAAACTAATATAGGCAAAATAGTAATTCTGTTGTCATTAATTTAATAATTAACATGATCGTGTATGGTCCTTAGATTGTGACAGCAGCGACTCAGGCCACCTTTACGAGAGTCTGGAGCCGCCTGCGCAGGCCGCGATGCCGCACCCGCCGCTGCCCCTCGACGACGACTTCGACTCCTTCGACAGTGACTCCGATGATGACTACGACACTCACAAGGTGAGGAGAAAAATGTCATTTCATTCTCTCACACACACGCATTCACAAACTCACACTTAAGTGAATATGAAGAGGGTTTATTTTTAGCTTACCCATGTGTGTCGCAATTATTTGCCAATTTTCAAAAACAATTGAACAGTTTACAAATTTTCAGTTACGGCTTAATAAGAATATTATTGCATGACTAAAAAACAATTATATTTTTCTTTTTTTTTTTCAAATTTCAATGTTGGCAAAACTCTTTTGCATCAATTTTAAGAAAAAAGCTAATATTTTTTTACATTGCGATTTATGTGGTGTTCTTATATCCACCTAAGAAATATATTCCATACCCCTAGATAAAAAAAAAAAACATCTACATTAATTATCCCATTTTCATGTGTATTTTTAAAGAGTAAGATTTTTATGAGAATTCGAGACAGTATCATATTTATTTTATATTGGTTTTTATTTTTATTTCAATATCAAGATTTTCTTGTTACAAAATAGTGTTAACATAATAATATTATTACAGAGTACGCAAGCGCCGCCGACGCTGCCAGCATCGCGGTTGCCGTCCCCGCCTACCGAGAGAGGGCAGTACACGCTCACTAAAATCGCCAGCGCCGCCCAGCGGAAGATGAGACAAATTAAAAGAAACCTCACTAAGAAGTATATAGGTAAGGGCTAAATATTGTATACTAAAAAATTACAATAAATATTTAAATATGTGCATTAGTGACTATATATAGTACAAAAAATATTATGAAAGCTAGACTTCTCATTCTAATAAAATTTTATGATCATTGTGAAAGTATTATAAAAATGAAATACCTCTATCTGTCTGTCAATAAAATCTCAAATCAACATGTAAATATGCCGCCACTTAGCACTGTGTGAACTTTCACAGAATAACTAAAAATATTTTAATTAATTTTGTAAATCTTTAATAAATCAATAAATAGGAAATAAATAATATAAATCGTGTAAATATCTATAATTTAACAAAACTACAACAAAAAAAAGATTCCCATACCGGGAATTGAACCCGGGCCTCCTGGGTGAGAGCCAGGTATCCTAACCACTAGACAATATGGGATGAAAAGAAACCATTTGAAATTTAAATTATCTTTCGGAATGACCTATTTACGATTTATTTTTATTTTAGTTGCAATGGACGGTAAATCTTTAACAAAAACATTTACAAACAATCAGAACAATACGTACGACACAACGAAAAAAACGAAGACGCCAATATACGCTAACTGTGAGAAGCCGGAGATACAACACGTGTACAGCAATGTCAACTTTACCGACTCCCGGCCCGTACTCCATAAGACTGAGAATCCCGTGATAAAAGTCAACGGGACTTTTAAAGAGGAACTAAAGACTGTTATAGGGGAGAAGAGGCTTAGTAATGGGGACGTGCCGCCTCCTTTACCAGACAAGCCCCCTCCAGAGAAGCCCACGACCCCTACAAGTGAGAATAGCAAGAAGGACACTGGAACTCTGTCTAGGAAGACCTACTTCTCGTTCAAATCTAGATTCAGACGGGCGTCGTCGTTAGCGGTCGATATAAACACAGACGTGCCTAGTGCGTTGAAGATCACGAACTCAACTTTTTATTTGACTGATTCCATGGATGGCGACTCCGGTTTTAGCAATTGGTGAGATTATTTATATATATATATATTATAAATATAATAAACCATCATCCTTCACTGGTGTCCCGTCAGCGTATACTGATAGCGCAGGCGGGGTTACCATTCCATTATCATCCATTAAGTAGATACTTTGAACTTAAAAATATAATAAACATCTGCTTGGATACCTCTTGTTCCCATTCGTGTTTCAGCCGTGCAGCAGATGCGTTTGCATGGCTGTGTTTCAGTTTGAAGGGTGGGATATGGTAATGAAATTATAGTGTACAAAGACATAACACCTTAGTCCTCAGGAATGGCAACGCATGAAGGGTATCATGGGCGACACAGTATACTCTACATATTATGTATCCATGGTACTGTTTATGTCTGTAGGCGACAGTTACCACTTTTCATTAACCTTCAGCTCCTTTGCCATTCTTAAATGGATAAAATAAAAAAAAAAAAACAAAGAATTATTTTTATAATTTAATTCCATTTCATTCAGATAACGTATAATACTTGTACAAAAAAAATTAAACCTACTACCTTATTATAAAAATAAAGTCAATATAAGACCAAACTTACTATAAATTATCAAAATTGATATTGAAATTTGTTTATGATTAAATAATGTGTAATAACACATATGTAAGTTGCTGTAACCACGATTCACTAAATGAATTGTGTCCCACAGCAGCGACGGACAACCCGGCAGCACGGAGACGCTGTCCCCGGGCGGGGCGAGTGGGACAAGCGGAGTGGGCCGCCGGCGAGACGGTAGGACCCGTCCCTGGGCCGAGTCGTCACCGTGCCTGGCGCTCGAGCGACCCGGCGTCCCGCCGCCCCCGCCGCCCGGACCTCACCCCGCCACTGACCTTAGCGCTGTCAACGAAGGTACCCCCCGCCCTCGATCCGCACAGACGTCAACTTAAAAAAATTAATTAGTTCTAATTTTAAATCGGTATTCTTAAAAATATATTATAAGGATTCTAAATTTAAATTGATAATTTAAAGAATTACCTAGTTTAAAATTCAAAAATGTTCATTTACAATGTTATAAATATAAATTTAGTTTGTTATCATATCCTTTTCGACAAAACTGTATACCAAGTTAATTATTTTATTTTTAATAAACCATGTTATTATAAGAGAGTTTTTAATATTTAAATAATATTATGAGAAATATAAAATTTATATTTTTGAGAAACAAATCCTCTCAAAAATATAAGATTTCTAGTAGAAATAGTGAAACATCAAATGGTATTTTGCTTTAGTGATAAATACTCGTACAATAATAATAAATCCTTATAACAGGAATGTATTGATAATAATAGTTTTTATAAATATTATAAAATAAAAATGCATGGATTAACACAAATTGAGGTAGTGTGCATCCCAATCTCAGACAATATATCAAAAAGTAATCGAAATTTATAAAATAAAAAATATGTAGCTGCTGGCGTGCATGGTGTTTATCTTTTAACTTATGTATTTCTATATTTTTCTTTTAGAAGGAATAGATTTTTTCTTTAAATTTTCAAAACTTCGGGATAAAATTAATAGCTTAAAAGTTTTTTTTTTCAAATATCTACCTCCAAACCATTATTATTTAAAAAAATTGTTTGACCAAAGGAGAGATCACTTTATTAAATGGCAGAAGTATCTGGCGATGTGTGTGTGTGTGTGTGTGTGTGTGTGTGTGTGTGTGTGTGTGTGCGTGTGTGTGTGTGTGTGTGTGTGTGTGTGTGTGTGTGTGTGTGTGTGTGTGTGTGTGTGTGTGTGTGTGTGTGTGTGTGGCGGGATTGTACAAATAATTTCTCATAATTTATTCGACGATAAAATAAATGTAAATTAATAAAATCTGGAATCATATAGAGTGTCCCACTATAAATGCTTAGTCAGTAAAAATCTGTTAAAACAGATTTTTATAATAAAGTTTATTATATTTTTTTATAATAAACTTTTAAATTAAGTAACATTCAAAAGGTATAATCGTGTATTAATATGCTAAATTACAGACTATTGTCGCGTGAACTATAATTATGTTTTATTTAATATATTTATTACAATATAAATTAAAATAAAGAGATTGAAAACACCACGCATCAACTAGTAGATGGATGTCTGTTTTATTTGAGACGTTTCTGCGTTTTCTTACAACTCGCACTCCATCTAGATGATGTGATCTAAAACTAAAATAGGTATGTTTTATTTCCGTTAGAAAATAGATTAGTTTGTTTAATCTTCCGATTGACACATATGACAATGTAAACAACACTCATTCAAACTGTATATATAAAATTACATTTCCTTAAAATACACAGTACTTGTCTCAGCGGTAGTTCCACATTAGTGTCATAATGGCTATGACGCATTCACTCGTCATCGATATCATGAATTGAGTTCTTCCCTGAATGTGGCGAATGTACCCATTCGCGTCACGTATCCGTTGAAAAATCCCTGTATTTCACAAATTAATAATTCTACGTATAAAATGCGTAATACTTAACATTGTAACAGAGTATATGCGTAATATATTATAATTATACCAGTTGCCAAAGAAAGAGCGGGGTAATGTTCTTCGAGCGTATTTATATATGATGATAATTAAAGATAATATACGTTTACATAGATTGTCTTTCTACAAAGAAAAAAAATATTCCAACTTATTCTTGTGTGAAATCATTTTTGTCCTAAATCACACGTACGATATACAAGATTCGGTGCTGTGTGCGTGAATAGAAATGCCAAAATTATAAATACTTGCAACACTGAAATGTCGTGATTTTTAAATTGATTTAAAAAAAAAAAACTTAATTCCTGTCAATTAACAGTTGACTAGCCGTTTTTTTTTTTCAACGTTTTTTGACACTACGATATAAAACTGTGTGATCAATATGTTGTGTACATTTGGGTTTTAATATAATGTAGCCTAATTAATGAATTTTATGGTTTTGTTTGTGTATAATAACAAATGGGATATCATCAATAACCCATAGCTACTATATGCTTCACGACGAAAGCACAAATATTTATAGTGACGATGAACTGTCAAAAATTTCCGAAAATGATCTGATTTTTGTAGTAGTTTTAGTAGATTCGACTATTTTTTATATTTCTACAACTCTTGTACTAAGTAACACAGGCAAAATTGTATAAATTTAATGTTAAGTAAGGACATATTACTAAAATCATTACTCAAATGGAAGAAAAGAAAAGAAAAACATATTATATAGGCCCCAAAATTAATTTAAGACAATTCCAGGAAGATTATAATTAATAGGATAATAAAAAAATTGCACATATAAACATGCAATCATTATACGTAAATACATACTTATCTAATTATAACAACAATTGCAGTTGACGTCTGTCCGTATATCGTTTACATTGTATAATAATGTGGGAATCAATACAAATGGGACAGAGCGAAGACAGCGCTAAACAGAGGTCAGTGCTACCACTCGGTTAGAAATACCTATTTTTGCATTATTACCAACATGTAAAATTAATTATTGCTCTATTTATTCAATTGATTAAAAAAAAAAAAGTATATTTTAAATTTTGTTCCATAGAAAAAAACTGGCTAAACTTGAAAAAGGAATAATTCAAAATTCTTGTGCAAAATTAAGTACTGTGACGAAAAATCTAGACGAAAAAAGTAGTGCTGTCAGTTAATATCTACGTAAATGTTTATATATATAAAACAAATACTTATGACAAGATACTATATGACACTGTGTACTCTGTTATGTCCATGAATATATGGATATTTTTAGTCCCCAAGATAAAGGTCTGGCCTAGTTTAGGGCTGATGGTAATGCAGACTTTTTTTTTTAAATATAAATTGTAAGTTGTTATTTATGCAACTGTATCTCACTTGAATTGTCTAATTAGCACTGTACGTTTTTATGTTTGTTGATGCAATAAAAAAATATTATTATTTTTATATATAGTATAATCTACTATGACAAGATACTATATTACATAGTGTGCTGTTCATGTGTATAGGCGACAGTTAGGTGGCCCGTCCATCAGGTGGCCGTCAGATATATATATATATATATATATATATATATATATATATATATATATATATATATATATATATATATATATATATATATATATATATATATATATAGCGTTAACTATGTTAACTAACATGTTTAATTGAAATTCTATAATTTCTCAGAAGAGCATAAATAAATAGGTATTTCTACCGAGCGGGCTCTGCATGATTGTCGTTAATTCTTCTTTCAGAGCTTCACCTGAATGTCTAAGTTTGCACTGTCTTTGTTGCCTTCTTGGAGTATAAAATTGCCATTTTGATAATTCATACCGAGATTCTATTACGATTCATATTACTATTCATCTATATGCCAAAGTAAGAGATTTGAAAATCAATCAAATGGACCTGTTAATTTGAATTGCAGTTGAAGAAATTTATTACAATAATCAAAATACAATCTCTGATTAGTTTGAGACTAAATGGCGCTAATGTCCATTGATTCATTATTGCCAAATTAATTAAACTCATAATTTTTAAACGCCCCATTTCACAAATTCACATATGACCTGACCTGACAAACGTTGTTCTGCCAAATAAAATAAAGATATTCTTTAATTTTTAGTTTATAAAATATTGTAACTTATTTCAAACACAATTATATGATTGTTATTGAATAAATAAATGAAATGAATAGTAAAAGGTACACCCTAATAAGCTAGCGGTATCAAATATACTTTACGACTTATTCTCAACTACCATTTTTACCATTTTTTTTAAAAATCGGTCACGTAATATTTTTTTTTATATATATCGTAAAGTTTTGCAATACCTTATATACATATATCAGCCTGTATTTATGACTCTATTATTATTAAAAGAAAGACGGGTTTTTTCAGGCAGAAAAACCTGTAACACTGCGACGTTTCCATGATCTTTTGTACTCGTCCTTTTTAAAGATCGCTGCTAATTCCTATTAATGATAGGAATTTTAAGATATTTTTTTTAGCGACGCTTTTCAATCTCCTTAGGATATAAAAACGTTTGGAGTATTTGGAAAATACACTCTGTATTTTCCAAAGCAGATATATCGTTTATGTATAAGTGGGCTACAATCACAAATTAAGTGCTATGGCGTTTCTTTCTCATTGTGACAAAATCTGCAAACACTTTTTGGGCGTAAGCAATTTATGACTGATCCTATATCATTGACAGACTTGATCATTGACAGGCTGACATTAATATATGTCACACATTAGATGAATAGTTAATATGAATCGTTTGGAAATCCTATTGCGAGCTACCAAAGTGGTCATTTTAGACCTCTAATTATTTTACACTTCATCACGATCACATAATTATATGTACGTATCTCACACTGTTCAATTATCTATCGGTTATGGGCACAGATTAATTGTAGTTCCCAGGCCTTGTAGCGAACGAAGATCTCTTAGTGAGATAATTACTGTTCTTCGCCTTGTCTTGTACTTGTAATGCGTTAGCATTGCAACTTGTAGAGTCTAGTACATCTCTGTTCACAATATAGGTACCTACAAATATACGTACCTACTTACTTAATTGTTGTTGATGTAGTGTTAGTACTTAGTGACTAGTATACAGTCATGTTTTATGTGTTCTTTAACATTACAATTGTTATTTTTTTTTTTTTTATTTGATTTCTTTCTTAATTGTGTCATCCGGCTACTCCTATGAACAGTAAGTTACTAGCTAGTCCTCGTTATAAATTAATATTTGTTTAATAAAAGCATGAACTATTTATAACGTGCATTAGTATTAGTCAAATAACGAAGCATGTATGGTGCCCTTAATGCACTATATAGAGATTGCATGACTAAAAAAATAAGTACTAAGGAGGTCGCATACCCTAATAATTTCATTACCTGTCAAATTAAAAAAAAAATTGAAATTTACTAAAGACTCAGTAAAGGATTATTACAAAACTGGCGAACTGTCAGCTTCTAAATTGCATAAAAAATAAGTACATACTTTGTTATGACTCAATAACCAATATCAAATTTTCTTAATTGAATTAGAAACTAAATTACCTTGATTCACATTAAATATTATTAATTAGAAATATTAAAAACAATCTAATCCTTGCAATTAAACAATCAATAATGCAGATTTTCTCTATATTGCTAACCTAATACATATAGGAAACGTCCTCTTTTTAGAGGATAAAGAACTGGGTATACGATATATATTTATTAATCTTATAATACCACAAACAACACATCTATTTTTTTTTTCAACTAATAGTTAAATGCATTCTACTGAATTCGTTACACTAATAAAAGCATGCGCATATTGTAGATAACTATGTATTTATCTCAAATTGTGGCTTGACAATGAAATTTTGAAATCTAGTCTTCTCTTTACTAGTATAAAATTTTAATTTAAAAAGAAATATATTAAATCTTATAATATATTTAATGTAATATTTATAATGTGTTGAATGTAAATTATGTATAATAAAGATTTTACAATACATTAATTTCTCATAATGACTAATGTAAACGTATGTCTGATACTTCCTAGAAATCTGTCGTTACATTTAGGTACCTATACTTGATGATATATTAATTTTATAACATTATTTCCCATTTTTTATATATATATATATAATAAATCTGTTTTTCTTTTTATACCCTTCAGAATCGATTCAAATGAAATTATACAGAGTAATAATTAAAAATACAAGCGTAGTATAACTTTTTTAACAATATATGAATCCACCGTCAAATAAAAAAAAAACATAAACCACTAAAAGTATTTTATAGAACTATATTAACAACATATTTATGTACACAGAGTTGAAGCGACTACTGCCGACTCTCTCGAGGAAGGATAAAGGCCCGCGTACACGCACATCGTGGTACGCTGGCTGTGGAGCTGACACACCATCTGTGAACACCTCCACCGCATCCTGGTGAGTTTAATTAAAAAAAAAAAATACTAGTGGAAGCGATAAACGAGCTAATTTCGCAGTACCACTCTCTAGCTAGTCCGTAGATCACAGAGATAGAAGACGGAGAAATATTATATATTATTTTATGCAAATAATATTATGTAAATCGTATATATTTTTATTTACAATACAATGTTTATTGGTAACATAAATAGGTGTCGCTTTATATTTGTATGAATCATATGAATTATAATAAAATTAACTAAACAATATTATCAACTGTTAACATTTGTAGGCGGCCGCAAGAGATTACATAGTACCATAGATAGGGTTGACTTCCTTAGTCAAAATAAAAAAAAAGAAAACCGTTTATTTATTTATCGCATAACGTAAACACACACAAAAATACGAATAAACACAGGCGAATCGTTAAACTCCTACTTTTAAAATTGTTTAATTATATTTACATATTAATTTAGAGTAAACACTTCGCATCGTAACGCTACTCGGCAGCCAATATTAATCCATTAAGAATACCTCAGGTAATATCAAATGGTAGTCGCTACCCGTAACCCCTAAGGGGTTGAAATACTATACCCTATTAGATCGATTTCCACGCAGTTCGCCCTGGAAACTATCATGGTTTTTTTATGGGTGATAATGGAATGGTAACCCCACTAGCGCTATCGGTATACACCGGCGGGCCACCGGTGAAAGATGATAGATGAGGATGAAGCAGGTCAGTTAGCCCATCGTGACGAAGTCAACAAGAATTGTTCACGAAGGTTTCCAGGGGGAGCGACGTGGAGGTCGACCTGATAGGACATATTGCTAGCAATGGGGCTGTCAACTCCATTGCTAACAACCCTTTTCCTCCCCAACTATCATGGTTTATTCGCTATATATTCATCACGATGGGCCAACTGACTTGCTTTCATCCTCACCCTCACACATGCACCATTGTCTCGCCAGCACTACTAAGTTACCATTTCATTATTATCCATTAAAAAAAAAAACCTCGAGCTGCTAAATAGGCAGTACGGCAAAAAGACAGCCTGAGTCAAGTCTACCATACATTGTCACCTCGTGCTCAGAACACATCTCGGTTACTCAGTTGCGCTACGCGCGCGCATAACGCCCGCCATTATCCACGAACCAATGAGTCACAAGCCAGTTTTCCGTACCAACCGTTAGGCTATAATGCAAGTTATAAACTCATAGCGGTACACAAATTGGCTACATTTTATTGATCATAAATTGCGCGAAATTTTATCTTATTACACAAGTCTTATATCTTATTCGTAAGAAAATAAAAATAATAATTTTATTATAAAAAAAAAATCAGTATATCCATATCGACTTTTACACTTTGCGTAAAAGTGATGCCACATTCGGTTCCAAACATAATAAGCGATATTTATTTATTTATTTGACACTTTATTGCACTAAGTAAAAAAATAATAAATACAGTAAATATTAATGAGTAAGAAGCGATGTTTTCTAAATTCTCTCGATTCTGAATGTTCTAGGCTGTACAAGATATTCATTGTTTGGTTTCTAATAATAACAATTGTCTCTTTTAATTAATTTTTTTTATACAACTTAGAATGGCAAACAAGCTGATGGCCACCTGTTGGAAAATGGTAACCGTCGCCTATAGACATGAGCAGTACCATGGAAATAACAGAGTATACTATTTCGCCCATGATACCCCCCATGCGTTGCCATTCCTGAGGACTCAGGTGTTATTCCTCTGTACCCAGTAAATTCACGCCATATTCCACCCTTCAAACCGAAACACAGCCATGCAAACACAACTAAGAAATCTTGAATCGCTGCTCGCTTATCACTTGTCCTTCTGAAAATTACTCGTATATGTCTGGTATGTTATGTACGTTGCTCAGTTCGAACCTTCAGTCGGTTTCAATTCGAACAGAAGGAGAAACTACTTTCATATATATTTGGTGTAAAAAAAAAAAATAAAAAAAAAAATAATAAAATAACTGCGTAGGCATTTGTGTAACAAAGTGATGACAACTTATGACTGTTTGTTGATTATTAAACGGTACATTAACGTTGTTAGTGTTATGTGAAGTGTTACAAGAAATAACATTGTTTGTGAGTACACAGACAGAATAGTTCCATGTGTATACACACTCCAATTGATATTTTTGACGACCTTCGACCCGCAGAGGTAAGCACGTGGATGTGCGTAAATGAGGTCGCAAGTTCGATTCTCGAGACATCCACTTTAAGTAACAAATTGTTTTTAAAATTGGTTTGACTCGAATTGGACGTTTTGGGGTTTAATAACTAAATATTCTTGATATCCAAGTTTGATAATCGGATAATTGATGTCGCCCATACAAAATACTTACATATTTTTTGTTTTTTTTTTTTTATGGGTGAAAATGAAATGGTAACCCCGCCTGCGCTAACGGGATACGCTGGCGGAGCACCAGTGAAGAGTGATAGATGAGAATGAAAACAGACCAGTTAGCCCGTCATGATGAATTCATCAGGAATTAACCATGATAGTTTCCAGGGAGAACCGCGAGGAGTTCGATCTGGTTGGGTATATTGCTAGCAATGGGATTCTCAGTCTCCATCACTAACAATCTCTTCCCCCCCCCCCCTATTTGTCTCGTTTGAAGCCACCACTTTTGGATAAATTGGTATAATTGCCATTTAATTAATTAATAGACTTTGATCCACATAAACGACACTGACTTTAATAGTCAAATCAATTATTTTGGTTTAAAAACTAAACTACTGAGCCAAATTCTCTTATTAAATTAATAATAAAGTCTCTTATTATAATCCTGTGGTAAGGATGTGTCGTCATGGACGTAATGGGTTTTATACCATGAATATTTCGCTAAAACAACAAATGCACTTCACAACCTACACTAGAGATGCCATTCATTGATGCTTCTGTTCTTATACACTAATTAATATCACAGTTTGTTAAAATAATTTTATAATTTGGACAACTATTGTACAGGCTTTCATTTTCCGTTCACTGTAATGAATAATAATAACGTATTGAATTCAATATTTTAGTTTTTAAATCGTAATAACTGATGTAGCGACAATTGAAGTCGGTTTTTTTTTTCGTGAAACATAATCTTATTTAATTTCAATAGAAAATAAACATTAAGGTCAGTTTACAAAAAGCATATACTACTACATTCGGTTAATTAAAAAATCCCCTTTTATAGCGATATGTGCCATTCGCTTTTCTACCATGAAGTAGTTCGGTTTGAAGGGTGAGATATGGCGTGAATTTACAGGGTACAGATGAATAACATCTGAGTCTTCAGGAATGGCAACGCATGGGAGGTATTATGGGCGAAACAGTATACTCTGTTATGTCCATGATACCGCTCATGTCTATAGGCGAAGGTTACCACTTTCTATCAGGTGAGCCGTCAGTTTGTTTGCCATTCTAAGTTGTATAAAAAAAAAATACTGTAACCCATGACTGTATATTTTTATGTGCAATTATTTTTTATTATTATTTTTATTCTTTGTCGGGACCACACTTATTTGTATATCAAAATAATGATGTTGATATCAAAACAAAGCCCGTCTCTAATTGTATGTGGTTTGAAAAGTTGCTACTTACCAATTTGCTTTCTTTTCCTGTTACATTATTACAATATGGTACTTCCTCTATTTCTTAACATTTGGCTGCATGTTAACACTTAGATAACTGTATCATTAATATTAATATAATTTTTATGCTTCTTAACTCCGGAAATTATTTTAATTCATAAATCATCTTGATATTACAAATAAAAAATGTAAATTAAATTCCCCATTGTTATATCATTAAAAACATTTTATAATGTACATTTATATATGTATATAGCTTTTTTTTATGCAACTTAGAATGGCAAACAAGCTGACGGCCCACCTGATAGAAAGTGGTAACCGTCGCCTATAGACATGAGCAGTACCATGAACATTAAAAAGTAATTCACCCATGCGTTGCCATTCCTGAGGACACATTTATTCCTCTGTACCCTGTAAATTCACTGCAATATTTATTTATTTTTATTTATTCAACTGTTTATTGCACCCATTCTTCAAACTGAAACACAGCCATGCAAACACAACTAATTCACGGTAGAAATACGAATGGGACAGAGGTGCCTAAGCAATCGACTTTTGTTTTTGCAATGGATAATAATGCAATGGTAACTGGTGGGACACCAGCGAAAGCTGATAGGTGAAGATGAAAGTTGGTCAGTTAGCTCATTGTGACAAATTCAAGGATCAACTACGATGTTTTACAGGGAGAACCACGCAAATGTCATGCGTTGCCATTCTTTAATACTATACCGTTATGCATTCGTATACGTAATGATACTGCCTACCAGTCTGACTGTTGTTACGACTATAATATTTTTTTTATATTCGACGCTCCATGTGTAAAATAAGTATATGAACTTTTTACACATAGCACTGATTGTAGCCATGTAAGTACAGGCATAGAATGGACCACCCCTACCTTTACTGTGGGTGTCGTAAGAAGTGACTAAGGAAACTTAAGGCGGAGGGATGAGCAGCTGCACCCATCTTAAAACATCACCATAAGCGAAACTGCGGTTGTCAACCCGCCTACTAAGCATTTTTTTTTACAACACAGGGGGCAAACGAGCATGCGGCTCACCTGATGGTAAGTGACTACCGCCGCCCATGGTCACCCACAACACCTACGGCATTGCAGGTGTGCTGCCGGCCTTTTAAAAAGGAATATGCATGTAGGCATGGCAACTACAGACAAATCCTTCCTTATGGGGAACGCCATGCTCAGTAGTGGATAGTTAACAGTTGATAGAACAGCTGATTGTCCCCAGGTACGCGGAGGTGGGCCTGTACCAAGCGGGCAATATCTCGACGTCGTCGGGCGCGTCGTCCGGCTCGCACCCGGCCTCGCCGCTGCCGCACTCGCTGTTCACGCACGAGCCCCTCTACCAGTTCTACAACGCTGCCAAAGTTGAGGTATGCTACGTGGTGACAAGGCCCGATTTTGGTGTTTTTGATCTTAAGCAAATATATCGATCTTACAAATCGATTCCAATCGGGAGGTCTAAGATCGAAGTGAAAAATAGACGACCAAAAAATTATAAATACAATTGACGTGTTAAAAAGAAATACCATACAATATTATAAAAACAGAATTAACCATACAAAGTATTGATATATTTTGTATTGTTTGTATGTGATCATGAAAATGGATTATTGTATCTGGTTATTAAGTCAATCTACTTTAAAAGTATGTATTGATCCAAACGATCGAAAATGGAAATCTGTAAGATCGATCTTTCGATGTATCGAATCGAGATCGAAGATATTATCCAGTGTGAAGGACACAGTAGTGGCAAATTGAATTCACTGCGAATTAACGTGTTCATTCGTACATGAGAAAAAATATGTTAACAAAGAGATATTTGTATGAATTAAAAATTGATAAATTTATTACGAAGAATTTTGTTAAAATCCTCGTGTGTATATATTATTATGTACACCTAAATACAATTATGTCATCTGTGTTTAAATGAAAATTAACAATTAAATGGCGCTAATCCAACACTGTCAGTTGTTCACGCACGGGTCGGTAACGATAATTAGGTACACAACGCTAATTAGACACAATTGAAGCACAACCTTCCTCGGGGCCGAATGTACAATTCACGGGCGGACACGTGTGCTACATTTTGATAAAAACATTTAGTTATTTATTATATATAATTTAGGGCAAATGCTGTTACTAATGATAATCTATCTTTAATTCACCTACACAGCTCTATATCGTGTAATATAAAGTAGGTACAATTAATTAAAGAGCCGTTTTAGTCCGTTCAGTGTTATAAATGTAGTTAGGCAACTTTATATTTTTAAAGTATTATTAAATTGATTCAAAGATAATGAAATATCTATTTGCTTTTGGCATCTGTTTAATTGCCTTAAAATTGTATGCATACAAATTTAATGTATTAATTAAATTAAGGATATAGCAGTAATTTATTTATTTTTAGGAAAACATACAGCTTCATTCAATAGTCAAATTACGTCTATATTGAGCCTTAAATAATTTTACCATTTGTGATTATTAAGATTATACAAAATGGAGGTAAAATAAAAAGTACATTTAAATATTAGTATTTAAATTAAACCAATAAATTTAAATAGGTACATGTTTAATATTGTCAAATAAGATTAATAATTAAATTTAATGTTATACTATATATATGTTATATGACATATAAAAGAAACACTAGGTGTCATGTCGTATGGGGAGGTCAAGGATATATGGCCTGGGATGGAACTGGCTGGAAGAAGATGCATGAATTAGTTGCACCGACAAGAGGAAACTCTTAAATGAAAAGAAAGACTATATATATATATATATATATATATATATATATATATATATATATATATATATATATATATATATATATATATATATACAAAAAAAATATTACAGATTATTTATATTTTAATAGATCGTATGTACAAATTTATCCGATATCGAATTTTTATCCGCTTTACTTACATTTATATGAGTAATATGCGATTACCTTTTGTTTCAATAATTATATTAAAACTAAATATGATTACGTTCCCACAGTCTGTGTGTCGCGAGACGGGCGACTCTGATTCAGACGCGTACGAGGTGAACGCAGGAGCGTCAGCGGGAGCGCGCGTGGCAGCGGAAGCGGACACGACAGCGGAGGCGAGCGCGGGCGCGGGCGCGGCGACGACCGCACGACCCTCCGCCATGGCACTGGTGGCCCCGCGCGGACCAGCTCGCACGCTCTGGTGCGAAGTGCCTGAGGTCGTCAACTCCACTGTACTCAGTGAGTTTCCTTTAATTGATGAAAATTGAATACTAACTACGCTTTATTTATGAGTGATAATAGAATGGCAACTTTGCCTGCACTACCCATGTATGCAGGCAGGGTACCCGAGTGGATAGTAGATGAGAAATAAAATCAGGTCAGTTGGCTTGGCCCATCTTGTCAAATACATCGAAAATCAACCACGACGATTTCCAAAAAGAACCGCGTGGAGGTCGTCCTAGCAGAGTATATTGCTGTCATACTTTATACTAATAATTACAACACCTTACTCAGCAGTGCTACATTTGTCTGTTATACGTACTGCTGTAAGTAGGGGGAAAAGATTGTTAGCAATGGGGAGGTGAGTCCCCATTGCTATCAACATACCCTATCAGGTCGATCTCCACGTGGTTCCTCTTGGAAACCATCATGGTTGATTCTAGTGGGATTCGTCACGATGGGCTAACTGACCTGCTTTCATCCTCACCTTCATTTCATAATTGAATACTTGCTGACAATAAATCAGCTAGACACCATGACTAACAATCCCTTTCCCCCCAATTTAACAATTAGCTAACAAAACGTTGACCGGTTTATGAAACTCGATGCTCTATTTATATAATTTAAGCACTAGGTTTGACTAGCATTGATTTGGTTTTTACTGTCATAATGTTATATTATTTCCCATTGCTAGCAATATACCCAACCAGGTCGACCTCCTCGTGGTCCCCCCTGGAAACTATCATGGTTAATTCCTGATGAATTCGTCATGATGGGCTAACTGGCCTGTTTTCATTCTCATCTATCACCCTTCACTGGTTCTCCGCCAGCGTATCCCGTTAGCGCAGGCGGGGTTACCATTCCATTTTCACCCATAAAAAGAATGTTATATTATTATTTTTTATTTGTTTTAATAAATATATAAATAAATAATAAATGTATAACAACATATGTATTTGTACACAATTATATGATAAGTACAATATTTGGTTACTAATTTATTGTAAACGGAATAATACAGGCTCAATAAGGCTAATCGTCTATCGGTTTTGTGGTTAAAAATTAAAATGACGTCAGTGCTCTGTACCAATACAAAGAGCTCCGTAAAATGGAAGGTCACACGTTATTCACTCCGACGTTATTATTGTATTGTTGTATACTGAATTACTTTAAACTTTTTAAGTGGTAATAATTATTACCACTATGTCCAAAGACTGTTTTTTTTTATACAACTTAGAATGGCAATCAAGCTGACGGTGCACCTGATGGAATGTGGTAACCGTCGCCTATAGACATAAGCAGTACCATAGACATAACAGAGTACACTGTTTCGCCCATGATACCTCCCATGCGTTGCCATTCCTGAGAACTCAGTTGTTATTCCTCTGTACCCAGTAAATTCACTGTTTTTACCAGTTGTTTATTACCAATGTTTATTACCTTATCGACTATTTATTTATTTTATTTATTTACACTTTATTTGCGCCAATTAAAAATAATAAATACAGTAAATAAGTATATCTTTATATATGTCCCGTGTATATTTTGTTCAAGTGCAATAAAAAAAATATATAACAATGAATTTTAATGAGAAGTGATATCATTAGAATAAATAATTTGGATATAGTTCTTCTCTTCTATGTTCTTAATCTTACTAACTGTATCCCGCGGCTTTGCCCGCGTGAATCAGTACATAAAGTATTGTACGTGCTAAGTTAAGACATAACCTACCCATGTATCAAATTTTATTCAAATCCGTTCAGTAGTTTTTGCATGAAAGAATAACAAACATTCATCTATCCTTCCTTACAAATTTCGCATTTATTATATTAATAGGATTAAGTACTATAGTTTAAAATTTTTTAAAATAATTTATAAGTTTGTTGTACAAAAATAAAACTATTTCAATTACGATTGAAGAAAAAAATAATCGAAATCGGTGCATAATTGGCTAAAGGCACAGAAAGATATAATCTAGTTAAAGCCTCGCTTTTATCTAAAACTGATCTTGATCGATAATCGCCTTATCTAAAAATGTATTTGAACTTAGACAAAATTAGTAAAAGAACAATCCAGCTATGAGAATGAATCCTTCCATTAAAGACAATAATTAATTACTTTTATAATTTTTTAGACATTTTTTATTAGTTATTTCATTCCTTTATACTTTTTCTGTGTACTGTAAAACTCTTTTATGATGACATTTTTTGACTTATAAAACATATTCAACATGATGTTATATTGTTCTGAAAAACATAAAAAAAATTGGTCTCTATACATCGCCGAGGTCCAAAAGAGGAGCCAAGATCTAATAGCGTTACCGTAGGATTACTAACGTATCCTATAAAATTCGATATTGGAACGCAGATCCTCGATAACTTCTTTTTGTTTCATCGATAATAGAGACATCGGATGCCGTTAAAAATTATCTTTGGACACTTAAGTAAATGGAGATCATATTTTTCGTTAGTGAGGAAGGCAAAAACTTGCTCAGAAAGGCCAGGTAGGTTAATAATCTCTATCTCTCTCTATCCAGCCATAATCTGTGGCTGTCAAGTACAAAACTCGAAAGGCGTTGTTTATACTAAACTCTCAATGTGTTGAAACCAGGTTCCCTAGCGCCCGCGCAGAAACGGCTGCAGGAGGCGAAGTTCGAGCTGCTGACGTCGGAGGCGTCGTACCTCAACTCTCTGAACGTGCTCGAGGCGCATTTCATCGCGCACCCCGCCTTCCGCGACACGCACGTGCTGCCCGCCGAGGACTTCGACACGCTTTTCTCCACTATACTGCCAGGTTCGCTAGCTGTTACCGCTCTTATTGTTTTATTCATTTATTTATTTTATCTCCGTCATAACCGTAGCAGGGGGGAAGCATTGAGGGGCAATGCCCTACCTTAAAATTAAAGGCCCCAAAAAATTTTACAGATTTATATATATATATATATATATATATATATATATATATATATATATATATATATATATATATATATATATAAAATTTAAAAATAGAAATTATAAAATGCATGCTTTTTCCAGTGCGCAAGTGTTCACAACTCCTAATGAACGAGCTGGAGAAATGCTGGCAGGAGAATATCCTGCTGCAAGGTATCTGCGACATTGTACTGCAACACGCCGAGGAACACTTCCACGTGTACGTCAAATACTGCGAGAACCAGGCGCTCATGGTGAAAGCGCTGCAGCGGCTGAGAGAACAGCCTGCTTTTAGCGCTGCACTCAAGAAGTAAGTTGTGTAATAGTTAAAATGCCGTCAAAGACTTGAACTTGACGCCTTGTAACATTATTAGTTTTTATTCGTGTCTTTGACTGCGCGAAGAGTATATTTATATTTATTTTTTATCCTGTTTAATCAATCCAAAAAATAACCTTTAGAATTCTTCTCCATTCCAAATACTACATATCTAGCGAACATGATAATTTGTTTAGGCGCCAAAAGATTACAAGCAAACAAATAAAATCACTTTCACATTTATAGTAATAGTTGATCTTGATTAAATTCTTCAAAAGGGAGGTAAAGAGGTTTCTTCAGGGTCGGCTACGCGCGCGTAATACCTCTGGTATTGCAGGCGTTCGTAGGCTACGGTAACCATTAACGATCAGGTGGGCCGTATGCTTGTTTGGCACCTCAGTGTTATAAAAAAATTGCATAATAATTGCATTAAATGCCATAAGCAAACCTATATCATAACAATAATTTAAAACTAAATATTATTAATCGAAATATGGCAAACGTAGATAAAATATGTTATAATATTTGCATATTATATCTGCAAATAATGTAAGAGCACCCGGATTAACTTACATGTATTTTATTCAAGAATACTCGAGTAGTTTTGGGACAATCTGGGACCCTTAATCATGAGCATCTTTAGTTATTTACATATTCATTTAGACTTGACTAACCAATACAACAAAAGACGGACTTACTATAATTATTACTACAATCTGGCAACATTATTTTGTAAACTGACATCGTGATCTGTCATTATGCTGCATCGGATTACCAAAGGACTTTAAACTTAAATTACATTGCGCACACGGTTCAGATTGGAGAGCCACCCGGCGTGCCAGAGCCTGTCGCTGCACTCGTTCCTGATGCTGCCGATGCAGCGCGTGACGCGGCTACCGCTGCTGCTCGACGCTGTGCTCAAGAACCTGCACGCCGACGACCAGGAGTATCAGTCCTGTATGCACGCGCTCGCCACCCTCAACAACGTGAGTTTGATCTTAATCTATTTACCTTTATAGTATGACCCTCGCCAGAAAAGTACTTTCTGTTTTGTTTGTGTTCAAAAAGTTTTATTAACAAAGGAAATGAAAGAATGTCTTTTAAAAATAATTCTATGAACTTGAACATTTTCTGAGTTGAAAGGCCATAAAGCATCCGCTAGCACAAAAAATTATTTTTTTTATAATGGGGTGGTAACCCGGCTTGCGTTATCGGTGTATGCTGGCGGGTACCAGTAAGTGATGATACTCAGGTCAGTTTTTTTTTAATGGGTGAAAATGGTATGGCAACCCCGCCTGCACTAACGGGATACGCTGGCGGAGTACTAGTGAAGGGTGATAGATGAGAATGAAAACAGGCCAGTTCATCATGATGATGAATTCATCAGGAATTAACCATGATAGTTTCCAGGAAGAACCGCGAGGACGTCAACCTGGTTGGGTATATTGCTAGCAATGGGATTCTCAGTCTCCATTACTAACAATCCCTTTCAGGTCACACGTCTAAGGACTAATCCTCCCATTGCTAACAAGCGTTTAGTGAATGGGTTGGGAAGGGGTGAGGGGGGATTTTTTTTTAATGGATGATAATGGAATGGTGACCCCACCCGCGCTATCGGTATACACCGGCGGGGCACCAGTGAAAGATGATAGGTGAGGATGAAGTATCCCCCATCGTGACGATTGACAAACACGATGGTTTCCAGTGAATGGGAGGGAAGGGCATATTGCTAGTAATGGGGCTATCAAACTCCATTGCTAACAATCCCTTTCCCCCCCGCGAGGGGGGATTCTATCGCTAAAGGCGATTAGCGTCCACATTTGTCATTGCTACTGTGATAATTGTTTATAAATTCTCCTTTATTGCTCTTGTATACGAAGTATTCTAACGAATATGTCGGTGTTCAGTTTGTGTCACAGTGCAACGAGGGCGCGCGGAACACGGAGCGAGTGGAGGAGATGTTCCGCGTGTCGCGCACGCTGCAGTTCGCGCCGCACGTCCGCTCGCCGCCGCAGCTGGCGCCCGCCTGCGGCCGCCGCGACCGCAGGTACCTGTCTTTCATTCCCATACTATGTTCCTCTCACTCCCACATGTACACTTGCCGACGCATCTCGCTTTACCATACCTTCTCTCTTAATTTATTCTCCCCTTACTCCAATATCTTTAATTCTCTGATAATGGATCCGATGATAATGGAATGGTAACCTCACCTGCGCTAACGGTATACGCTGGCAGAACACCAATGAGGGATGATAGGTGAGAATGAAAAGGCAAGTCAGCTAGATGATCTCTAAGGGGAGCTCACATGAAGATCAACCTGACAGGGTATATTACTAGCAATGGGAATGGAATTCCGTATTACTAACATTTCGTTCCCCTCACACATACGATTAGAAGACCTGTATTGTTATTTACAAGTATTTATAAGCGCCGTCTCCTCACAGGCCGGTCCGGTGGTTGGTGCGCTCGGGCGAAATGACACAGATAGTGTGGAAATCAGACGAGTCGAAACTGACCTTCGGCAAGAAGTTCCACAAAGTGCCACTCTATGTGTTCCTCTTCAATGACCTCCTCGTCGTCGCCAAGAAGACAGGGTTAGTACTAACTGGAGCAATACATTACTCTATTCACTATTCCAAACAAATTTCTTAATTCAACCAATATTTAATATAGTAACTTATTATAATATTTTGGTCCTATACAAATTTTCACAAGACTAAAGTCAGTTACAGTTATATTATGAAACAAAACAATAGTTAAAATGACATTGTGAAACAAAACAGAAAATATGTAGCTTACTATATGCTTAATAATATTGTATGCAAATCATAGTTTGTACTATTCGAGCCTATAGTCTTACAAGAACTACTTAGAGACCTAAAACTGTGAGCATGACTGTTTTTTTTTATACAACCTAGAATGGCAAACAAGCGGACGACCCACCTGATGGAAAGTGGTAACCGTCGCCTATAGACATGAGCAGTACTATGGACATAACAGAGTATACTGTTTCGCCCATGATACCCCCCGTGCGTAGCCATTCCTGAGGACTCAGGTGTTATTCCTCTGTACCCTGTAACTTCACTGCCATATCTCACCCTTTAAATTGAAACACAGTTGTGCAAACACAACTGCTTCACGGTTGAAACAAACGAATAGGACAGAGGTACCCGAGCAAACGAGTTTTGTACAAAGTTTTCCTCTGGTAAAGGTGTTTGTGTCTCATTACAGCGAGGAGTCGTACCTAGGTATAGACCACTGCCCGCGCTCGCTGCTGGAGGTGTGCGAGGAAGGCCCCGCCGCCGCCAAGCACTCGCTGCTGCTCACGCTGCTCGAGAACCACGAGGGTCGCACCGTCGAGATGGTGAGCGCTTCACTCCTTGATATTACTCAAACTAAGTACTGCTGGATCTGCTACTGTGTAATCCCGGTAAAGAATATAAGAGGCGACTAAGGAAACTTAATGAACAAGGGATAGGCGGCAGCGTCTCTCTTAAAACGCCACCAAAAACTGTAGTTGCACAAACCCACCTGCCAAGCGTGGCAACTGGCAACTAGTTCCCCCATTATGAAAAAGGCCTATGTACAACAGTGATCAATTTTTTTTATACAACTTAGAATGGCAAACAAACACAGCGCATCTGATGGAAAGTAATAACCGTCGCCTATAGACATGAGCAGTACCATGGACATAACAGAGTATACTGTTTCGCCCATGATATCCCCCATGCGTTGCCATTCCTGAGGATTCAGATGTTATTTCTCTGTACCCTGTAAATTCACGTCCATATCCCACCCTTCAAACCAAAACACAGCCATGCAGACACAACTGCTTCACGGTTGAAACACGAATGGGACAGAGGTACCCAAGCAATCAACTTTTGTACAAAGTCTCCCTCTGGTAATTAACAACTGATATAATAATAATATAAGTGCTGATTCTCCTATAGGCCATTGTGGCAGCTTATATACCTGTGGAAATGGTCCACGTCATGTCAGGATAATCCTGAGGACTTTTTTTTTGATGGGTGAAAATGGAATGGTAACCCCGCCTGCGCTAACGGGATACGCTGGCGGAGCACCAGTGAAGGGTGATAGATGAGAATGAAGACAGACCAGTTAGCCCATCATGATGAATTCATCAGGAATTAACCATGATAGTTTCCAGGAGGAACCGCGAGGAGGTCGACCTGATTGGGTATATTGCTAGCAATGGGATTCTCAGTCTCCATTACTAACAATCCCTTTCCCCCCCTCATGTCCTGAGGACTGTATTATAATATAACGCCAACATTCGTTGCTTATCGTCCATTTTACAATAAATTTATGTAACATAAGGAAACGATTCAAGCTCACAACAACTCAAAAAGCTGTGCGCTTATAATTTTGACTGGAATATAATGTTGTCTCTTTCATCACGAATTCCATTCGCTTTCTTTATTATTACCTTAATTCATGAGCGGCTGTGTGCGAGCGCAGCTACTCATGATTAAGGCTCACGAATTGATCCCGAAACTAATTGAGTTTTCTCGATCTAAATTACACGTAAATTAAACTGATAGTTATTACATTAAAATATAATGTGTGCTTACAAAACTTTTAACAATAAAATCGCCTTTAATATTTGCTAATGGCAATGCATTGGCGACCTGGTAGTTGTAACCCTAACATTCGGGGGGGAAAAGGATTGTTAGCAATGGAGTTTGACAGTCCCATTGCTAGCAATATGCCTTATTAGGTCGACCTCCACGTGGTTCCCCCTGGAAACCATCGTGTACAATTCTTGTTGAATTCGTCACGATGGGCTAACTGACCTGCTTCATCCTCACCTGTCATACTTCACTGGTGCCCCGCCGGTGTATACCGATAGCGCGGGTGGAGTTACCATTCCATTATCATCCATTAAAAAAAAAACCCTAACATTCGTATGTTTGTGCAGCTGGTGTCGTGCCCGTCGGAGACGGCGGCGCGGCGCTGGGCGGAGGCGCTGCTGCCGGCGCCGGCGGCGCCCGGCGAGGCGCTGTACGCGGGCTGGGACTGCCCGCAGGTGGCCGCGCTCTACGCCTACACGCCCGCGCAGCCCGACGAGCTGCAGCTCGCCGAGGGAGACGTCGTCAACGTCACCAGGAAGACTAGCGAAGGTAAACTACCCTCCATCATTTTTTATACTACTCGCCGAAGGAATCAAGCTAACAGTCCGCTTGATGCAGCAGTGGTAATTAAGTAACTAGTTAGTTTTCTAGTTGAGCGCAGGCGAGGTTACCATACCACTATCACTCATAAAAAATACCAAGATGTAGGGTCTACCATAAAATGAAATTCCGAATATTCGGACTAAATTTCGTGTTTTCATTTATTCCGAATTCAGTCCAGTAAACGGAAGTTTTCATTTGACTTTCATTCCCAATTATAATTGGCGCTCATCTTGAATGAATCTTGTATTGCACCATAATGCACAGTGTAGTTTTTTAATAACACTATAAATTTAAAATATTTAGTATATAACCATCAATAAAAGAATTAGTAATTGTGTAAGTAATGAAAATGTTAATATGTATAGGTTGGTACTACGGCGAACGGACGCGGGACGGCGAGGCGGGCTGGTTCCCGGGCGCGTACACGGCCGAGATCGCGTCGCCGCACGTGCGCGCGCGCCACCTGCGCCAGCGCTACCGCCTGCTCGCGCTCTCCTCCTCCTACGGCGGCCACCGGCGCCGCCAGCACTGACCGCCAGCACTGACCGCCAGCACTGACCGCCAGCACTGACCGCCAGCACTGACCGCCAGCCCTGACCGCCAGCACGACCGCCAGCACGACCGCCAACACTCCCGCCGCGCCACTGACTCCTCTCCACTGCATCACGCATCGTAGTATTCCTTACCTCCTACAGCGGCCACAGGCGCCGCCCACACTGACCCCCCACGGGCGCTAGCAGCGGAATCACTGACGCTGCCACTAACTCCTCTCCCTTCCACCACGTGTGGTAATATTCCCTACCTCCTACGGGGGGTACGAGCGATACCTGTACTAACAGGAACTCTCCCTCCCTCCCCCCACGTACTACGATCCTCTCTATCCCATGCGACGGGCATAGAAGGCACCGGCATTGAGGCTGACTCCCCCACCCTCATGCAGCAGTATTCTCTACCCCTATACCCATGTTACGGTGCTCTCCGTCTCCTGTGACGGGCATAAGATGCACCAACACTGAGACTGACTAAAGAGGGAAGAGGAGGGGGGGGGGTTCTTCGACCCTAAATGCAACAGTATTTTCCGCCTTCTACAACGGACACAAGTGGCACATGACTTTTCTCCCAAACCCCACGTGCGGGAATTCGTTCTCTTTTGACGGACACAAGCGGCGCTGTTATACTATAGAATCTCACAATCAGTGTCGTTATCGTATGATACTACTTGCCAATAGTATACAAGTAAAACTTGTGAAAAAATCAGTAATATACTACCTTTAATGTAACATCACATATTTTTATAGTTAAAAATGTCTATTTGTTTATTCTCCTCTAGACGAACTCCCCTAGTACGATCGAATCTATTGGTAGAATCGTTATCGCTATCGAGTCCATGAGATAGAATGAGACGGACATGCGTTGTCTTGTTCTTCCTTTTTGAGCGCTAACCGAAGCGAATCTATCGATAGATTTGTTTAGGATTCGTTTAACTTGTCTAGGGGGCAGTATATATCTTGTTACCAATAAAATGCACTGACTGAAGGAGCCTCGCTCCGACCGCGACGCACCCAGCTTACACTTCGCGTCCGTCCGGCACTGCCTTACTTAATAGAACTTTACACACAATATTTTTGGAATTATTTATACAAGTGTCATTGTGTTAAGAGTATTGTTGCACCAAACCTTATTGTTACTTGAAGGTGCTCATTATATTGTTTGTTACATAAGATGACTAGCGTTTAAGCTCTAAAAGAGTAAATCTATCACATTGTCTATGATTTATTGTGAAATGTACAGTTACGTATGAGATTCACACTGATTATTTGTACAGAGTAATTTATCGTTTTAGAGCAATATTACTTGTGCGTAGTTAAGTGATGTTATTCTTGTATTCCCTTAGTTTTAGGCCTCACTTGACCGCGACATTTGGAATCTTACCTAGTCATGATAGAGCGGAAAAGTTGAATTACTTTGCGTATCTTAAAATTGAAATATCCGCAATAATTACTCTAAAATGTATAAAACATTCCGAAATTTATATATATAATATAACATGTTTATCGATTAATAGTTTTAACAAATGAAAATCTAATAAAATTGTATGTATGTACTTAAGTAAATTATTTTGTTGTAAAAATACTTTGTGAAATGCGAAGGAAACTAATATTAATAGGTTATATAAATTCATTACTATGTATTATTAAATGAATAAATGTGTATTTAATATGTGGTCTTATTTTATAATTAGCTAATAATGTAGTAAGGTATAATTTTATATTACTTTCAATAAGCTTCAACATTAGTAAATTTATATTAGTCAATACATTGAAAGACAGACAAACACATATGAGATGGTTTCGTTGTCTTCTTGCACTATACATACTTTGTACCAGACTTAGTACAAAAGTCGATTGCTTGGGTACCTCTGTACCATTCGTGTTTCAATCGTAAAGCAGTTGTGTTTGCATGGCTGTATTTCAGTTTGAAGAGTGGGATATGGCGTGAATTTACTGGGTACGGAGGAATAACACCTTAGTCCTCAGGAATGGCAACGCATGGGGGGTATCATGGACGAAACAGTATACTCTGTTATGTCCATGGTACTACTCATGTCTATAGGCGACGGTTACCACTTTCCATCAGGTGGGCCGTCAGCTTGTTTGCCATTCTAAGTTGAATAAAAAAAATACATATCTGATAACAAAATTACTTTTAAAATAAATGGAAAGACTTGTTTAGTTTATCTACAATTTTACTATGATTACGAGATATAATGAAAAAAAAAAAAACAAATATAAACGTTACTTAAGTACTCTTTATTTCAGTACATTAAATCTTGATCATAGTACAAATAATTTCTTTCTTTTCGACACAGGTAAAAAAATGTCATATAAAATGTAAAACGTATTGTGTAAATAAATAAAAAATTTGCTCCTTACTATGCTATAGCAAATAAAATAATAAAAAAAAAATTGTAAAACATAAAAATGGAATTAAAATTAATTTAAATTAAGCAGATCATTGAAATGTTAATCTCAGGCTTCTGAGGAGTCTTAATAAGTATCATGGAATCAAAAATAAATGGCGACAAACGATCTAGAGCAAGTGGTGTAAGTCTATGACAAAATTGACATATTAAAGGCCTGACCGAATTATGTTTGTACATATCTGTAAATATAAAAAGATTAATCAATGTTTGCTTGGTCTTAAAATATGAAATATATATAATCGTAAATGGGCACTAGGAAGATTTCCCAAAATTCCCATAAGAACAAAAGATCCGTGCGGGCGAAATAATGGATACCGACTTTAGTCATAAAAAGAACGCCGTTAAACATTTTAACAATAAGCCAAATTCAAATGCACACCACATTATATATTATATAAAAAAATAAATGCTCATATTACTACAACACAATAATAGTTGTGATGATAACAAGTTTATACATCTGTGTGTATAACAGACCAATGTCTCACCAAACGGTGTGTGTGTGTCTCGCAGTAAAAGATTTGTATAACAACCTATAATGAAACCATTGTCTACTCAAACCCAACATTATAATGATAAATTATTATTGTGCACCTTATAAAATGCTTGTCACTCTTGCCCCTTCTCCTTATCCCCTAATATTATGCTTTAATCATAAACTTAAATATAAGTCATTAAAAAAGAGATCAGAAAATTCGATCAGAGAAACGCAAACAGAGAATACAGTGGAATTAAACATTCAGTCACTTAATTGGCGAGATAACAATTCATAGATCATCCTTAACATGGTACAGTTCAAATCATATCCTGGTCTTGGAGGAGTTGTCTTTTATATCAAAGAGTTTTCTTACAAAATAAACTTGCAGTGTGGCTGTCGCCGCAATGGCCATTATTTGCACCAGTGACCATCTGAAAGTAACAGAATCAATGACTGTTTTACCTGTGTATACTTACTCTCTATATATTTAAAATCATAATAAAAATGTACATACATATTTTTTATTGCATATTCATATAACAAAAGCTTTATTGCGTTATCAGAGCGACAACATGTGTAGGATTGACGATTTAAAGATAGATGTTACCTATGATTTACAGTCTAGAATGGGTAATTAAAAGTATAGAGAGAGGGAGGAACAGGTGCGCCATTAAGATGGTCTGATGCAATACAGACAGTTACTCGAGCTACCTTGCAAAATTTAACACAAGACAGCATGCATATAGACATATGCAGTGGGATAGTGACATATACAACATCACATCTATAGGATACCCATTGCATATTCTTTATATGTATCAAATTCCTCTCTATCACATATAATAAAGAATTTTAAACAAACCATAATCACATTTTTTAATCATGAAGATATGATCAAGAAAATTTGAGAGCTGGCAAATGGTAGTCCTTATATTAGTAACAACTACTTAGATTGAAGTAAAGGCCAGGTTGTAACAAGGCCAGTTAGCTTATCATAACAAATTTACCAGGTATTAACCACAATAGTTTCCAGGGGGAACCACACAGAGAAGTTAAATGCATTTGCCTGTCTTTATTGTTATGGTGAATGTATTAGATATTATACTTACATTTGCCAAGCATATTAGTATGTAATGCAGTAGGGTGCAAGCTTATTGCAGTAATTAGTACTTATACAAAAACCTTTATTACCTGAGAACATAAGTATTGTTGTCTTGCAGTAAATTATAGTCCCTAGACTCCCGAGCCCTGGAGTGATATTGGTACTGTAAAATGTCATTTATATTTCTCTCCACAAATTGTATTGAACTCTGAAATGTAGACAAATCATTATTAATACAAGTAGGACCCAAGGTCAACTTTTCAATGATATCTGGAGTTATGAACAATAGTGTAAATTAAGGTTATTGTTAAAGCAACATTTGTTAAATGTATAGAATGTTTGCTTTAATTTACTGCTATTGTACTTATTTCTACTTGCTTATTATACCACATCTATATCAATAAATTATAAAACCTAAAATTATACAAAGTCTTTCATCATCATCGTTATAACAACTAACTCAATAATTAAATTAAAAATTCATTTTACCATACCTACCATACTAACATACTTTTCAACAAAATAAATAAATAATAACCTGATTTACTTTTGAGACAGTATTTTTACTAAAACTCCACATATGCAAATTAATAGGAATCAATATTTAAAGAGATAATTTAATAATGAACCAATGATACATCTGATAGAAGTATTGACCTGCACATGGAGACAAACTATATAGAGATTCTCTCATCTACTTTTGTCATCAAGCAGTTCAGTTAGAATGGTAGAATAAGGCAGCAATTATTGTAAGAAGTTATAATAATTGCTGCCTTATTCTACCCTTGTCACAAGGGCTAGAAAAGCATACTTGTTGTTCATCTTGTTGAGCATCTTGTATTGGAAACTACAGAGAATATTTACCATCAAGTGGAATATACATTTGTTATATACCACAAAGATGACTCATTTGTGGGATTAATAGGTTTCTAGCTTATATGCTTGCCCTTAGTACTTCTCTCAAAACATTAATTGGTCCAAAGTAATTTAACAAAAATTTCTTCAATTAATGGAAGTTGAAACTTACAGTAAAATTCTTTATATTCATATCCAGCTCCTCCACTTCTTTAGCGTACTTCTCCCACATGTCGTATCTTATCACTGACAAGTACAAATTGACCAGCTTCCCGGCGAACCTCGAGAATTGGTTGTCGATACATACTGCATAGTAGCCACCCGTTGACGACTGGTCCGCATACTCCGCGCTTTGCCTCCACTCGTACGGATGCACTATATGCCCATTGGGATGACGTACAGCAAAACCACACATACCATCACCGCCTTTCAAAACCTGTACAACAATAGAAAGTTGCGAAACTATGATTCACTTTCGCTATTTTTTATTTTTATATAATGGAACTAGGACTAGATAGAGATTAATATCAAAGACGATATCATTATCTAACGCAAAGGTTTGTGGATACTGTATAATACCGTATGATACCGAATAATATAATTTTTTTCACCTGATAACTGGCATAGAATGTAGCACCCGGTTGAACATATTGGAAGTAACAATCCTCTTTACCGGCGTCGATGTGAACTTTATAATCCATGGTAACTGCCGGTAAGTTTTCATACCATGGCGCCGCTGATGTTGATAAAACATCGCCAACAAGTGATAAAACTGTAAATATTAATGTTACAACCGTAAACATATGCCACGTCCGTTGTGCCATTTTTCAACTGATGAACTAAAAAAATGACAATGACAGAAATATTGACAGCCTGTTACTGGTACTAACTATCAACTGTCTGACTGACGGTTAGGATTGACGGCCTGACCATCAAACCACAGAAAAAAAGAAAATTTAATGCCCTTATGTATTTATATTCATTTAATATTACTTTTATTACTACTTGAAGGATAAAAACAGAGTTGTTCCACCTTCTTTGTCTTTGAAAGTATTATTGGAGATATATTTTAATAGATCCACATTGTCTTTTTGGTATTCTTTACACAATAAATAATAATCTACATAATCTGTGGAGTATATATGCACAACGGCACAGTATTTATAGAATTTTATATAGTATGTATGTGATTTTTAAAAACATAACCTTATTTCTTCTTGCCTATTAATCTTTTTTTAAGAATTATTTTATTAAAAAAAATAATACAAAATAATGAAAGCCAGATACCTGACGTTCTTCTCGTATATAGGAACAGGTCTCAGGTTTGTAAAAAACTGAACCATCGTTTTGAGGTTTTATAATAAGCTTCTTTTCTTTCTGAGTATTATTTTTTAAATACAGGTCATCTGAAAAAATTTGGTTAAAAGAAGGACGGCACTATCCAGATCCTCAGAGTGTTCAAGGTCTCATGGAAATAGCGCTGCTAAAATTTAAGTCATTGAACTATCCTCTTTTTATTTTATCTAGTCGGTAAGAAACCAATGAACCATGCACTATCGCACATACAAAAAAACATACAAACAGACGTACACTCAAATTGAAATTCTTTTTTGATGTCTGTTTTAAATCAGTCTCTATTACTGATTAATTATTTATTCTATAACATTTTTTTTTTATTGTAGCACAGATGGAGGAGTCCATGCACTAAATTCCAGTGCACACTTTGATCTAGAAAAATATGGTGGAAGTATATATGAACCTAATAACATTACGTATCAACTAAACAAGTATTTCTTCAAGAATAACATCAGTATATATGTCAAGAAATGTTTAAGAGTATCTGATGACTTCAATGCTAGACGTAAAGCAATATCTAGGACTTATTTATATAGGTAAACAACATTTTTTTATTTCAACTTCAAACTCCGAGGAGCATAACTATGAGAAACTATCCCCTAATTAAGTGGCAAATTAACTTATTTCTAAACAGGCTTGCTCTAATTCTGCTGTAACTATTATAATTCAAAATATTAAATCTGCAGTATCAAACACAAAATACCTGATATTATGTGCAATTCTTTCATATAGAAATATCCTACTAACATTATAAATGTAAAAGATTATTAGAATGGATTAATAAATAGATGAATCAATGGATAGATGGATGGATGTTTGTTACTCTTTCGTTGCAAAAATCACTGAACAGATTTTAATGAAATTTGATACGTGGGTAGCTTATGACCTAACTTAGTACTGATACAACAGGGTAAACTGCAGCTGATTATGAATATTTTTGAAATTAGAGTAGATGCTACATTTTCCAGACCCAGATAATAAAGGTTTGAACAATATAAATGTTTACCAAATAAAATGTTTTCCTCCTGTTTAGTATTATAAAACTTTTGCTATATTATATAGTTACATAAAGGTCATTGATTTGTTGCAACAACATGCAACAACTCATTGAAATATTTATTTCAATCAGACTGGCAGTGATAAAGAAAGACATTGTAATACCAGAGTATGTTAGCATTGCTTCATATATACCAATTGAAGAGTGGAAGAGATGTCACTTTTTAAGGTAAGCATTTTTTAAAGTTTGAGAACCTGGTATATTTTATTTTTTTATATAGGTATAGGCAATGGTTTCCACTTTCCATCAGGTGGGCCGACAACTTGTTTGCCATTCTAAGTAAATGAGAAAAAATAATTAGATGTTAAATTTTAAAAAATCCCATTGCTGGGTGTATAGGATGCTGGTGCTCCAAGGGCTGTGATCTAAACTGCTTGAAAGAATTGTCACATTAAACACATTTTAATTGACAATCTCGAACTTACCTATTTCTCTGGTGATTATATAAACATCGTTAATAAACCAGAACGTATACTTATATTATAACGAGGAAAGATTTGATTATTTGTTTGTAATTAATAAACTCAAAAACAGCTCATCCGAGTTTCAAAATTCTATCTACCTATGTTGCTATTAAATATTACAGTAATAACACTAGACTCCTAGTATCCTCCTAGTGTTGGATTTACCCAGGCACATGCTCAGTGAAACATAGGCAAATTGATTCAATTTGCCTATGTATTGAGTATGTTGAAATTTGAATCCATTTATTAGTGCAAATCCATAGCAATCATATTTAATATTAAAATTCTAAACAACTGTTTTACAAAGTACTAACAATTTAATGAAATAAAAGTTATTTTTATTATTATATTTTATTCCAGATTACACAATTTTGATATAGAAAAATTTAAAGAGGGTGCTAAATACTTCGCGGGGTACCATGATTTCACAACTTTTAAGAGATTTGATAAGTTACAACAACACAAACACAATCGTCGTACTATATACTCTATAGAAGTAAAACCTGGTCGCCCTACAGTAACAAGTTACACACACTCCCAAGAAAGTATATTTGATTATTGGGACGTTGAGATCAAAGGCAGATCTTTTGTACACAATCAGGTATTTAGCAATATTTTTATTAATTTACTATGAAATGTATTTAGGTGTTACTTTTCAGTCATGTATAAATCTGTGTGTATAAGGCAAGTGCCTTATCTTTCCAAATAAAAAAAAATCCCATTATCTAAGCCACGGATTCTATATCCAAGTGACTAAAAAGTACTCCTAGGAACCACATGAAGCATTGTGTTTCATTAAGTGAATTTTTTTCTATATTTTTTTTTCGTTTGTATCAGATAAGGCGAATGATAGGCACACTGATCAGTGTTGCTACAGGCAAATTACCAGCTGAAGAGATAAAGGTTATGCTGCAAGTGCCATCCAAATACTCGTGGCACCCGTTCATACAAAACTGCCCCCCTGACGGTCTGTACTTGTGCAATGTAGAGTACAACCCTGAAGATTTGATATACAAACCCACAGGGACATCTGAAGAAGTAGAAGAAAGCTTGAACAGTGACAGTGAGTGAAAATGAGTTTTCTCAGTGAACTAGTAAAGAAAAAAGATAAATTAAAAGTAACAGATACAGTTGTAACTAAAATAGATGGTCAAAGATATGTAGAGAGAGGTGGTGATGCGAAAAACGTTGAAAAACTTACACCGTGCTATGGTTTCGTTGTAGATACAAAACCGGACAATGTTCCTGTATTAGTCATAGACAATTTGTACATAGGATCACAGGATTGCGCTTCGGACAGTGTGATAGATGTTAATAACATTAAACATGTACTTAGTTTAGGTGTAAATGTATATGTAAATGTAAACCACAAATATATAGATTGTTTAGACTTGCCTGAAACAGACATAAAATGTGTGTTGAGAGAAGGTATACCATTCATAAAGGAGGCTGTTGATAAGAAAGAAAATATATTAATACACTGCAACGCAGGCGTGTCTCGGACTTCAATGATGGCTATAGGATACTTGATGCATTGTGAAAATATGCAGTTTGAGGATGCATACATATTGGTGAAAGAGAAACGGCCCGCTGTACAACCTAATGATGGGTTTAGGAAACAATTGATGGCACTAAATCCGGGCCAGGTGATTTAGTGTCGTGTCTATCGACACGTGTTTGACCGTCGTTTCGTCGAACGGTATTTCGTTGGGAATACTGAAAATTTCAGTATTTCCAGAGGTACTAATTAAAATTCTAAATATCTTTTGCTCTTTGCATAATTTAAGTTTAAATTTTATTACTACAAGATCCATTGGAACAGGAGATCGTGCGATCAGGATTCGTGCGAGCGAAGCCGCGGGTGTCGGCTATTAATTAAAAAAAGAACACTGTTTATCAACAGAACTATTTATTAAACAATAAATAAAGCAATTTTAAGTACCGGGTGCCAAAAGTGTATATATAATTAATATAATTTAAAGTGATGTTACATATCACAATATTATATGGAAGCACAAATGAATTACAGACAGTATTTGTTATGTAGCACCAAATTCATAAGTTTTCTGAAGCTAAAGCTATACTTAAACTTAATCAACATTTTATAAATATCATTCTATCTGTACAATGGCATATTTATAATAAACATCGAGTATGTTTCATTTCAAATTTGGTTAAAAGCATTAGATTGTTATATTTTACTTCAAAATTATTATTTGTTATGATGTTGGCTGTTACCAAATTAGAAATTGGTTTCACGTGCATCTATCCGTGAATAGAAAACGTTTAGTGCACTACCAATAAACATCAAAGTATCTACTATAATCAATGCCTCTTATTTTCAAGAACCTAACTTTTAAACAAAAATACATGAAAATTCTAATATCCGACATCTTATAAGCAAAGTACTAAACAAATAAGTAGATACGAGACTTATTACACTATCAAATATATGTATTAACCCTATTAATAAATACGAAAGTTTGTAAATAGGGATAGATGAACGTTTGTGACTCTTTCACGCAAAAACTATTGAACAGTTTTGAATGAAATTTGATACATGGATAGGTTATATCGTAACTTAGGACCTTATGTAAAACAAAGTAAAATTTTTAATGCTGATTAAAAAAAAAAAAAAGAAAAGTAAATTGTAATTATTATGAAATTTAATCATTGTTATGAAAGAGCGGTGTCTCCTAACACAAGCAATCTTTGCTTAACAGGAGATACCAAACCCTGTAATGTAACTAACTACCTTTGTATAAAGAAATAAATTTATTATTATTATTATTATGTATTAATTCACGTGGTCAGAGCCACGTGATACAGGTAGTATATCTCAATCATAAAGAGCAAGAGATATATAATTTTTCTTTAATTCAAGTAGCAGGTATTCCTATATATTTCATAGTGTAATAAGCACCTAATTCCAATTGATATAACATATTTATAAAACATACATTAAAAATAAATCTTAAGTCACAAAACTGGGTTAATTATCCAATTATTCCATACATCTCTCATACAACTGGACAACACTGGGGAAATGTTACAGTCAAGTGACTTTATCTCGTCCCACTGTAGTCTTTCATACACTACGCAATTTAGTAATATCATCGCCCTACTTCATGTGTATTATATATAATTATAAATGTATACATAATGTCCGCTTGATGAAGTTATTACACTGTTAAATATGACCATGTTTAAAGCAGAATGCAAACAAAATATATCTTAATAGATTATTATTGTACTACAAAACATTATAATATCTTAGTGAACTGATAGATTTATTTATACATTATTATAGAGTAATAACCCTTAAACGATAACATAATTTATTGAATATTTTGCCAAGAAAAAAAAATGTTTAGTCAGCTCTATGGTTCTCAAATAGCAAGCAGTTTATTGCCACCCAATCATGGTGGACACAAAATGCACCTTTATTGCACTACAAAACATTATAATATCTTAGTGAATTGATAGATTTATTTAAATATTATTATAGAGTAATAACCCTCGAACGATAACACAGTTTATTGAAGATTTTCCCAAAAAAAAAATGTTTAGTCAGCTCTATGGTTCTCAAATAGCAAGCAGTTTATTGCCACCCAATCATGGTGGACACAAAATGCACCTTTATTGCACTACAAAACATTATAATATCTTAGTGAATTGATAGATTTATTTAAATATTATTATAGAGTAATAACCCTCGAACGATAACACAGTTTATTGAAGATTTTCCCAAAAAAAAAAAATGTTTAGTCAGCTCTATGGTTCTCAAATAGCAAGCAGTTTATTGCCACCCAATCATGGTGGACACAAAATGCACCTTTATTGCACTACAAAACATTATAATATCTTAGTGAATTGATAGATTTATTTAAATATTATTATAGAGTAATAACCCTCGAACGATAACACAGTTTATTGAAGATTTTCCCAAAAAAAAAATGTTTAGTCAGCTCTATGGTTCTCGCATAACAAGCAGTTTATTGCTACCCAATCATGGTGGACGCAAAATGTACCTACTGTAATGTGAAATGGTGATATATACCCCCTACTTAAAACATAATATACAATGGTACACAATGCTTAACTGTGACCATATCACAATCTTCTTCAACTCTTTGCACTCCGTTTTCATCGTATTTGCGACATTGAAATGCTAACATTAAATCCACTGTCGCGTCTACGGCGACACAGTTGTTTTACAGACCCTGCGCTCTTTATAAAATAGCTAAGAAATAAATGTTTTATTGCTCATTTTTCTTTTACATCACAGGTATGTACTCGTAACTAATATAGTGCTGGAGTTCTTGGCGTCCTCTATGAGTTGCTAGGCTGGAGTGCAAAGGGTTAATTATTCATACTCAATAACATACATTGACGGCGAAAGCAGGATAATGAAATGCGTCGCCATTTTTGACGATACAATGCATTTTTGGCAACTATCTGTTGTCATATAGTAGATAGACTATTTCATAGCGAGAACTCCGCTTTGCTAAATATAATAAAACCATAAGAATATGATTCAAATAATTTTGATAAAAGAAATTTGTTTTGATCGTATTTATAGACAATAATGATATACCAATATGTTAAATAATAAATACTATATACAACAATGGGCATTATTTGAAGGACGGATGAAACTCACTCGCTTTACTACCCAGGGGTAAACTTAAACGCTAAGAAATATACAGTTAATATAAAACAATACGTTATTTGAAGCACCTACATAAAATGTATATAATGATACTTGCACGCGCCAATGATTATAAACAAATGGGAATCTAGTTCTCTATGGACAAACACTTATTAAATTATAAAAATAACTTATATGAACACTTAATATTTGGTGAGGAAATAATAAGGATGATTCAGTAGCGGAATATTTCTACTTCAATCAACTATGAGCCAATGGTGTTAATTTTATAAAAAATTTGTATATTTGATTTTCTATAAAAATGCATTCTAAAATATTCTATATGTTATATCTAGTCAGATTCTAACATATAATTTTTCAATTTAACATTATATCGTAATATTTCACAAAAAGTTTATTTCAAATAGGATCCCTTGGGGGGAAAAACTATATTTAACGTATAGTAAAATTTGTTGACATTTATAATTGGAACACTCATGATAATAATATGAATTTAGTTTTTTTTTTTTAATCCAAGGGGGTCTTACTTTATGAATAAGTATAGATTTTCTGTAAATTACAATATCTAGTATATAACATGCTATGTCCATATCCCATATAGTGAACTCATTTAAAAATATAATGTATATAAATAAAAAAAAAGTCAGGTGTAACTAACACTATTAAAAACTCCAGAACGGCTGGACAGATTTTGATAATCTATGATTTGTTGGATTCATCTCCGCCCCAAATAGCAATAGAATAACTATTAAAATGTCAGAAATATTCACGTAAAAAAAAATACAGAATAAATTATTTCAGACCGTTAGGCGGTACGAAGTTCGCCAGGTCAACTAGTTAGTATTAAAATTAAATTATAAAAAAAAATTAAAAAAAGGACATATCACATTCTAGTATCTGCCCATTATAATAAATTTCATTACATTGTGCTTTGCAATATGCAAGTGGCAAGTCTAAACACGTTTTGTACATCTATATCTAATAGTAAAAAATCATCCTCCTGCATTGCTTTAAGCATTAATTTCAAACTTACAGCAATTGTACAATGTAAACAAATCTCTTTGAGATCGTATAGTTTAGATACATACTATCCACAGCAGGGGAATGTCAATTTAGAGTCACAATAAAATCAGCGGTGCCTTCCCATACACGAGTATAATGCAGTAATGACCAGCTTTCAGTCTTCAATAGCGCATTAGGGGCGTATTACACTATCAAATTTAACATCACCCATATTAGACCAATAATTATAGAACAAAAATAAAACGCGACCTCACTAGATGATTCCCAAAACTATACAAGAAACAAAAAAAAAATAGTTTAGTTGTATCACTAGCTTGATAAGTTAAATATTATATAAATAATATATGATAGTGTAATAAAACCCCTTTATAAAATCTCTATAATGATGTAACAGTGTAAAGAACAACCAGTTGTTCAACGCATTTGTCATATCTCGAAAGAATATTACGACAATTCGGGACTCATTACTCTGAGTAAATATGTATATTGGACAACTGGAATGTGTTCTTTAGACTGTGGTAATATGTTGAATCTAACATTGTCTAACCAACACAAGGCAAAAACATCAGTACAAATGTATCATTTATATATAAAATGTTTTATTTATTTATTTATTACGTCAACTGGATGAGCTTTACAGTCTCCCAATACGCTTACCCAGGAAAGCAGCAGAAGCGTCCCAAAGGAATAATAAACATAAATAAATATACATAAATATTATTAAAAAGATTTAACTAGAAATATCATTAGAGCCTAAATCTCTGAACACAAACACTCTGTGGTCATACGACGAAACTCCAGCAAGTTGGAGACAAATACGTTCAATTGTGGATACTGGCTCAAAGCATCACTGAGTAGTTTCAATGCTCTTGCATATATATATATAGATAGGGGAGCTTGCTTAGCGAACTCTATTCTTCTCGTCTACGTGCTCGCATGTAGTTACTGGATGCTCCTATTGATATTGATACCAGTACAGTTCAGTTACATTCCCCTCCCCCCACCCAGTACAAATTTTAACACATATTGAATTAAATTTAGTTTTAATTAAATTTAATTTTACATCATAAATGTGAAATTATAGTGAAAAAAGGTCACAGTTTATCAATAAGCAATAAAATTAAAATCATATAAAAGTTTCGAAAAGCGAAATAAAATGCGTACATACAAAAAAAAATTAAGTACCTATGCAATCTAAAATCATAATAAAATTTCATTGTACTTTAAATAAACGCCGCTTAAACTTGTATCACTAAAAATAATAACGAGGCACTTGCGTAATCTCATAATAATTGAACAAAACATGTCGCATAATACTACAAATATTTTCAAAAATAATAAAAAAAACCCAGACTTTTTCAATAGTTTATGCCTCCTAAATTATTCTATACTAACATTGTATATTACAGCAGTGAATCTGGCAATAACCTATTTAGTAAAATCCATAAAGCCTTAAGCTACACTATTGCACCTAAGATTCAGACATAAAAATAAAAAAAAATGTAAACAAACAAGTAATTAATCCTATTATAAACAAGCAATTGATGTATACTTACATCCAAAAACATTACACACCATTCTTGGCCAGTTGGGTAAAAATAGTCAAAATGAGTCAAGGCCATTATAAAATGTTGTTAACCTATCACAACTCTAGTGCGAAGTACTTCATAATGCAATGAAGACCGATGAAATTATAAGTACAGTCAAGTGCACAATAAACCAATGTACACTTTAGTTCTTAAAATTATATGGAATGTGACCGATGATGTATCACATTGACAAATATTATGAGCATTGTTCAAATATTACACCGCGTCCTCTAATTATATCACACTACACCAAGCGTAAAACCGATTCCAAGATATAATATCAATTTATTAGATATTTCAAAAATGAAATCATATTCTAATAATTGATATTTCGAAGTGGACTAGGTTTGTAACCGCACCTCCTACAGTATTTTAGGCCAGTTCTCTTAACAATTAAACTGTCCACTCATCAAATTCTACTTTTGTTTTCATTATAAAAAAAAAAGTGCATTTTAAATCGTTCAATAATCGATCGATTTTCAATCTGTGCCGGTAATTAATTATTCACTTAAAATATTTAAGAACGTTCATAACTTTTACATTCCAAAATGTGGCAACGTCGCATCTATCTGTCAATTTTCAATAACAAATGAACGATTTTCAATGTTTTCGATTGACTATTTGACAAGTGCGTCAATAGTCACATAAAACTTTAATCAGAGAATACATTGTATATAAATTTTCAACGAAAAACTACACCTACTTCATATTTTATCTCCGAATTTTTCGAATACTTTTTCCATTGAAATCCAAATTTTCAATGATAGCTAAAAAAATATTTTTGCATGATTAAAGTTTTAGTTCACTATCAGAGCACTTTTTTAAATAATAAATTAGAAACATTGTAAAATCGATTGTTTTAAAAAATTGACTGATAATTGCGACGTTGCAACACTTCGTTGTGAATGCTTTTAAATGTTAGATATATATGCCACTGTGGCAAAGGAACCGGATACGCTCTCCTACAGCCCAGACTACGACTAGCATACTAATATAAATGCAATATATTTCATCATCAAGTCTTCATCTCAGTCGTTATTTTAAAATTTACGGCCGTTCCAGTTACCTATATGTTAGTCAGCTCACTACAGCAGATATTTAGTTTATGCAAACAGCGTCATAAAGATCCATGCAAGAATCTTGAAATAAATCCTAATCGATCACCAGACCTACAATCCCTACGCTCAAGTAAAAAAAGACTTTCAAACGCAACAAATGGCGTTTATTTTGCAATAATTTAAGTAAATACGCCGTTCTTATAAATGACTACTCGTAGATTTTAAATTGTATCAACGAGATACCTACTTTCTTCTAAATATACGCCGTATAAGATATTTCAAAAGTATGTCAGTGTATACATGTGTGAGGCTAATATAAAAGTTGTATAACTGTTGTATGAGATTGATTACTCAATGTTCCAGTCGATGCTTGGCAGTCGTTTACTTTGGCACTTAAAGTAAGCTCATAAGTGGAATTGTCTCATGTTTATATTACTTCGGGCATACATACATATATGATTATATTATGCAATATAGATACTTCATCACCGTACTATGTAGATCGTAACCTCATTACATATAATCCTTATTGTTATAAACACGTAAACTACTACTAAATCTCTGTTTTAGCTATTAAAGCCTTCTGAAAGAAAGTCAATAGTTAAAAGAGGTTTTATACAATTTATATTTTTTATGAATATTACATTTTTAAATATTATACTAAATACTTTTGAAATAAACACTTTTTAAATATATACAAATACAGTGTAATTATATAAAAAAAAAAAAACTATAAATAGGTGTATAATTAATATTAAATTTTTATTAATATAATTAATAATAAAAAAAAATTATTGTATAAGTAGTTACTGTTAGGTTTGCATGTGTGTTTTATATGACTTTAAAAAAAAATGTGTGAGTACAAACACTAGGTGCAAATAATATACACAGATACTATATAATAATATAAACAGATAGAATTCCCAGTTGCTTAATACTTCAAATAAGTTCATTGGAAGTTATACGTCTTTTTAACAATACAGCCGCATAGTACGGAATAGAAGTATGTCAAAATAATAAAATTAAAAAACAGTTCAATGCATTAATCATTAAAGGTTCGATTAGGTTCACTTGTACATCATATTTAGACTATAAAATATATAAAAACCACTTATCATCCGAAGCTGCCTAAGAACAATACAATTTGGCACACGTGCGGCAGGGTAGCGTCCCTACTCGTAAATGGCATTTTAATAGGCAAGTTGGTCAGTCGGCTTTATACGGAGAGACCGGCCTGACCGGTTGGCTCTAGCGGTCGTGTGGCTAAATTGTGTCGTCCCCAGACAGTTGTAGCGTACGAACCATTAGGGAGGCGTGCAGGCGATCAGAAGCTCTTGAGCGTGAGGCCGCGCGCGGGCAGGCTGTTGGCCTTGGCGGGAACGTCCTTGGCGTGGGAGTGTGCGACCGCGATGGACAGGCACTGCGCCCACTGCTCCGCGTTCTTGCTGTCCTTCGGCTTCAGTATCAGCGTCTGGTCCCCCGTGAAGATCTCGAACGCCTTCGGGATATTGCGCGCGCCGCGGGACACCTTCACCGATCTGATTTGGTTTATGTCTATGCTCTCTCCGCCACTCTGCAAAGTGTACAGTTCTATTTGGATAAGAGGATTTATTTATGCATTTCAGTTTAACAAATGAAGACGAAAGCTTTTTTTTGATGAAAATTAATAATGTCGTAGAATAATAAAAAAAAAAAAAATCTTTTCCAGTACACTTACATATACTTATTTAATTTCATCCACTTATTTTGTGATACGTAGGTAAATAATGATGGACACAAGTAGATAACAACTTAAAGAATTTGAAGTAAAAAAGTTTTTGTGATATGTTTGAAAATACTTGCATACATCAATAAGTAACAAAGTGATAAGGTCACCCATTTGTTCTCTCACTGTGATTATTTCTTGTAGTTTATTTGTTTCTATAATAAATTTACTATTGTAATCTTTTGGAGGAAACAATGAAGAGTATCTATCTATCTATCAAATCCTCAAATAACAATAAACTTGATATCTATTTAAACCCCCATAGAGCAAACACCGTTAGCAAAACTACTTGTTGCACATGTATGAGGCGCAACTGACCGCGCCCTTGCAGGAGAGGTGAGCGCCGGACAGCGTGAAGTAGCGCGTGCGCCAGCGGCGGAACAGGCGCCAGCGGCCCTTCTTCTCCTTGAGCTGGCCCTCGATGAGCGGCGCGCCGGCCGCGTCCAGGAAGTCCACGGCGCGCTCGGGCCGCGTGCACAGGAAGCAGCCCCACGTCGGCTGCCCGCCGCCGCCGCCAGCGCCGCCGCCAGCGCCGCCGCCGCCGCCGCCGCCGCCGCCGCCCTCCGCCGCGCTCAGCTCGAACACGTCGAAGAACCCCGCCGCGCGCAGCTCGTTCAGCAGCATCTCCTGCTCCTGGATAAGCCAACACATTTCAAATTTAAGATTGCGTTCCACAAACAAAAAAATAAACTTCAATTATGGCAAAACCCGTTATTTTGATTTAAAAACTAAACTACTAAACCCATTTTGACAAAATTTCAATGGGACCAATCTGTAAGTACATCCTTTCAGAAAAAAGAAAGTGTTTTTCAATTCGGTTTGCAACTGCCGGAGTTATAAGGTAACAAACATAAAAAAATATTATACAAACGAATTGAGAATCTTTTTCTCTTTGAAGTCGATAGAAAATGTACAGTAATATTTGTAATAAACGATTGCTGTGACCGGTGGTACATCATATATCATCAGTCAAAGTCAGATTTAGATATATTTGAGTGACTGAGAGTAACTGTTAAATTTTGTTCAGATTCTTCTTGGCAGATAATAAATAATACTCTAAACTCAGCAGTATAATAAAAAAAAATAACGATTTAAAATAAATTTTAAACTAATTTATTTGAATAAAATGATTTGAATCTGGTGTGGATCGTAGTATTGTTATTAATAGGACACATCGACATAATTAAACGCCGGTAGAACCGTTTTATTTTTACGTCCAATAATGTAATGCGAAAAGTAATCCAGTAGACTGCTGTATTAATATTTATAAGGACAAGAGGAGCGGAGACCTTGGGGCCGGGGAAGGCGCTGGTGACGAGCGTGAGGAAGGTCTTGTTCTCGCACTTGAGGATCTCCCAGCAGTGCTTGAGCGAGGCGACGTTGGGGTCGCGCGAGGACAGCGCGGCGGCGTGGCGCGCCTGCAGCGCCAGGAACATGAGGTGGATCCAGACGCGCGGCGCGCGCGTGCGCACGCTGAACGGCGCGCGCGCGTACAGGCAGTGCGGCCCGCGCCGCCCGCACGCGAACTGCAGCCGCGCCTGCTTCTTCGACCGCCGCTCTGCCACCACACCGCGCCACAATCTTACTAAGCCACTTCACTCTTTTACTATATATTCCAGTGAGGACACTTTGTACAAAAGTCGATTGCTTGGCTACCTCTGTCCCATTCGTGTTTCTACCGTGAAGCAGTTGTGTTTGCATGGCTGCGTTTCGGTTTGAAGGGTGAAACGTGGTGTGAATTTACAGAAATAATGTTTAAATCCAAATATTATTTAAATAATCAATAGAAAACATTGAAAATTGTTAAAATGTTTTTGCAAATTATTATAGATAATTGAAACGTCGAGCGCAGAAACTCAATGTAAATCACTGACCTTTTGTACAGTGTGTGAATCGACAACCGATGAGAAAGATTCTTAAATGGCGACCCCGTACAGGCAAACGCAGTGTAGGACGAATCCTTTCCCTTATATAGAACAATGACTTCAAGTACATCGCAGGAAATCAGTGAATGCAGATGATTTGAAACCATTCCTTAGAGCATTCTAGAGGAGAGGCCTATGTTCCTCGACATAGGCTTCAGTAACAGTCGACTAATAACGGTTGACACAATAATGATGATGGTAATAAAATGAAAGCTAACTTGTGAACACTCACCCTCTATGGTGCACTTGGCGGGCGGAGGCAACTTTAACGAAACATTATCCATATAGGCCTTGATCTTGTCCAAGTGTTTCTCGCAGAAATGTTGCACCGTGTCCCTCATGGGGTACGGCTCGAACACGCTGATCCTGTGGTTCGAGTTCGAGTTAGAGTTGATCATAGTCACGCTGGTGTTGTTGGCTCGTCGTGACGTCACCGTCACCGGCCCAGATATCGATACTGGGCTCGTTTGGGGCGCACCCACTGAAATTGGCCCCGAGCCACAACTAGTGGACAGGATGGCGGGCCCACTGGTAGCATTCGAGTTAATAACAGACACGTGCCCGAGCGCGGTATTCGAGTGCTGGATGGATACGCCCGTGATGGAGCTGAGAGCGTCAGTAGACTTCCCGGTGAGCGGGTTGACGGATATAGACTGCGATTGCAATGGAGCCGGACCGGAGATTATTGTTGGGCCGGTGTTCTGTAACAAGTAACTACTAGTTAGGATTTTTGGTGGATTATACACTCCTCGCAAAAATTAAGGGAACATAAAAATTTTTGAAATTTTTGGGTGATTTTCAACAGGCTGTATTTCAGTGAAAAATAATCGTTCAGGAAATTTAAAAAAAGGGTTTTGAAGCTTGAAAACTCTAGTTTTCAGATTTTTTGGTGAAAAAATTTTTTGAACTCCGGTTTCTATGCAATTCTTAAACAAAGCTGAAAATATTTTTTTTCTAAATTTTCTAGGTTTTGTTTTTCACTCTATGGGCATGGAAAATTTTTTTCGAGCTACTCCATTGTATAGGTCTCTTAGCGTGTTTATTCAGCTTCAAAAATCGCTTTGGATGGCTCAATTACGACCATTTGTCTCCGAGATATCAAACTTTGAATGCAAAAGCATCCTTTTCCATTCAACTGCTAATATCTCTGGAACTACTGGTCGTACAGCAAGTGGGCGCCGAGTTTCTTTATTTGCATAAAATTTTCTTGATTTTTTTCGATTTTTTTTGATAATGAATTTTTAAAAAACAAAAAATTGAGTAAAAAGTGAAAAACAAATGAAATTATTGATTTTTGAATGGATTAGGGTGAGTTTAAGGGACAAAAACCTTGTTCCCTTATTTTTTCCAAAATTTCAATCAATTGGTCCGGGAAAAACCGTTGAACCGATCGCTCCAGGGATTTAGGGGGTTCTTAAAGGAACAATAGACTGTAAAATTTTCCTCAAACCTTAGCTTTCCCGCCCATATTAGCGAAGATACAGCCAAGTAACCAAAAAAGGAGAAAAAGTCACTTTTTTCCACTTTTTTCAATTCAATGTTAGAGGTGGAAAAAAAATTTTTTTCACTAACTCTTGACTGTGCTTAATTGGAAATTTTATGCAGATAAAGAAACTCGGCACCCGCTTGCTGTGCGACCAGTAGTTCCAGAGATATTAGCAGTTGAATGGAAAAGGATGCTTTTGCATTCAAAGTTCGATATCTCGGAGACAAATGGTCGTAATTGAGCCATCCAAAGCGATTTTTGAAGCTGAATAAACACGCTAAGAGACCTATACAAAGGAGTAGCTCGAAAAAATTTTTCCATGCCCATAGAGTGAAAAACGAAACCTAGAAAATTTAGAAAAAAAAATATTTTCAGCTTTGTTTAAGAATTGCATGGAAACCGGAGTTCAAAAAATTTTTTCACCAAAAAATATGAAAACTAGAGTTTTCAAGCTTCAAAACCCTTTTTTTAAATTTCCTGTACGATTATTTTTTACTGAAATACAGCCTGTTGAAAATCACCCAAAAATTTTAAAAAATTTTATGTTCCCTTAATTTTTGCGAGGAGTGTAGACGCAAATTGTAACGAATTTCCATCTGTATCTGTAGGCGAATTGCGACAAAAAATTATTAAAAAGATTTGGTCACAGATGCAATACATATATCCAATATAATTTAACAACAACTTGGACATTATTTTATCCGAGAAAAATAAATGTATTCTACAACTGCACAAAGTTCTATGTGAGTTGAAAAGAGAATAAAGGAAATATATTTTATTTTTCATAGTCATACTCAGTATATGGCCATGGCCAAACAAGCCTTCAATAACAAAAAAACACCTTTTACAGGCTAAGATAATAAAAGATATCAAAAAGCGGCTTATCAAAACCTATATCTGGAGTATAGCTTTGAATGGATGTGAGATGTGGACATTAACTCAGAAGGAAATGAATAAACTTAGAGCCTTTGAAATGTGGTGCTGGAGAAGGATGGAGAAAATTAGCTGGAGGGATCGAATTAGCAATGAGGAGGTCCAGCTTAGGGTTAAGGAAAAAAAGACAAATTATTAGAACTATTGAGGACAGAAGGGGAACAGAACTTATGAACATTATATTTAGAAGGTAAGATAGAAGGAAGGAGGGGAAGAGGGAGACCGAGACACAGTTATATCAGGCAGATCAAGGAAGGAATTGGTGTCGTGTCGTATCAAGAGGTGAAGAGACTCGCTGAAAATCGTAGTGAGTGGCAAGAGCTCCATCGACAAGAGCGCAGCTCTTAAATAGGATAGATGGACCCAGTATATAAAAAGATTGAGAAAGTTACAAGAATTATCAGACTGTTTCAGTTTATTGGTACAAATATATTTCAAGAAACACGTTTTCAATTTACCATCAAATATATCTACTTTTATTGAAGTTCAATTAGGAAATCTTCCATAAAACAATATCTAAATGACAGTGAAATCTGTGTCAAAATCCATTGAATAGTATAAAGTAAGGAGAGGCACTTGCCAAGTGGGGCAATTACTGATAGACCCCCGTTAATTAGGCCTATTTTCAATAATGAATAGTAAACCACTGTGATAATAATTAAGGGGACGCTCACGCAGGCCATAGACGACGACTTCGCTATAAGATATCATTGCAAGTACTGTTCGCACTACCTCCAGGCAGTGCTAAAGAAGCAATATTCTGTATTCTGAGCAAATAATCCACTTAGTTGCTGTCTATTTGTATCTCTATAGTACATTATTAGGTATGCTTAAGTTTTTTTCTGCTGTTTTATAAATCGTTTTTGCTCTTTCATTAACACCTATTTATACTCTAACTATAATATGCTACATATGTCTCAGACTTGGGGGGAAAGGGATTGTTAGTAATGGAGATTGAGAATCCCATTGCTAGCAATATACCCAACCAGGTCGACCTCCTCGCGGTTCTCCCTGGAAACTATCATGGTTAATTCCTAATGAATTCATCATGATGGGCTAACTGGCCTGTTTTCATTCTTATCTATCACCCTTCACTGGTGCTCCGCCAGTGTATCCCGTTAGCGCAGGCGGGGTTACCATACCATTTTCACCCATCAAAAAACAACACAGTTGATGCAAGACTTTTTCTCTATGTATACAGAAAAGTTGATACACACCACTGAGGTGGCGGTGGCGGTGGTGGCGGGCCCGATGACGATGTTGTGGTGGTGGGCGCGCTGCGGCGGCGGCGGCGGCTCGGGCGCCGGCGGCCGCGAGCGGGGGCCGCCGCCCGCCGCACGCCCGCCCGCTGCGGCTGCCAACCACAGTACCATGAGAAACACGTCACGTCATACCGTTCACAACCAACGTACGGAAACGTGAGGGAAAGGTCTGTTAGTAATGCGGACTACCAGTCCCGTTAGCTAGCAAAATACTCTATCAGGTCGACCTCCACGCGGTTCCCCCTGGAAACCATCGTGCTGAACTTTTTTTTAATGGATGACAATAGAGTGGTGACTCCGTCTGCGCGTGTGATAGAGTGAGTCCAGACAGAGAGACAGAATGAGATAGTAACGCTGGATGACTCGTTCCAACTCACGGACTCGCTAGCGATGTCGATTCCATCGACGAATTCGCTTGCCACTCGTCTAGAGGGCCTGGTGTATTCATCCTGATAAGCTAACTGATCTGCGTTTTCATTGTCACCTATCATCTCTTACTAGTGTCCCGCCAGTGAATACCGTTAGCGCAGACGGAGTTACTCCATTCATCCATTAAAAAAAAAAAATACAGCAACGTCGCAATCAGCTGTCCATTTTTAAAAACAATATTTCTAATTATTTCCGATTGATTATTTAAAAAATCCTCTTCTAGGCGAACGAAAACATCTCTTCTTTATCGTGCTGTAAAATTTTTATTAGACTGTCCACTGAAAATATGGATTTTGATGACAAAAATAGGTTTGTAATATTACAAAGTAAAATATGAAGTTGGTGCAAAATTTTTAGTAGTAGATTCATATGCGATGTATTCTATAATGGTCGCGTACAACGCGGTTTCAGAGATGCTTTCTCCCACGAACACTCAGGTTATGGAATGAGCTCCCTGCCGAGGTTTTCCCGAGAGACTACAGCATGGGGTTCTTCAAAAGGGGGTAAAGAGGTTTCTTCAGGGTCGGCAACGCGCGCGTAATACCTCTGGTATTGCAGGCGTTCATAGGCTACGGTAACCGCTTACCATCAGGTGGGCCGTATGCTTGTTTGCCACCTCAGTGGTATAACAAAAAAATTAACATTTTAGTTCGCTAGCAGAGCACTGTTTAGATAATCAATCAGAAACATTGGAAATTGTTCATTTGTTTTTGAAAATTGACAGAAAACTGCAAGGTTGCCACACTTCGGTAAACAAAGTTTACGAACGCTAACAAGAGAAAGTTCATATAAAAGTCATCTGTCTCATGTCATCATAACAATCTCGTGCCTTATGCCACCAAGCAGCTATACTTGCATGGCTGCGTTTCAATTTGAAAAATAAGATTAAATATCTTCATTTACTCAAATTGTAGGGTATAACATAATTAGTCCTCAGGAATGGCAACAATCCTAAGCCATAACTCCCCTCTCCATCAGATGAGCCGGCAGGTCGTTTGCCACTTCAAGTTAAATAAAAACCTCGTCCACTCCGCCCCACACCATTTTAAGGTCACATAATTAAAAGACAAATATAATATATAAATATATGATCTCGACCTTAGATTATATAGATAGAGCATCGAGCCTCAAAAACGTGTCAACTTTTTGTCAACTAATTGTTAAATTAGTTGACTTGTTTTTTTATCAATATTTTTTATATTTACGCATAAAATGTATCTTGACGTATTATTTAATATTTTTTTCTTTTATGCAACTTAGAATAGCAAACAAGCTGATGGCCCACCTGATGGAAAGTGGTAACCGTCGCCTATAGAAATGAGCAATACCATGGACATAACAGAGTATACTGTTTCGCCCATGATACCCCCCATGCGTTGCCATTCCTGAGGATTCGGGTGTTATTCCTCCGAACCCAGTAAATTCACGCCATATCCCACCCTTGAAACCGAAACACAGCCATGCAAACAACTGCTTCACGGTTGAAACACGAATGGGTACTCACGCATTAAACATGGTGCAGAATTTATAAGACAAAATAAATATAGAAGTTACAAAGGAATCACTCATAACTATTTATCACGCAAAATTGTATGAAAAAGTCGATCCGTTTTTCTCGAAGCATTTCTATGGAGACGCTCTATTTATATAATCTAAGGACTCGACATACAAAACTGTAGTCGTGTATAGTTGATAAACTATACTATACAGAAGAAGTTTGATATCGACTAACTTACCATTTTATATCAAATCATTTTGTATATTAAATCATTTACCAGTGTTTAATCCGAGTTATGTACAATAAAGATTTTACAATACTTACAGTTACTGGGGTGTGCATTGATATTTTGCTGCGTGTTGATTTGTTGGGACGAAGACAACCGTGTCATACTTTTATGCAAACCGCCGACGGATCCTCCTGGTGACAACGAAACACATGTACAATATACTGTTAAAGCAAATATAAAACAAATCCTAAGATAGAAAAAAAAACTTCTTTTTTATACAACTTACAATGGCAAACAAGCCGACGGCCCACCTGATGGTAAGTAGTAACCGTCGCCTATAGACATGAGCAGCACCATGGACATAACATAGTATACTGTTTCGCCCATGATACCCCCCATGCGTTGCCATTCCTGAGGACTCAGGTGTTATTCCTCTGTACCCTGTAAATTCACACCATATCCCACCCTTCAAACCGAAACACAGCTATGCAAAAACAACTGCTTCACGGTTGAAACACCAATGGGACAGAGATACCCAAGCAATCGACTTTTGTACAAAGTCTCCCTCTGGTGAAACTACAAAACAAATTATTTATAAACTTTATAACTACTCCTCTCCATCCAAAGGTTGCCTAGAAGAGATCGCTTTTAGCAATAAGGTCGCCCATTGTTTTCTCAGTGTGAGCATTTCTTGTAATTGTTTGTATCTATTTACGTAATAAGTTTACTACTGTTATTTTTTAGAGGAAACAATAAAGAGTATCTATCTATCTATAAAGATTATGGTTTAAAAAGTTTTTAATTTTTCAAAAACAGTATGTCAAAAATCGGAAAAATATAAAAATTATTAGAGAAATTAAATAAAATTAATTTATTGAAGCAAAAATATTTTCAGTTATATTTTTTTCTTTTTTTTTTTCAATTGCACATATTCAGGAACTAGTAATTAGAAATATGCAGAGCAGTTTTTATTTTTTTTATGGGTGAAAATGGTATTGTAACCCCGCCTGCGCTAACGGGATACACTGGCGGAGCACCAGTGAAGGGTGATAGATGAGAAAGAAAACAGGCCAGTTAGCCCATCATGATGAATTCATCAGGAATTAACCATGGTAGTTTCCAGGGAGAACCGCGAGGAGGTCGACCTGGTTGGGCATATTGCTAGCAATGGGATTCTCAGTCGCCATTACTAACAATCCCTTTCCCCCCCTATGCAGAACAGTTTGTCGGGCTCATAAAAAACCAATACCTGCGACATTGAGCCTGGTCATGCTGCGGTGTGAGTTGGGCCCGGTGTGCAGGCGGCCCGTGCTGCGCGAGTCGCCCAGCTTGGCGCGCCGCGTGTAGGTCGGCCCGCCGGGCGGCGGCGCGGCCACGGGCGGCGGCGGCTGCGACCCGCCCAACTTCACGATCGTCACCCCGCCTGATGTTCGATTCACTTCGCTGTTACATAAATATAGTAATTAATATTACAATTGTAAATGTTTGTTTGGATGCATGAATATTTGTTCCCTGGCCGTGTGGTCCCGGCATAGAATAGGCCACCCCTTCCTTTCCCGTGGGTGTCGTAAGAGGCGACTAAGGGAGGGCGAGGGATGGGCAGCAGCGTCCTCTAAACACCTCTAAACCCTGACTACGGTTGCCAATCCGCCTGCCAATCGTAGCAACTACTGGCAAAACCCCCAAAGGGGAGGCTTATGTTCAGCAGTGGACGGTTAAGAACTGATATGATGATGGATGTTTGTTACCATTTTCACAAAAATTACTGGACGAATTTGAATGAGACTTGGTACACGAGTGGGTTAATTTTGCACAAACTTTACTATACTTTATGTACTGATTGAAGACAAAGCCGCGGGAAATAGCTAGTAAATAATTGTAAGGTTGTATTTCGTTTTATACAACGATACGACAGTACACGAGTACGTACAGTAGATCTACGATATGTATTGCGTATCGAATAATTTGCAAAAAACCTTACTATAAGATTTAAATTAATGTAGTTATTTTTCATAGAAGACTTACAATTGTAAGCATTAAAGAATGTGAAATAGATAATTTTGATAAATGAAATTAAAGGAAATTGTTTGTGACACACCATTGAATGTGCACTGTTATGTAGACACTGAGGGTACCTTGTACGTACGATATCACAGCAACAGGCTGACGGGGCACCAGTCAGGAATGATATGAAGCAAGGCTGAAGCGGATCAGTTGGCCAATCGTGACGAATTCAACAATTATTAATGTCGCAGACATGGAACAATTTTTTCATAGGTGTACATGAAATAATAACCCCGCCTGCGGTATCAGTACACACTGGCGGGACACCAGTGAGGGATGATAGGTGAGGATGAAGTAGGTCTTTTTTTTTTTGGATAATAAGGAAATGGTAACTCTGCCTGCATTAACGGTGTAGCGAACTCTTTGCTACATTTTTATATTCTTATTGTTATTCGAAACTTATATATTTTTTTGACATATTGTTTTTACATATTGTTAAAATATATTTTGCTAATGTCTGTCTCCTCATCTTTTCTGTAGTTTTCCATTCTAAAATCCTCTCATTGCATATTAAAAGTATTATCTCCGTTTCAAACGGTATATACTAAGCGATGATAGATGAAGATGAAACAGGTCAATTAGCCCATTGTGACGAATTCGACAAGAATTATTCAAAATGATTTCAAGGGGGAACCACGTGGAAGTCGGCCTAATAAGACGTATTGCTAGCAATGAGTCTGTCAAACTCCACTGCGAACAATCCCTTCCCACCCCCCCAGATGAAGCGAGTCAGTTGACTAATAGTGATGAATTCAACATTATAGTGGAGAGCTCGGAGGGGGTGCGAAGTTCAGCGCCTCCTGCGCCAGCCGCTGCGGCCCGGGGCCCAGCCTCTGTCGACAGTTACCTGTGGTGCGGGCGCAGCGCGGCCAGCAGGCGGTCGGAGAAGAGCGCGGGGTAGGCGCTGCACAGCGCCGTGGCCTCGCGCACCAGCGCCGCCTGGCTGGCGCGCCCGCCCGCCACGCTCTCCAGCACGAAGTTCAGCGCCTCCTGCGCCAGCCGCTGCGGCCCGGGGCCCAGCCTCTGTCGACAGTTACCTGTGGTGCGGGCGCAGCGCGGCCAGCAGGCGGTCGGAGAAGAGCGCGGGGTAGGCGCTGCACAGCGCCGTGGCCTCGCGCACCAGCGCCGCCTGGCTGGCGCGCCCGCCCGCCACGCTCTCCAGCACGAAGTTCAGCGCCTCCTGCGCCAGCCGCTGCGGCCCGGGGCCCAGCCTCTGTCGACAGTTACCTGTGGTGCGGGCGCAGCGCGGCCAGCAGGCGGTCGGAGAAGAGCGCGGGGTAGGCGCTGCACAGCGCCGTGGCCTCGCGCACCAGCGCCGCCTGGCTGGCGCGCCCGCCCGCCACGCTCTCCAGCACGAAGTTCAGCGCCTCCTGCGCCAGCCGCTGCGGCCCGGGGCCCAGCCTCTGTCGACAGTTACCTGTGGTGCGGGCGCAGCGCGGCCAGCAGGCGGTCGGAGAAGAGCGCGGGGTAGGCGCTGCACAGCGCCGTGGCCTCGCGCACCAGCGCCGCCTGGCTGGCGCGCCCGCCCGCCACGCTCTCCAGCACGAAGTTCAGCGCCTCCTGCGCCAGCCGCTGCGGCCCGGGGCCCAGCCTCTGTCGACAGTTACCTGTGGTGCGGGCGCAGCGCGGCCAGCAGGCGGTCGGAGAAGAGCGCGGGGTAGGCGCTGCACAGCGCCGTGGCCTCGCGCACCAGCGCCGCCTGGCTGGCGCGCCCGCCCGCCACGCTCTCCAGCACGAAGTTCAGCGCCTCCTGCGCCAGCTCCTGCGGCACAGCCTCGCGCTTGTACAGTGCTCCCCTCGACGCGTGCACGGAACGATGCGGGCAATCCGCTGCGCTTGCATGCCCGTGTTTCGGTTTAAAGGGTGGGATATGGCAGTTCAATTACAGGGTACGAAGCCGTAACCCCACAGTCCTCAAGAAGGGCAATACGTGAAATGTACGATGGGTATCACAGACTATTTCTATTCATGTCTATAGATGACGATGATTGATCTCTAACGGGTGAGCTGTTAGCTTATTTGCCATTCTAAGTAACATAAAAAGTAACCACAATTTTTGTAAGTGTAAATACCATAACAAATGTTTGTCAAAATTGACATCGCAAACAACGTACGAGTATTTGCGCCAAATGTTTGGTAAAAATGGGAACTAAGGTAAATCAGGCAACGCACATTCGATGTTCAGTAAATTCTGAGCAAAAATAGGGAATTAAAAGCTCACTGATATTCTGATTTATATTAATTTGCTAACTTGTCAACTTTGACAGACAGAGAAGTAACTGTGTATAGGTAATCGCACATACTTATTTGTATTATTAAGAATGAATGACAACTTTATTTGCTTGAATACAGGTTACTATGTGGCATGCAAATATTTAATTTGAGACTCGGTATTATTAACTAAAAACCTTAATAATACGATCAGAGAGCAATATCATGTAAGTGTGGGATTTTTTTTTAATAAATGATAATGGAATGGGAACCCCGCCTGCGCTATCGGTATACGCTGGCGGGGTACCAGGAATGATAGATGACAATGAAATCAGGTCCATCGTGACGAATTCCACTAGAATTAACCACGACGGTTTCCAGGGGAAACCGTGTAGGCTATATTGCTAGTAATGAGTCTGTCTATTAGTGCCCATTAGTAACAATATCTTTCGCCCTCGTAAGTGTGTGTGTGTGTGTGTGCGTATAGGTGTTGGTCCGTCGAGCCGGATAGCCGGACAGCCGGCAGCCGGACAGCGCGGCGCGTCACCTTGGTGGAGTAGGAGAGCTGCGTGAGCGCGGTGGCGACGAGTGCGACGGCGCGCGGCGATGCGTGCGGCGGCCGCGCCGCCGCCGCCAGCGCCGCGCGCTGCGCCGACACCGCGCCCGCGCGCCGCGCCGACACCGCCACCATCACCTGCGCACCGCGACAACTACATACCACGCCCAACACGGCTGGCCCGGCCAATATTGAACACAGGTATTTCACGTAAACATTGAAAACATAACTCTTATAAGAATTGTAATTTGTATCTCATTAAAACTCTTCTATATACAAATTGAATCAGTAATTCAATGACTTTGCAATGCTTTTCCCCTTCCTTCTCAGAGGAGCAGGGAACAAAAAATGACCTACACCATAGAAAAATATAATTCCAGGACTGTCACTCACCACTCACATATCAGCTACATGTAAAATTACATACATCTATTTGTAAAATTATCATGAAACTCGAGTTTCACAAAATATGAAGCTGTGATATACAGACGAACACAGAGAAGACAAAATTTTGTGATTTCATTTTTAGCCATTTGGCTAGGAAATTATAAAGAGTTATAATTAATTATTAGAGAAGAATTAGTAGATTACCAGAGGGAGACTTTATACAAAAGTCGTTTGCTCAGGCACCTCTGTCCTATTCGTGTTTCTACTGTGAAGCAGTTATATTCGCATGGTTGTTTCGGTTTAAAGAATGAGATATGACAGTGAATTTACAGAGTACAGAGGAATAACACCTGAGCCCTCAGGAATGGCAACGCTTGGAGGAATATCATGGGCGAAACAGTATACTCTGTCATATTCGTGCTATATACTGCTCAATAAATAAATAAATAAATAAATAAATGTCTATAGGCGACGGTTACCACTTTCCATTAGGTAAACCGTCAGCTTGTTTGTCAATCTAAGTTGCATAAAAAAATAGGTGTAATTAATAGTCTTTTATTATTATTTTACTTATAGGTACTAACCTGTAATATTTCGATGCACATGCAGCTAGGATCGTTCTGGCTCGTCCCACTAGGGCACAAATATGAAAGTAGTTGGGGAACACAACTTCTCAGTGCGTCAGGATTTCGTTCGGCTATTTGTTCAAAAAGTGAAAACAAGGAGGTCTTCTCTACTTTTTCAGCGTGCGGCAATAAGGACACGAGAGCGCTCGCGTGCTCCTCCAATGGTTCCGGGCTGACCTCGTAGAGGTTTGTCAATATGCGACAAAGAGGATAGTTGCCTAAAACAATATGTTGACCATAAATTCTATTTTCAATTTTAAAATTTCTCTATATATTTGTAACTCATTTAATCAACTACACTACCAAATAAAAAGACTTTATTATTATTCTATTTTTAACCATTATTATATCCATCCATATCAAAATATTTTATAACATAAAAAAATCATTGAATATTTGATAAATGCAACAGCAAAGTTCCTTGCACATTTCATTTTTAAATTTTTCTTTTCAGCTGGAATTCCAAATTTGACAATATAGTAAAAAAATTATTGAATAAAAATAATTTCTATTCTATTCTAAATATAAATTGTACTTGCCGGACATAATGGAGTCCATAATTGTTTGTACGTGTGGTTTCAACAAGTTCGCATGGTGTACAGCAGCGAGCGACAGATAGCGCGCCATGTCCCGAGATATCTCGCGGTTGCCTTTGTGCAGAAACTGTACGGCGACTGGCAAGAAGAGCTCCATCACTGTCTTGTTGCCATTGCTCTCTTTGTCAGCCTGCACTGGGAATGACACCTGGAAATATAATTACATATCTCTTACAATAACTTATAAAAGAGTAGTAATAGAGAAAATATGATATATCTAGTATATATACATATACAATACAATAAGAAAAAAAAATTGGAAAATAATGGTAGAAATTTCAAGCAAATTATAAATACGTAATAAGAATTAAAAATATTATTCTTGCCCATTCTTTTCAGTTAAAATTGTATTCCTAACTTTGCAGTAGTTTTATAAAAAAAAATTACTATTCAAAAATTCTTCTCATTAAGTTTACTTGAATAAAAACTATTTTTATTTATTTATGGAAAGTTTTTTTTTTTTCATTACCACAGCTCAACAAAATTAACATTGGTTCACTTAGAACAAAAAGAATTAGTTTAAATAATAGAATTAATTATAATGCAATTTTATTCATAAAAATTAAAATAATTTGAATATTTAAAAAGAATTATAGGAATTCGATTCGAATACAAACCAGGATAATGCAAGCGATAATATCAGATGCTATTTTAGCATGTGGTGGATCATCATCTCTCAAATGGCCCAGTGGCATCAAGTTGTGGTGCAGGCAAGACTCTAGCAGAGCCACTAGTGCTCCGCAGTACTTTTCCAGCGTGCCTGTCTCCCGCACACATGACGTCACTCTGGTAACGCATATCTCGATAAGAGCTTGGTCACGGTCATTGCGACAATAATCAGGTCTGGATGATATTTCTGTTATTTGCTTGAGCTGTAAAAAATCAAGTATATTGAAATATTAAGGTTCAACAATATATTTATAACATTATATAATTAGCAATGATTGTTTTTTTATAGGACTTAGAATGGCAAACAAGCTGACGGCACATCTGATGGAAAGTGGTAACCGTCACCTATAGACATGAGCAGTACCATGGACATAACAGAGTATACTGTTTCGCCCATGATACCCCCCATGCGTTGCCATTCCTGAGGACTCAGGTGTTATTCCTCTGTACCCTATAAATTCACGCCATATCCCACCCTTCAAACCGAAACACAGCTATGCAAACACAACTGCTTCACAGTTGAAACACGAATGGGACAGAGGTCAAGCGATCGACTTTTGTACAAAGTCTCCTTCTGGTAAATTTATATACATATTATGATAGTTACTTATATATGTATTGTATTTCCTTATTTAAACTTAAATGCAAAGTAAAATTCGATGTACATTTGGTGAACTTAAAGTTCTACCAGTCAACCAGTGGGCAAACTGAGAAATAAGTAGGTAGTGCATTATTGAATAAAGGAAAAGTAAAGCAATACTTGATATATTCATATAATATAAACATATAATTAATTTTGTATTGTATGTGATTTATGTATATAACATATATAATGTAATGGTTGACTAGTAGGGAATGCCATCAGGCATTAAGTCTGCTCTATAGACATAATTTAATGTGTGCAAAAGTATAAATAAATATTTAAAGACATATTGATTTTATTAGAAACCATTTGTATTCCGCCATAAAATTTTATAATAAATACCTAATCAAAATTTCAATCTTAGGGTCTTTTCAAATGGTAATTTTTATATAAATTTTTTCTCTATGTCAATCTACTGATGGATGGCTGGGAATTAATAGAAACAGTCATATTAAAAAAAGTAATGTTTCAAATATAAATAGTTTTGTGTAGTAGAATAATTTTTTATTCAATTTATTCTACCATAAATACTGTTTAATAGATTGCACTGAAAAAAAAAAAAAAAAACAATGTAAAAATTAAAATTTATTATATATTTTTTTACTTATTGGTTTGATAAAGTATATTATTAGAATTTAATTATGTATATTATTAGGACTAGTAAATAGAAACGGTAAGAGGAAAGGGGTTGTTATTAATGGAGACAGAATCCTATTGCTAGCAATATACCCAATCAGGTCAACCTCATCACGGTTCTCCCTGGAAACTATCATGGTTAATTCCTGATGAATTCATCATGATAGGCTAACTGGCCTGTTTTCATTCTCATCTATCACCCTTCACTGGTGCTCCGCCAGCATATCCCATTAGCGCAGGCTGGGTTACCATACCATTTTCACCCATTAAAAAAAAAAATAGAAGCAGTAGTGAGGTGGCCTTAGTAAAATGGCATAACACTGAGCTAGGTATATATGGTAAATTGTGTCATAATTTGTGTAGTGCAACTGTTTTAATCTTTTTTATCACATTGGAAGTTTATGAATAGTATCAGAGAACTTAAAACCAATAAACATGAGTGAAAAATTATAAATGTATATATAGTTATAGATGAGAGCATGTAACATAGGCCATCTAATGGCCTATGTAATCTCTATGTAGGAAACCTAGTGTGAAGATATAATTAAAAGGTAAACTCTTAAAAGGTACCTTTCTCTTAATTTTTGAGTATTTATATTAAAAGACCTGAAAGTGTCTGTTTGTTAAAGGTATTTATCTCATTTTTATTTGATTTATTATAGAGACATCATAATAAATATTTCATTAATGTGTTACTAACACATATGGAATTATGCATAAAAAATATTAGGTACAATTGTTTCATTATATTAATTAAACTCTTATTAGATGTTACTAAATTTAATATTTAAATACATATATGTGTATATATATGTACACACATAATATGTACAGATTTATTTAAATTATGAACTTGTTAATTATTTCAATAAAATTATTACTATTAATATCAAAAATATTTTAACTTGATAATAACCATAATTAGATTTTAAAATTCTGATTAAATTATAATACCTATTAATTATAATTTATAATTGTACATATTGTAATAAAAAATAGGAAACAAAATTATTAAATAAACATCTAGTATTCATTCGACTGTTGGTAAACAAATGAATGTACGTATTAATTACAAGGCTGAAATATGAAACTATGCAAATGTCATCAAATTTCATATCACAGATCATCAAAAACAAAACTAATAAAATTATTCATTTATGCTTACGCAGTGCCAATTGTCGACTGCACAACCTACAAATTGATTACTTACCACTTCATTCAGGTCATTGACTATTTCAGAATCCGGGATAGAGAAGATATCACCTGCCCTTGTCAAGTCTCTCTCGTTCAACACATGTTTCAGCAGTTCATGCATTGTGAATGCAGTGGAAGGCACATGAAGTCGCTAGCAAGCACCTTCACGTCTCGTTAACGAAATGAATGAAGCTCCATTAGTAAATCAACACGGTGTCGCAAAACTTATCATTACACTCGAAGCTGCTAATAAGTAATATTGAAAAACATTATGATATTTGATAATAATGATATAAGTTAATATAAGTCTGTATGTCATGTAATAAAAGTATAGTGAAGTAAATAAAGATATTTTTGAAGGTAAAGTAAAACACCTCTTATAAAAACACCAGTATAAAACGTGTACCACAGAGTAAGTTAGGTACACACATTATAAAACTATGGCAGGCAAGCACCACACATTTGTCAATCTTCATTCAATCACTAGATTTTATTAAGTAGTACTTAATTTTCAATTTTTTTATCAGTCTTAAGATATATTAATCTAAAAATTTAACAAAAAATATTATAAAGGAAGAAGATTATTTTTTATGTACAAAATAAGCTTTATTAGATAGAAAATATTATATACTCTACATATTATACTTAAGCTGTGTGGTGCACAGAATATCTTTTTTTAATATATTATGGCTTGGCACAGAATAAATAATCACTATGGTATTAAAGAGTCAACACTATTGTTATATTAACGAAACCAGAAAATGAATCTTTGTAAGCATTTAGAAGTATCGGTAAAATACAGCAAACGAATATCCTTTGCATTGTACAACTATTTATAATATACCTTTTTCTAAAATGTCAATATCAAAATGTGTCATGAAAACTTAGTTACTTTGTTATAAATGATTCGTCATCATCATACCAACAACTTATTTTTCTATTGTAGTTTCTATTTTCGTACTATGTAGTCACATTTTTTTTAATCAAATTAATTGGTTTCATAGATTTCATATAAAGGGTTTTTTTTTTCTAAAACTAAGTGACGTGGCTCTTATGGTGGCAATAATGCCAGAATGTATTGTTTCTTGTATATTTATATCCTTGTGTCATCTAAATTATTTTTATTTATTTTTAGAGATACTAAAGTAATTAATTATTATTAGAAACTATTATAGTTAACAATGCCTATATCCTGTAAAACAGAGTGTGGAAGAAATGCTGTATTAAAGGTTAATATCTTCATCTTTACAATATTTTTAGGTTATGATATATTTTATTAAAATAGTATTCTTTTCAAAAATCTGGTGTAAAATTGTCAAGTAATGCATAAACCTGTTAATGCAATTAACTATTATAAAAATATCACTATTAATATTTCAGCGACCAAAAACAGGAGATGCTCTGTGCAAGGAATGTTTTTATTCAGCGTTTGAATCTGAAATACATTACACAATAATAAAAGGAGAGTTATTTAACAGAGGAGATTCTGTAGCGGTTGCTGCTTCTGGTGGGAAAGATTCTACGGTTCTTGCACACATATTGAAAACACTTAATGAGCGATATGATTATGGTTTGAACTTAATGCTCCTATCTATAGACGAAGGCATCACTGGCTACCGTGATGATAGTCTTGAGACTGTGAAACAAAATCGTGATGATTATAAAATGCCTCTGAAAATATTATCATACAAAGAGTTATATGGATGGACTATGGATGAAATTGTGGCACAGATTGGTAGAAAGAACAATTGTACATTTTGTGGTGTGTTTAGAAGACAGGCGCTGGACCGAGGGGCGGCAATGCTCGGCGTCAAGTGCATAGCTACTGGCCACAATGCAGATGATATAGCCGAGACAGTATTAATGAATGTGCTGAGAGGTGATATTGCCAGATTGAAAAGATGCACAGCCATAGTAACAGTGAGCATAATAATTAAATACTTTCATAATATTCTTATATAATGTTGTTTCTTGATGTTGTGTAACTTCTTATGTATATCCATTCTTATTTTAACAAAATGAGAAAATGAGATACTTTGTTACCAAAGTCGATTGCTTGGGTACCTCCGTCCCATTCATGTTTCTACCGTGTAGCTGTTGTGTTTGCATGGCTGTGTTTCGGTTTGAAGGGTAGGATATGGCGTGAATTTACAGAATACAGAGGAATAACACCTGAGTCCTCAGGAATGGCAATGCATGGGGGTGTCATGGGCCAAACAGTATACTCTGTTATATTCGGTATGTTATGGTACGGCTCATGTTTATAGACGACGGTTACCACTTTCCATTAGGTTAACCTTCAACTTGTTTGCCATTCTAAGTTGTATAAAAAAAGAATTGAATCATAGGCAAAACCTAATTATATAATTGAATGTGTCTTGATATGTATTCTCATCATCTCTTCATATTATTGCTTGATTATTTTATCTCGTAAATGTTACAAAGGGGTTAATGAAAATCATTTCTTATATATATATAGAAAAAGAATAGGTATCTTTAAAATTGTAAATGTATGTCATTATAATTTTTTTGCAGGGAAGTGAGGGCACTATACCAAGAGTAAAACCTCTCAAGTACACATATGAAAAAGAAATTGTTATGTATGCACATTACAAGAAGCTGGTGTACTTCTCAACTGAGTGTGTATTTGCTCCTAATGCCTACCGAGGGCATGCAAGAGCTCTGCTGAAGGACATGGAGAAGATCAGGCCTGCTTGCATTATGGACATTATATACTCTGGTATACATCATTGTATTAATAAGTTTGATGAAATATTTTGTATATGATAATTAAGAACTAATGCAAGTTAATACTGGAAATATAGATATTTTACTATTATTGTAGATATTAATTTATACAATATTAGTTCTCAAATCAAGGTTCTTAATAGATTGCATATTTTATAATGTTGTTTGTATTATATTAACACAATATAATATTTATTGACAGACTTATTATGTACTGGCCAGTTGGTATATTCTTGTAATTTACTTGTATTTGTTGTATTGATTTGTTTCCCTTTATTATTATTCATTCTCTTTTCAGGTGAAACAATGACAATAAAAGATGAAGTCTCATTACCAGCACAGAGGGTATGTGTTAGGTGTAATTTTGTCTCATCACAGGAAGTCTGCAAAGCTTGTGTGCTTCTTGAAGGCCTCAATAAAGGGTTACCAAAACTTGGCATTGGTAAGAGTTCCAAGGCGAAGAAAATGCTTGATGAATATAATTTGAAACAGACAGAAAGTAGTGGTTTGAAAGAAGCAATTTCAGATTTGAATGATACAGTTAGCAGTTGTATAGCAAAAGCTAAAACTTGTAAATCAGGATTGTGTAGTGAAGAAAATAATGTAAATAAAAATGGTAGTATAAATAAAAATGTAAACAAGTGCAATAGTAATAAATGTTGTATAGGACAATGTATTTCTAAAGAAAATAGCCAAATCCAAAAATCAATCAGTAACTCAAAAGTTAATTCATTACTACAACAGTATGGATTGGATGATACATCAACTGACAATGAGCAATTAAAATTAGTAACAAACCCTCATGAAAATGGCCATGAAGATGTATTAGAGAATTCTGATGATGAACAGTCACATTTGGATGAAGATAACACATGTTCCGCATCATGTGGTAGAATGGGGTCATTACAAATAGGATTCTGACAATAAAACACTGAGAAATTTCAAAGTATTGTATTTATTTTACCATTGATGAATACATTAAGCTGCAGCAGCCTAAACACTCATCCAAATTTGTTAAATAGTAATTCCAAAGCTATAAAATGCTTACTTTTACTGTTAATATATAACTACATCTGATTTCTATATCACAAATTTTCTAAAATAGCACCTAAACAAACATTTACAATATTAAAAACTCTAGAACAGGTTCTCTTAAAAAAATTGATGGATCCCTAAAGAAAACAATTGAGAAAAATATAACATTTTAAAAATCTTTACTAACAAACAGGTTTGACATGTACTTTTAAATAATCTTATAATAATAATTATTGATTAATATCTTTTAATAATAATTATTGTCTTCAACAATGCTAGATGTGCAGGAACTGCAATCAGCGGGGCCAAATATAAAAAATAAACTATGCCATCCCCAATCCCCAGCCAAACACTCCCATCCTACTTTAAAAAACCCTGCTCTAAAGTATGTTTCTACTCTCGTTTTAAAAAACTAGTTTTAACAGCAGTAGAAAATTATAATTCTGTGGTCAAAAAAGAGAGAAATAAACTACCTATATAACAATTGGAAATCTGTCAAAACAAGTCTTTTAACCCGATTCACATCTAGACTATCACCCCCTATCCTTTGTACAGAAAAAATAAATTATATACATAGATTATCTTTACGTGATGAAAGCAGGCGCTCTTGAGTCTATCTTCTCACGACAGATGGGGCAGTTGTCTGTGATATGGTCAGAGCAATCTTCACAGATGCACACGTGACCACATGGCATCAATATTATCTGTATAAAAACAAATATTAAATTCATTTTAATAACTCCCATATCACATTTTTTTAAATGGACGTAAATGGAATGGTGACTCCGCCTGCGCTATCGGGATACAGGCCAGTTGGCCCATCATGTTGAATTTACCAAATATTAACCACAATGGTTCCCAGGGGGAACTGCATGGAACTCGACCTGATAGGGTATATTGCTAGTAATGAGTCTGTTAGATCTCACTACTAACTATCCCTCCCCCCCCCCCCTCCTATCATAATGTTTGTTCACATTAATTTCTGGATTTGATAAATTGATTTTAATGAAATTTATTAAATGTGTATTGATTGCTTCAACTTAATAGATAGAATTGAGGAAGTTAGACCCCATTATTGACAATCCCTTTCCCCCCACTTTTGCCACATTAGTAACTATATGGACAATAAAATGTGATGATGAATTCAACAAGAAATAACCATGATGGCTTTCAGGGGAAACTGCATGGAGATCAACATTATAGAGTATATTGCTAGCAGTGGGGCAGTTAGACCGCATTACTAATAATCTCCCTCCCTCATATTTGCTCTCAACGTGAAGGGTATCAGTGTATTAAGACTCTTAGATTGTAGTAGACATTTACAGATCAGTTTCATAAATTAACAATAATTTGAATAGATAAGTGAAACAGCGTCATACCTCTTTAGGGTTTTCAGCACAGACGACACAAAGCTGAACCTCGCTGAGGTTCTTCTCGCGTGCGTGCGCGCGCCTCTCGCGACGCCCCACCGCCAACTGCCTCTTCATGTTCTCCTCGAGCTCGCGCCGGCGCCGCCGCTTCAAATATTTGTACACGATCCGACACGACGCCGCCGCCGCCACAGAACCAAATACCACTAATAATACTCTGAAATAATAATTACGAAAAGCGTAAACTAAAGGACACCAAAAAGCGGCATGTTTTTAACTATTATTTTTGTAGGTTCTGTCAAGCAATATTTTTGCTAAATGCAAACGATTTTGATAATTCGATGTTTTGTTTATTGAGATCAAATCATCCCTGACATCAGGTGACTGTAATTATGCTATGTAAAATAAAATATAAGTTTACGGAATATACCTTAAGAAATCTCTGGAACTTGCCAGTCTCTTCAAAATACTGGACTTAGTAGCAGTTGTCAAGTATAATGGTAGACCATCTTTAGGTGGCTGAATCTTTAGGGCGCCGGTGTTACTCCGGCTTAACTCGCCTATGGCGGTAATGTAGGAACCATCCCGAAGCATTTCCTCCATGGTCTGAAGACCCCGCTGACGGACGCCAGAGAAGAAGCCCCACACATGGTCAATGACCCCAGGAGACATGGGCTCAAACTTGTCAGAAATTACATCCATATCTGTAAAGTAATAATACAATTGCATATGTATTGGAATCTACTGATCTATCATTTAAATCTTAATGATAGTTTAAGAATGACACAAATAAACTATCTGCTTAGAGTAGAAAAAGATATCTAAAGATAAAATATATAAAGTATAATAAGATATTGCAAATCACGAGAAAAAAAATCTTAGTATTTCAAAAGTGCTTTAAGTCTTAACCTAATAACAGTATACTAACCACAAATCAACATCTCTAATTAATAGAAAATGATAGATTTTAATACATGCAATGGATTTTTATAAAGCTTTCATTATCATTTAAATACTTTAATAGAAGGTTTGTATCTATAATACATTCTAAATAAACTTTTATATATATTGATAAATTTAATATTTTGTTATGAATTGCACCCATGCAAAACCGAGGTAGATGCTATTAGTAAATTACTCACCAAGAAGTTCTGCAGCCAATGCATCCACAACTTCAATGCTATATTTGCCATTGTTGAGCACAAATGGAGTGGAGTTGCACACCTCATGTATGGTGCGGGTTTGATCCGACCAGAACCCAGCAGATGTTCGTGCTATCACATGTTCTTTGATTGTTAGTCTGTAAACATATTTTATTAATGTAATTTATTGAACTATTTTCCACTTAATAGTGCCATGTGATAATTTTATTTTAAAAGTAGTATTTATCATTAATAAATATGATTTTTGGAAACTGCAAACAAGAATTATTTTGGATTTCTAAAAATTTTAACCACACAGACCTAACCATACTACATATTATTTTGTTTGAAAAAGCGGAGACCACAGAATGTTTAGTTAAACTTTGAGTACCTACCTAGACTAACAAAGAAGTTATTTGTGTTAGGTCAGGATGTTATTTTTTTTCAAAATTTTTTTTACAGTCAGTAAGAGATATTATCAAAGTTTCATAACTTTTTAAAGTACAGTATAAAGTTTACAAGATCATTAATTTTGAAAAATCTAAATAATTGTTGTAATAATTTGAAACACATTTATAATTTATATTACCTTTGTATTACACCAGTGACTGAGTTGTTGTAGTTACTAGTAATGGGGTTGCCCAGTGGTTTCACCAGGCCACGGATGACAACAAACGGGATAGTATTGTTTGGGTACTTATTGATCTCTTTGTTCAGTGTGGCATCTATATCAAGTACTGGTGCAGTCTGTAATAATATTAGCAGTTGCATAAGAATGTTTGTGCCAAATAACAAGACCATTGACCAATCATTTAGATGTTTAATTTAAAATATATCCTATAACTGAAATCCAGGTAAAGTTACAAACAGTAATCAATGCATTTACAATTGAATTTTAGTACACGTCTTAGTCCTCAGAGATGACAACACATGAGGAGCTTAACAGTATTCTATGATGTCAATGGTGCTGTACCCTATCTATAGGCGACTGTTATCACAGACAATCGGGGGCGAGAGACTGATAGTAAGGCAGACTACCAAACCCATTGCTATATACCCTATCGAGGGAAAGAAATTGTTAGTAATGAGGTTTAAAAGCTCCATTGCTAGCAATATACTGTATCAGGTCAACCTCCAAACCATTCCCCAGAAACCATCGTAATTATTTATTGTTAAATTCTTCACAATAGGCCAACTGATCCGTCTTCATTCTCACCTATCATTTATCAATTGTGACATATACCGATAATATAGGCGGTGTTACCATTCCATTTTCACTCTAAAAAAATATAGCCTGTCAGGTCAATCTTTCTATGGTCCCCCTGGAAAACACAGAGCTGAATCGAGCCGATCATAACTGATCTGCTCTCTCTCTCTATCTCTGAAATTCTCGCATTACCATTCTATTAAAAAAAAAAACATTTACGATCAGGTAAGCCATCAGCGTTTTTGCTGATCCATGTTGCATAAAAACATTCTATCCAGTAACCATTGACCCATTTTTCACAAAATGAATGTGAAGATCTCTCGCATGTATACTATTAACATGCAAGATCATATATATATATTTCATAATGCTCACTTATTTACCTGTAAGGTATTTAATATATGTTTACATTTGCTGAGTTGTTTAAGGCAAAAACCCAAAATAAGGGAATCTATACCCAAGATCACAGTTTCGCCTATTATTTCCGAAAAGAACTCCATAGTGACAATTTAGGCATTAAAATAACAATTATTTTGTTATTCACAATGTTTTCTTGCTATTTTCATTATTTTACGATTCTAAATCAAAATGAAAATTCACAAAAAAAATATTTAGTAAACTTGACTTATTTTTGACAATTTAAACTGTTACAGTCACAGTCAAATGAAATTTTCAGTTTTGCGTTTCGTTTCCACGTAGGTCATCGAAAATAGAATGCGTTTGGAAAGTAAAACATAGGCAACAATTCTTGATACAATTGATTGTATAAAATGTGATCTCATTGAATATCACCGACAAAATGAACAGCAGTTTATCAGCAAACAAAGAACACATTTGCAACATTTAAAATAGTACTCCAATCACTTTCGGTTTGAAACACTATAATTTCACCCGCTCATTTGTCATACAGTATGTATGACAAATGAGCGGGTGAAACCACAGAATACATTAAAAGAAAAATACTAGGAAGTATGTTAGAAAAAAAAACACTACTACCATCTCTTGGTAAAATACTCTTTGACTACTATAAGCAAGCGAAGCTTTTTTTTAATGGGTGTTACTCACATCACCTCGCCTCGCCTACTCTATCAAGATACGCTGGCGGGGCACCAGTGAGGGATGACAGGGATGAAATGATGAGGAACAGCGTGGAGGTCGACCTGATAGTGTTTTGCTAGCAATGGGTCAAATAGACTCCATACTAATTGAATCTCTATGAGGTTCCACATTCCAACTATAGTGGTAAAAACCTCTGGAAACTTTAATGGTTAATTTGCGATGAATACATCACATTTGCTTTCATCCTCACCTATATCATCTCGCATTGGTAGCCCATCAGTGTATACTAATAGCGTAGGCGAGGTTTCCATTTATTTTCACTAATTAAATAAAAAAAAAATAACTTGTATTCAATTTGAAATATTATTTTTGGTAAATTATAATCCTTGACAATTTCTAGTTAACATAGCAAATAGTTTAAATCTCCTCAGATATTTTTTTTATTTTGGTAGAAGCTAAGTTCTAATTTAATACAGTCAAGGAGACAAAAGACGAAATTTCCCATCGTCGAAATAGATCGGATTTATTATTATTATTTATACAAGGTCTCTTAACAAATCGTCATTGGTCGAGTATATTACTCTACGTTTATAATATACATATAAAAATAATAACAAACTGCCAGAAATAACAACATAAGTACATGATGAAGGCTTTATTACAAGTAACTGTACAAAATTTAATTCCTCCTTCTTCGAACCCTTGATATTCTCCAAGCGTTGGGCTCTTCATATTTATTATAAAGAGGTTCCAATCTTTGGTTTTTCTTAAACTTGGATAGTTTGGTCGGATCGGAGAATTTAAAGAAAGCGGGTGCAAATTCCACCAGCCATTTTGGGTCTATGGTAGTTACTTCTCGCATATACTCCTTAGTGGTTTGCACCAGCTCATGGTAGATTACCCTGTTGAAGAAAAAGGAAATGTAAATTGTTGGAATTTAAAATTCATACAAATTTTTAGGCAATGTTAATAAATAAATTGTTTATAATTTATTTATAAAACACTAGTTGAGAATTATTATTTGTTGCTTGTTTCAAACAATTATTTTACAAGTATTATATGAATGTATAAGTATAAATAATAAAATATATAATAATAATGTATGTATAAGCATGGAATACCACTATATCAATATTTAAACAGCACATGTGAAACTCACCATTCTGGTTGTCTGTTGAAGAGTGCACTCGATGGATGTATGTACACCACCTGACTATCTACCAGCGTTCTATAGCCCTCCTGAGGGTCCTTCTTCGCAGCGTTTCTGAAGAATCCTGAGCAAATTGTCTTTTGGATTCTCACTGTATTCTTACCAGCAGATACTACATCTAATTTGTGTCTGTGGACAAAAAAAAAACAATATAGTTTGATTAAAAATTTAATTTGTATATAAAAATATAAATTGACGATGTGTATCGCCAATTTTAGTTTCATATTTAGATGAATAGAATAGAGAATGCTCTATGATTTTATAGTATTACAATAATAGTGTATGATTTTCTAATTTACATTTACTTTCTTAAACATGGTCCTACACGATTGCAACAGCAAAATGCAAAACCTTTAAACTACTCAGCGAGTTATGGAGAGGACTATGCTCGGTGTTTCTTTGCGTGATTTTGCGCGAAACGAAGATATCCGCAAAAGAACCGAAGTGAAATATAGTCTGAAGGATAAGCAAACTAAAGTGGCAATGGGCTGGTTACATAGCTCGAAGGACCAACAACCGATGAGGAAAAAAGGTTCTTGAGTGGCGACCCCGTATGGGGAAACGCAATATAGGAGAACCCCTACTAGATGCAGAGACTACTTCAAATACATTGCACGGTGTCAATGGGTGCATGTGCCTGAGGACCGTTTTTTATGGCAATCTATGGAGGAGGCCGATATTCAGCAGTGGAGAGATTATGGCCGAAATGATTTATCGTCATATAACTATATTTATTTTACGTAACATAAAACCTTTCTCCACTTCTACTAACTCATACACGTCTAATCTCATTACCAACTCGTTAACATTTTCTAATCCCCATTGTTACACCCGAAAACACAACACTGTCATTAGTAATTGATAAGTTTTGCTGTCCCATAGTTTTTATTTATGTTTATTAGCAATAGAATATTGTATATCGCAACTCACCTATCCATAATACCAAGAAGCTGTTTTCTAACGTCCTGTGCTCGTTTTAGAGTCCTTATTTGCACGAAGTTTTCATAGCACCATGCATTTGAGAATTTGTTGTTCCTCCAGCTGTTGTAGACAGCAAGCAAGGTGAGGTGGTCACCTTCAGGCTGATTGAACTTGGCCTTCTTCTGGTCGGCGAGGGCTTGTTTATCCTTGGGTCGATAAAAGACATTCTGAACACTCAGCATGGAGACAATAGTCAGGATCTCATCGGAGCATTGTAGAGCCACGGACATTATGAGAATTTTAGAGAGGTTGGGTTCCAATGGGAATTCAGCCATCTGAAAGTATTGAGTATATATTAGTCACTATTCATTATGGTCATATACAAAGTAATAGTAACAAAATAAATATGGTCACAAGTATAACCTTTAATGGCATAATCAGAGACATTTATCAATTGTTGCCATCTTAGTGAACAAAATAATCTACATATCTACATTATCTCAATATCGACATTTAAAAAAAAAAACATTTTTAACTCAATATTTAAACTTCTCAATAATTAAAAAATATTTAATTTGAAGTTATAAATTAATTAGACTAAATTCTATAGTAATTTTGACTACTATTTATACGTCTAAAACTGCATGTTTTTTATAATTTAAGATAATTTTGTATCCATGCTCAGATAAATAAATTGAATTAAATAAATATATTAACTGCTGAAAAATAATGTTCCTCAAATCTCTAGATAATTAAACAGAAAATTAAGAAATAATATTGATCACTATATGAACTGTATTATAAATAACAGCTGCTGGCTGCTTACCCTGCGACCGAGCCTCGTGAGCAAGCCTTCAGAATCTAGAGCAGAGAGCGAGTGCAGCTGCTCCAGCGCCATGATGAGCGACTCCACGGGTGGCGCGTCCATAAAGTCAAAATGTAGAAGATCGTTTATGCCCATAGTTTTCAGCTGAAGTACCTGCATGAATATTATAAATAATATTAAATATGTAGATTAAAAAATATATATCCATAATTATAAAATGCTATAAAAAGGGGTAGTTAAAGCATTTTGATGGAATTTTGTCGCTGCGGTAAATGCAACACTCGGTATGTTTATATTTCTCCAAGTATATTCCATTCATTTAAATTTAAAATGGGCGAATGAAAAATAGGTCTAAACATATGAGAAAATTATAAATGACAACAAGTATTTAAAAGTTCAAGAAATTTAACCTTAAAATTTTCAACTTTTTAATAAATTCAAAATAGGGGCGAAGCGCGGACATGGGTACCATCTGGTCGGTGTACAGACGATAGTGTTACGTACTGTGGTGGCGAGGTTGGTGCGCTGTATCTCGGGCACGGGCGTGGGCAGCATCTCGTCGCGGTAGGCGCGCTCGGTGTACAGCCGGTAGCACTTCCCGGGGCCGGTTCTTCCGGCGCGGCCTGCACGCTGCTTCGCTGCCGCCTGCGAACCAACCACAAATTTGATTATGCATAAGAATAAATAATAATATAGATGATTATACATATGAGGCTTGACAATACAGACATCATAGATTAGATATCAGAAAATAAATCATAAGGCATTTAAATGTCATGATGAATATGTCATCAGAACACATATAAATCAATTCTTCTTAATTATTTTTTAATTTCTTTAAAGTATTTTTTTATCATTAAAAAAGGATAATGGTAGAAAATAAAAACAACAAACAAACCTGTGAAATGGGAGTGACAACAAGTGAATCCATTCCAGTCTTCGAATTGTATACCTTCTGTTTGACAAAACCTGGGTCCACCACGTAATAAATACCATCAATGGTTAGTGAAGTTTCAGCTATGTTGGTTGCTATCACCACCTTCCTGGAGCCAGGGGGCGCAGGTTCAAATATCCGCGTCTGCATCTCTGATGGCAGTGCCGAATATACCGGCAATATGATTAGCTCAGGCACATCAGGTCCCAGCGACTTCATCCTCTCATACAAAATCTCACACGCTGTATCGATTTCCTCCTGACCAGTTAAGAAGAGCAAAATATCTCCCGGTGGTTCCCTCAGGTGTATCTGCATAACTGTAATTAACGACGCGTCCAAATAATCAGTTTCCGGTTCTTTAGTGTATAACACCTCTACTGGAAAAGTTCGTCCGGGTATCGTGAAGATTGGCGCCTCAAAGAAGTATTGTGAGAACTTGACAGCATCGAGTGTGGCTGATGTGACTATCAGCTTTAGTTCTGGTCGTTTCTGGACTGCTTGTTTTAGCAGACCGAAAAGAACATCGGTGTGGATGGTCCGCTCGTGAGCTTCATCCAACATGATGACGGAGTAGGTCTTCAAATCCAGGTCCATAAGGCACTCACGGAGTAACATACCGTCTGTCATGTACCTGAGGATATTATAATATTATTGGTTATATTGGCGATTACATCTCGATTTAGTGCATATTTTTGGTGTGGGCCAAAATAAATAATAATTTATTTCTAGTTTAAGTTTAACAGGCAGATTGGCAACCGCAGTTAGGCTTTGGTAATGTTTAAGAAGGACGCTGCTCATCTGCCCATTCCTAGACCATTATGTTCCCTTAGTCGCCTCTTACGAAATTCACGGGAAAAAAAGAGATGGTCTATTCTACGCCGGGACTAACAATAAAATAAAAAAGTATAAGCAATGCAAAATACAGTACATAATAATATAGTAAAAGAAATACTTACTTGATAACAGTCTCGGGGCTGGTGCAGTCCTCGAAACGGATGGTGTAGCCGACCTCCTGGCCGAGGCGGCAGCCGAACTCCTCGGCGACGCGCTTAGCGACCGACATGGCGGCCACGCGGCGCGGCTGCGTGCACGCCACCTTGCCGCGCGCCGTCAGCCCGCACTCCGCCAGGTACTGCGTGATCTGCGTCGTCTTGCCCGACCCGGTTTCGCCAATCACTATAAGGATCTGGTTGTCTGCTACTGCCTGCAATACAAAAACATTTAATTGATTACCATGTAGATTAGACGCCGGAATTTATATGTTCGACTTGAAATAGCGGTATACAAAAATATAAGCATGCATACCTTTGTTAACTCATCTCTCAATTTATATATAGGAAGAGACTGTCTCTGCTCTAACAAAGACAAGTTAGTTTTCTTTCCGAATGAAGATTTCTTCCCTCCGATGACGTGCTTCTTCCACTCCGGAAGATCTTGAGGCGTGATGCCCGTGCCTCTCATATTGGCTGCTAGTGTCCTGCCATCCGACTCTGGCAGTGGATCTATCCAATTCTTATTGAGGCCAGTTGGTAGACTCTCCATTTCTTGCTCTCGCTGAAGCATCTTTTGTTCTCTCCTCTCTTTTGCTAATGCCGACTGCATCATTGCAGCTTGGGCTAGAGATCCATCTGGGTTCTTAACTATTCTGACAGGAGACAGATCATGTAATGCTCTGCCGTGACCCTGTAGGAATGGTGGTTCCTCCTCAACTAATTCTATTTCTATGTCTGCCTCGCCATCTTCATCTTTGGGAAGTAATCCAGTCTCTTCATCGAAATCTGGTAGCTCACTCTTGTCTATAACACCTGATGACACCATCTAAAAAATAATAAAGTACAAAGTTAAATTAGGTGATTTCTTTGAGTACTGAAAGATAATTGAAGATTATTCTCAATAAACTTACAGCAATAAAATCACGACGAGATACAATTTAAAAGAAAAAATGTTGCATATATAAAATGTATGTTACTTAAAGAATGATGACTTTGAAAGTGGATGAATATAAAAAATTTGCAGGCTTAATAGAAGGTAGACGGAGTTTCAAATATATCATGTGATCTGACAAATGAAATTAATAATTAGATCAAAATCAGACTATATGATGTACACTTATCATAGATATTGAATCTAATAAACAGGTAAAGGTTTTAAAATACATTTAAATATTTTTCTGATAAATATAAACGGTAATTAAACCTTTTATCTTTATGAATACGTTTTATATATTTGTATGTGTAAATAAATAATAATATATATATATATATATATATATATATATATATATATATATATATATATATATATATATATATATATATATATATATATATATATATATATATATATATAGGTATATATACTATTAAATATGATATAATAAGTTAAGTATAAACTTAAGTTTCTCTAGTTCTTTTTATCCATATATAATAATTGTCACAGTATTGTATACCAATCTATCCCGACATTAATGCTCTTTTCCACTTTGGGTTTGCTGGAAGAAAACTCTTGCGAAGTTAAGCTCGCTATATATTTGCTCACATCTGACATATTTGTTATATATAATATTAGTGTGTACAATAAAGTATAAATAAACACGACCAGTTAAGTGAAATGATTTAGAGATAAATCAGATAAATAAGATGCTCATAAATCTAGAGAGAACAACTTTAGAATCATTATAATACTTACTTGTTTAATCTCCCACCTCTCTGGACTAGAAATTCTAGTGACTCGTTTGCGACTGGAGTCCTCATCGGGATCCAGGGTGCTTTGTAAGCCCGCGAGCACTGCCGCAGCCGGTGGCGGCCGGTCCGGATTACGACCTTCGCGCTCAGCCTGGTTGAAATGTAAATACATATAGTAAAGTGCATAGATAAATCACCTCAAGTATTACAAGCCTTAAATTTTACACTTGAATTTTTTTTTAAATAAAATACATTAATCAAAATAAAAAACAAATTACCTCTAAATGTGCATGTGATGTTGGATTCAGATCTTTCCCTGTTTCCTGGCACACATCCTTCATGGTCAACGAAACTTTTTGTCCAGTAACTGATAATACTTTGACCTAAAACAACAACTGCATGATCAGACAAAGAAAAAATCTCGTGGTAGTTATTTACCTGTATGTGCAGGCAAGTAAAACAAATTCTATATAAAATGTTTGTCTATTTTTGCTGTGAAGAAGCAAAGCAAAAGCAGATAAAGGTTTTATCATTCCAAGAACTCCATAAAGAAGAAAAATCTACTATTCCAATACAACACTATACCCAGTAGGTTATTGTATCAGCGGGGAACGGTCCACTTCTGAAAATAGCCTGCTCCTTAGCCTGAATTTTACCAGTAGTTGTCATACTTCGAAGGTGGGTTCACAACTACAGTTCTGCTTTTGGTGGTGTTTTAAGAGAGACACTGCTGCCCATCCCACCACCATAAACTCTTTACAACACCCACAAGAAATGAAGGGGTGGGCTATTTTATGCTGGGACCTACATGGGTTACCAACACTGTATAAAGTGGGTTGTTATGGATGAATATGGATATAATATATATATATATATATATATATATATATATATATATATATATATATATATATATATATATATATATATATATATATATATATATATAGGCAAGTAAATCTTACCTTAACTTTATCTCCTCTTGAGACCACATCAGAGACATTTGTCACTCTACCCTCAGACCTGAGTTGTGAGATATGCACAAGTCCTTCCCATCTTTTCTTCACACCCTCTATTTGAACAAAGCAACCAAAGGGCACTATGTTTGCCACACGACCATTGTAGATCTAAAATAAAAATAAAATTATAAGTAAACTAGCTGACTCCGCAAATGTTGTTTTACCATATACATTATTTTTAGAACTATACATGAAATTTATCATACTACAATTATTATATTCGATTGTCATCTTGCAACCCTATTGCCACATATAAAAATCGCGATAAAAAAATAGGGGTTAATCATAAAAGCGTGAAAATTTGAATTTGTATGTATTTTTCAATGCTAAATCATAATAAAATATATATATATATATATATTTAGGTGCAGGTCACCCTTATCATTGAGCGGTAAGAAAAATAGATGTTGGCCAATTCATATCGGATAGGATATGCACACAAAATTTCATAAAAATCTGTAAAGTCGTTTTGGAGAAGTTTATATATAAGATAAAATAAATAAAAAAAAATATTCTAATAATAGATAGTAGTAGATCAGAAATATGATACTATATAAACCATATGGACCAATTAAAGACCATCTAAATAAGTGGATATTTTTATGTAAAATAAACATAATTAAATTAACAAAACAAACTTAACTTAGTAACAGATTAAAAATAATTCCATACAATCACACATTGTGATACATTGTTCACTTTGTGTTTATCAATAATCACAATAATGCTAGTAATTATATTTTTTATTTAATCAATTTAACCATAATCTCCAAATACACAGTTTTTTCAATTATTAGTAAAGTACTGGTCATCTATAAGGACCATTGTCTGTTTTGCACAAATCTTGAAATAACTATGACACTTACCTTCCCTGGCTCAGGATCATCATTCATTTCTACTTCAGGGCTTCTTTTTCTGGATTTCTTTGCATAATCTCCAAACCTGTCCCTGTTCTCTCTGCCCCTTGAATGTGATCTTCTACCTCTATCCCTTGATTTGGATCTCCTGTGCCTGTCTCTTGAACGAGACCTATGTCTTGATCGTGATCTATGTCTCTCTTTTGATCGAGACCTGTGTCTATGGCGACTTCTAGATCTTTTTCTTCTATCTCTACTTCTACTCCTTCTATCTCTACTATGACTTCTTCTATCCCTACTTCGACTCCTTCTGTCTCTACTGCTGCATCGTCCCTTTCTGTCTTTGGAAATATCTCTTTTTCTCCCTCTTTCTTTATCTTCCCTTTTATTGTCTTCTTTCTTTGTTTCTACTTTTGCTACAGATTTAGATGGTGCAAGAGCTTCTAATTCAGCCATTGCTTGATCCACAACTGCATCATTTGAAGTTTTGGACTGGTCTTTAAATACATCTTTTGATGTTAATCTTTTATCTTTCTTATCATCTTTTTCATCCTCACTACTATCATCAGAAAATACTGGCGGCTTCTCATTAGGTATTGCTAAACCTGGAAACTTTGTTGCCAATGGATTCTTATTAATGTTATCATTTTCTTTTGAATTAGAACTTGTTGTGGCTGGCTTCATATGCTGTATAATTCGAAGCAAATTAGTCATAAAGGAGTCAGAAAATTCAGCTCCATTATCAATTAAAGCTTTTTTGAAATCTTCAAATGCTGGATTTTTGTCTGCCAAATCTATTATAAATTCAGCTGAAAATGAAGTACCCCATTATTTATATTATTTGATTAATAATATATTATATTATCAAACTAAATACATTTAGTATTTATTTACATTTTTAGTACTTATAGACAATTTTTATGTAACTTGAAATATTAAACTGCCAACAATTAAGAAAGTGATGTTCTATTTGTTGCAGTGTTTACCTTCACAAGACAGTGTAGTATAGACATGAATTTCATTAAGGACAAAACCGTACCTATACATTTCACTGCACGTAAAACCCACATGGGTTACTAGGTCATAGGAGCATCTTTAATAGAATATGCCTTGTACTTTCATTGCCATATCCACTTCAAACATAACATACATATATACTAATTTTAGATTACACTATAGAAACAAACCAGGATCATTATTGTAAAAACAATCAATTATTATTTTTTAACATATTGAAAAACATACCTAAATCTTTGTCATTTAATCCCAAATGATTATCCAATTCTGTACACACTTTTGAGACAAGAGAAAGATGTTCTAATTTAGCAACTTCATCCATTTTTTGAAACGAATTAATGAATTCTCTTTGCTAATTCGTGAACTACCACAAAAATAATGGCCATAACCAAAAGACCCACGAACACAAATACACAAATCATTTTTTTTTTTTACTAGATAGTCGTAAATATTTTTTATTAATTTAAGGCTTTGGCAAGTAGCCAAGACTATGACTCTTAGAATCACAAACAAGAATAAAAAGAACGAATTAAGTTTTTAAAATTTTGCCGTTGGCTTTTACTTTATATTTTTATAAAGATCTGTGATATGTGTGATATATGCTATGTAATCCACTCCAAAAATATCCAATGCATATCTATTTAATTTATTAATACAAAAAAAACTCTATCTGTGACACTCGTTGTGTACCAAAAGTTACTTAAAAGTACTCTATGTCATAGAGCACATGTAACTGTATTGTATTACGTTAGTTGAGAGTCAACACATTAATGAAACTTATAGATGAATCTATGCAACTATATTGTGTTGTGTTGTTACTTCTAACAACACAATAAAATAAATGAATATTGATATACTTTACATTACAATTTATAGTATTTCTTTGTCTAAAATGTCGATAGGTTTTATAATAAAATAAATACTTCAAATAGTGTATAATTTTTAAATTTAATGAACTGGTTGCTTAGTTTTATATAAACTTTTTTATTCGGAGTGATGAGGCTTTGACGACTACTAGATTTCCTTGCTGACATTGCTGTTATCTTGATCGATTTACTTTTCACCAATTTTGCGAAAAATATAGTTAATAAAATTATTTCTTATTCATTGTGTCTAGTTCTGTTAAATTTAGGCAAGTGACTTTAATTATTTATATCTCTATAATGGAAAATAATACAGATCATTCAGATCAAAACAATTACAGCCCTTTATCTGTACAAGACGTAGATGTAGATTTTTTACCGATTGTTTACGAAATTATACGAAGGTATCTAATTTTATCATCTATTTTTAGCAATATTCGCAATTAGCTGCGTGTGATTATGTAAATAATATTTTATATTTTCATATATTATAGTGTGGAACGCGATTTCCACGACAACTCTGCAAAGGCCCGGGAATCTGCAGAGTGTAGTCAAAAAGTGCTAGAATTACAGAAGAAATTGGACATAGCGCGTTCACAGGTTTATTTTTCAATTTAAATTATTTTGTCTAAAAATCGTAATTATTAAAATTTTACTTCATAATCTGTGAATCTATTATTGAGAAGTAATTTTTTAGATTTTCATGTCTATATGGCCCCACTATTCTACACATAAACTGTTTGTTTTTTTATTTAACTCCCTATTAACATTAATAAAATAGACACAATATAGAACAAAAGCTTATATTTTAAAATGACTTGTCATAGAATTAAGTCATATATATATAGGCTACTGCTACAAAGCCAACAAGAATGAACTTAATTATAAGTCTTTTCTCTGTTTATGAATATTTTGTTTTTGCGTAACTAGTCATGAAACATGTAAATGGGGGCATAACTGTAATCTTAATATCTAAAATTAATGGAAAAGTATTTTCTACTCTGCATGTTTATGCATATTTTATGTATTTTCAGTATTATTTATATTTATCACATTTGAAATTTAACTTTTAAGATGATTTTTTTGTTTTTTTCTTTAACAAGGAATTTGTATCCTATATCGTTGAATGGAAGTTGTATGTCTAAGCCTACAATTATTATCAAAAAGTTGAATATTATTATATAAAAGTATAAATAAATGTGTGCATGCATTCAGTTTTGATTATCACAGACTTTTTGTAATCTCATACATAATAATCTAATGACAATATCTTTGATGGCATTTTTTTTTTCAGATCAAACGTTTGCCTGGTATAGACTATAATAAACAAGACCAAATCAAGCAATTTGAAATCCTTAGAACCCAGCTTAGATTGAAACGAGAGTTATTGCAGAAGTATCGAAATATGTGTTCATTTGAAACCTCATTTAAGTGATTAGTAACATAATGCCTCTCCGTGCTTTACTCAAGTATTTGGCAAACAATGAACATCTTGTACAGAGAATAGCAGAGTCGTATCCTGTGCGACGGGCAGCACAATTGGCAGTGTCCTTTTTTTATAGAGGAAAGGAGAAACTCTCAGAAGTAGACCCACAAAAAGTCAACAGACTGATGTCATTCCTAAGAAAGTTTAGTCAAAACATGAAGGAAGGTATAGAGGATGCTAAGAAACAATTAAAAAAATGATATAATTAATTTTAGTTGTCAGTTTAGATTCTAAATTTAATTAGTTTAATTAGTTATGATAAAATAAAAAGACTTGTGAGTTTTATTTGGATCTAGTTTAATTTCTTCACTCAAATTGGAACCAATCAATAAAATTATCTTCTTAAACTAGAAAAAAATCACATTCTAATGATGGTATTGTAAAATATGTTAATGATATGAGACTGAGACTAGCGACTAGCCTCACTAAGTGTTTGTAACTCTACCATATCACAGTAGAAAAGGTGTCTGTCATACTCTTGGTCTCATCAAAAATATCTCACTTGAAACTTAATTACTGAGCTAATATGAATATTAAATTATTTACACTGGAGTTACAAACATTGGAACTATCTCATTGCACTAACTTACAAGAACTTAAAGCTGCTTGAATTTATTTAGTCAAGTAATATTGGTACTATAATTGAATATTTAGTATTTTCTTATATTACTAAATAGTTATTAAAATCAAGTAATAATAAAAACACTAAATACTGAGATACAATTCAGATATTTTAGTACCAATTATAGTCCAAGAGACAAATTTATTTATTTCTAGTAATTAAAATACTGCAAGACCCATGAGAAATAAAATATAAGAAAACAAATAACAAAATCTTATGGGATTATACATATATGTAAAAAAAAAACAAAACGAAAATAATATAAAACCTATTTTGCACAAGTAACATTTTTTTTAATAACATTTAATTTTTTATTCAAATCTGTCCAATGTCAATATTTTTATAACAAACCTTTTTGTTAATTAGTATGGAACCATTTATTGTTATTGTTGGATGATACAATGAAGTTTTGAGCTCTGCATCTTCATTAAATTTAAAGTCAACATTCTTTTTTTTTATTCATAACCTATGTCACCAGTATTGCTTTATTCTGATAAGTTTCTTTTAGGACAAAATAAGCTATAACGTATTCTATTAAGACAACACTGTGAGTAATAATTTACTATTATTTTTGCTATAATATTACCTTGCTCGGACACGAGTCCGAAAAGATTATTAGATCTATACTTATCGTGTTTTGAGCTTACAATGTAAACATCAAAATATTGAATATTAAAAGTTTAGATACTCATTTTCAACGTCGCCGACTTAATAAAGTGGTAAGACAAAATGTAAACGCGATTTGTACAGCGACAAGAATACTTTAGTAAAAAATATGAACTCTGGAGACTTAAGACTTCAAATGAAGTACACTACAATTATACGAAATATTGTACCTGACGGCGACGAGCGAGATACACATACACACATAAAAATATCTGTAGCCTACCATTTAGATCTTGTACTTCGTTGAATTTAACTAGCCACTCTAATAGGAGACAAGTGTGCGGTAGGATTATGTAATTGTTTGCTTCAAACCCTTGAACTGGTAACTGAAACTCTATCCTTAATAGCAAAGGTGTCAGTTTCAATTAGTAGCAATTACATTGAATTACATAAACTGGCCGCTGATTTTTAACGAAACTGACATCTGACTGATACTAACAAGGCGGAGCCGTTGCAATAGAGGTATATTACACTGCCAAATCTAATGGACCATATATATATATTTCTTTTATAAATCTAATGAGTTTTATATATGGGAAATTAGCTTGAATAATCACATATATTTTGCCATTTATAAAACAGTATGTAACTCTGTCTCTATCTTACAAATAATAAAACAAGTGTAATATTTTAGAACATGCGCAGACGACGAATAAGCCCGACGTATTTTTTTTATCTAGCTGAATGATTTCGTCACGAACATGACCGCGGTCAGTAACAGGTTGTACAACTGGAACTTTTTATCTATGTATGTAAAAGTCTACTTAATTTTGGAGATAAATATAGGTCTATATATTTGACAGTGTAAAGGTAAATCCAGAGCGTGTTTTAGAAATCGTCCTTAACGCGATAATGGGAGCGAGGTCTCAAACATGAACGGCATATTTATCGATGTGTCTCGTTTATCAGGTGAGTAAAGAGTGGCCGCAACTACTATGACCAATTGGATCGTTTTAATTTTAAATAGCAAGCTGATGGCCCACCTGATGAAAGTTCTGCGTATGTAAACAGCGCTATGGACGTCATAGAAAACTGTAACGTCCATAGTATCACTCCCATGCTGCCATTATTTTTTAATGCTCTGGACTTGTTATAATTTTCGTGATGTTGGGCTTAAAGTAGGTGCTTAGTTGGCGACGACAGCAGGCTGTTCGGGTGGTTTGTCGTGTCGCTTGCGGCCGCGACGTGCGCCTCCCCCGCCGCCTCCTCCGCCGCCAGCGCCCGCGCCTCGCTTGTCCGCCTGCACCTCGAACGGAGACTCCGCTGCCGTCACGTCGCTCTCTTGCTGTTAGCCATACAATATATTTTATTGCTAACCATACAGCTAGTAGGGATTTCAAACAGCACACAATAAAGCTAGATTCACACTATAATTCCAGTCTTGGTTTAGTAAAATATTACTTACGTAGTATTTATACTAGAAAATTAGAGATCTGTCTGTCTAGTCGTAGGAATCTGGGGAAGGGGAGAGGGAGGTAAGGGTCACTAGTACTTGTATATATTGCCACAATTAAAATAAATCTAATGAGCTTGCTTACCTATTATAATCTATCGTGCCGTTTAGACAACACATTGCTGATCCAGAAAGATATATTTTTTAATTTTACAGTTTATAAGTATAAAGTTATTTGCGTAAATATGAATAGAAGAAAGAAATAATTTAATCAAAGTAGCATACGACCCATACAGTAGCACACAAAACAAAAACAAAAGAAACAAAAAAAAAATAGTATACAAGTAGAAAGCAATTAAATTCAGTTCAATCAAAGTCTAAATAAAAAAGGTAAAAAATATAAATAAATAAATAGTAGGATAACTCTTGAATCCAACATTCATATCAATCTAATCTATTGCCAATGACAGTTTTACACTGCATTCGTGTAACAACTGTTAGGAAATTGGTTATAATTAGGATCGGTTTACAATAGTTTGCATTGACAAGTTGCACTAATATGCATCTATCAGAACAGTATGGAATCATTGTGTCGCTAGTGACGCAATTCGAAAGTGTGAGTTCTCAATTTCAATATCGATCAATTGGAATTTATTTCATATACTATACTGTATACAGAATACACGAGTGAGCACGTCTATCTGTGAGTACCGACCAGCTGCGACAGCGGCGGCTGCGGGCCGGCGGCGGCGTGTGATGCAAGTGTGAGCTGAGCGCGGCGGTCGCGCGGCTGGGCGGCGCGCGGCGGCGGCTTGAACGCGGCCGGCTCGGGCCGCAGCACGTTGCCAACTGCCTTCGTGCGGCCCTCGCGGAACACCTGCAATAGAGGAGCGGTCGCATAATTATATTTTTTTTTAATTACGTAATTGGTTATATACAATTGAGACAGACAAAAGGACTCAACAAGAAAGCAGATGGCATTATATTCAATAGTCAATTTGTTGCTTTTTGATTGTTTTTCACTGGCTATTACTACATACTATTTCTTTAAAAATATATAGTCAAGAGTAGATATGCATTAAAATATAAATCTATTTTTTGCCGTTAATTAAAATATTTATAATAATTTGTGTTTTGATATTTTGTAAAGAAAGCTGCTGATTTCTTTAGTAACTAAATTAAATTTAAATATCGATAATAATAAAAAAAAATACCAATCAATAGTAATAACAAACCGATCCATTTTATCTTTCACTTTTAAGAGCTCATTTTAATAAATATTGGTTTGCTCGAATTTAAATTGTATCTCATCTAATTCGATTTGCTCACCATCCTCTGCCCGCGCTTGAGGTACTCCGGGTGCTTGATGAAGCGGAAGCGGACGAGCGCCTTGTCGCCGGTCCGGAGACAGTCGCGCGACATCGACAGGATCGACGCCGTCTGCCGGATGCTGCCACAGTGCACTGCCAAGTGTCCAAACATCGTAAGCAGATAGATAGATAATTTATTTGCATCACTTACATGCAATCTGTTGGAGAGAACAATAAAGTGTAGCTCTTTATTGTTCTCTCCAACAGATTACATTAGTAAATTTAAAGAAATTACATTCCATCCAAAGGTAAGAGATTTAATAAGGTCGCCCATTGTTTTCAATTATTTCTTGTAATTATTTATAATAAGTTTACTATTGTAATCTTTTGGAGGAAACAATAAAGAGTATCTATTCTATTCTATTCTATTAAAGCACAAAAAAGAAATTACAAAAATAGCCCACATTGAGAAAACAAGTTTGAATGGAGAGAAGTAAACAGTGTTGGACTGTTGACAATGGGGTAACATTGCTTGTAATATAATTAGTCAAGTCAATGGCCATGCGGACCTCGTGGAAAACATCGTCATTAATTTCTGGTCAATTTATGACAATGGACCTCAATTGATATAAACTAGCCATTAAATTATCATGCATTCTTTCTTAGTGTACACTTATATATACAAAATATCTTACAATTACAATAAATTATTACAGTTTTTATTTTTGCTGCAACACTGAAGAGCTTTTTTTTTTATATATTTCTCAATACAGAACTTACAATAATAACAAAAGAATAAAAATTATATCCTCACCCATCGCCTGGTAGCGTGAGGAAATCGTGGTCGGATGATGTAGCACTAGGATCTCTCCTTCGAACTGCCAACACGCCTGCGGGTTCAATGCCGGCGACACCATCACCATGCCCTTGCGAATCTGCGACCTCTTGATCTGCAAACAAAAATATTTAATAGTTTACTATTTAATTATCAACTTTAATTAGAGCCATAACTTAAATAATTTATTTATTTATTACATCCACTGGGTGAGCCTTACAGTCTTCCAATACGCCCACCCAGGCTAATCCAATATTCATTCCTTCGTTTCTTCTGTTTGTCAGCAAGAATCTTTATAAATTTAAACTTCGAAAGTGCATGGTCACTACAGCACAGAGGTCGTGGGGGGGGAAGGGATTGTTAGCGATGGAGATTAACAGCCTCAATACTAACAATGTTACTAATCAGGTCGACCTCCACGTGGTTCCCCCTGGAAACCATCGTGGTTACTTCTCGTGGAATTCTTCAGGATGGACTAACTGACCTGCTTTCATCGTCATCTACCATCTATACCCTATCACTTGTATCCCGCCAGCGTATACCGTTAGCACAGGCGGGGTTACATTGCATTATCACCCATTATAAAAAAAAAGCACAGAGGTCGTAGAAGATTTTACTCGCGACCTTATCCACGTGAATGGGATAAATGGTAGCATATATACTTCTTTATCCTATATAATATGTGTATACTAAATATCACAATGTTTGGTTAAGCCGTTAAGATGACAAGAGGGAGTTTTTTTTTATGGATGAAAATGGTATGGTAACCCCGCCTGCGCTAACGTTATACGCTGGCGGAGCACCAGTGAAGGGTGATAGATGAGAATGAAAACAGGCAATTTAGCCCATCATGATGAATTCATCAGGAATTAACCATGACAGTTTCCAGGGGGAACCGCGAGGAGGTCGACCTGGTTGGGTATATTGCTAGCAATGGGATTTTTAGTCTCCATTACTAACAATCTCTTTCCCCCCTTGACAAGAGGAAGTTTGTACTCACTTTCAAAATTTTCAATTTGAAATTAAGTTTATAGAATGAATAAGGATTTCGACCCATGTTTACTGATGCAGGGTGAAGTAAGTTAAGTGTTACCTTCTTGAGTGCGAAGCTGGCGGTCTGCCCGCCGCGCACCTCGGGCACAGGCATGCGCTTGCGGTGGATGCTCTTGACGGCGATGGGCGTAAAGCGGCCCAGCGGGTCGGGCCCCAGCAGCAGCGTGTCGTTCAGCCGGATCACGCCCGCCAGCGTCGTGCCCGATACCACTGTGCCCACACCCTGACAACAGAAAGGGATTTATTGGTGAAATAGAGAGGGAGACTTTGTACAAAAGTTGTTTGCTTAGGTACCTCTGTCCCAATCGTGAAGCAATTGTGTTTGCATGGCTGTTTTGGTTTGAAGAGTGGGATATGGCGTGAATTTACAGGGTACAGAGGAATAACATCTGAGTCCTCAGGAATGGCAACGCATAGGCGGTATCATGGGCGAAACAGTATACTCTGTTATGTCTATAGGCGACGGTTACCACTTTCCATCAGGTGGGCCGTCAGTTTGTTTGCCATTCTAAGTTGTATAAAAAAAAAGAAAGGATTTATTTTAGAGTATAAATTTTATACAAAAAGTTTTTATACAAAAGTATTATTTCAGCCATTAACTGTCCACTGCTGAAGATAGACCTTCCCTATAAGGAAATTTCTGCCAGTAATTGCAACTCTTGGCAGGCGGGTTGGCAACTGCAGTTAGGCTTTGGTGATATTTCAAGCGGGACGTTACTGCCCATCCCCCGACCATTCAGTACACTTAGTCGCCTATTACGACACCTACGAGAAAGAAGAAGGTGGTACATTCTATGCCGGGACCACTCGTTACTGTATATTTTTGGTTAATAGAATGAAGATTTAATAGCGACCTACTGGTAGAATATCTATGGGAGGGACCCTTCATGGCTATCAATATGCCCCAGGTCAAACGCCACGCGGTTCTTCCTGGAAATAATAGTAGTTATCCTCTATAGTATATAGTTCCTCTATAGTTATATATCATCCTTCACTGGTGCCCCACCGGTGTAGTACGGGTAGGGTTATATAGCACCGATAGTGCGGGTGAGGTTACCATTCCATTATCACCGATTAAAAAAAAAACGGTAAAATACTCTATTTTGATGAAGAAGAAGAAGACCAAAAATTAAATAACAATGGAATACCAACCGGCACAGAGTAGGTGTCGTCTATCTGAAACTCCGCGGGCTTGTCGTCCTGCGAGGGCATCCGCGTTTTCAACAAGTTCAGGAACATCGTTAGCAACTCGAGGTTCTCGCCCGTCACATTCGACACTTGGAAGATTGGGCATAGCCTGTACAGGAATTAATTAATGATATGACTGTATGCACACAAATACTTGGCCTTTGTTACAATTAGACAATTTTACAGCACAGAAACATGTCAACAATTACCTTACAATAAATATACCGGAATCCTCACGAGTACCTATGTAATATTAAAGTATGATGGCATATCCCAAACAAACTTGGTAACTTTGGCTTTTCTGTTAGTTGCATGATTTACAATAAAAGCACTTTAACAATTACAAATGTAGAAGTAATATGCATATTTATATAGGGAGAAATAAATAGTTTTTTTTTTTGCATAGATATGGACTTAGGTAACAACCACAACTGCTTGTATATTATGTCAAATTGGGTTCTAAGAGCATTATTTGTCCGGTTAAATTTCGATTCAGAATTTATTTATTAAAAAAAAGATGACAAAGACGGATTAAGACATTTTGTCCACATATAATTAACCCATTGAATACGGAGAGCGCGCCAGGGCGCTCTCCAATGTTATACGTTGTGACGGCAAGCGCCTCGAGGCGCTCTCCCCACCCTCACCCAATGACGGCGAGCGCTCCGAGGCGCTCGGTTTCCTTTAGTTTCAAACGTGCTTTAGACCGTTCCAGTCACTTGTGGAAGCCCGTTATTTACTGGCAGTCACTCCTAATAATTAACTAAGCCATATACGTAGAAAAAGTTGTGCCGTCAGTGACGGCCGTTTATGAAAAACTAAGCCGTATACTGCATAGGGATCTCAATATGGCCGCCGTATTGAATGGGTTAAATGTATAGATAGACAGTAATGTCTATAAATAGCTTTGGTAATATCAAAACAAGTATTTAAGTTGGGACACAGTTAATTTTTATATAAGTTGTAGTGTAGTGCTTGTCTTTGTCTACAGTTATTTTTAACGTAAAATACGTAATCAACATACCTCTGCGACACGAAGTTAGTTGCGCTCACAATAACGTCGTCCTTGGTCTTCACCATAACAGGAACCTTCCTACAGCCGGAGGACTTGAGGATCCTGATGAGCAGCTTCAGATTGTCTTGCAGCACGTTGGGCGGGCACATGTCGATCTTGGTGACCACCACGAACACGGGCACGGACAGCGCCAGCGCGAGTCCCAAGTGCTCCTTAGTCATGCCCACTATTCCAGCGTTCGCCCCTATCTGTGGTAATACATTAATAAAACTATAATGTGTTATTTAGTAACATATGCGAATTCAACTTGCATATTACACGCGAATAAGACACCTAATAATAATTATTGATACTACAAGTCGTAATATCTAAATTTGTTTTTTTTTTTAAGATTATTTGAAAATTCCTTGAAAATGGTGCTAATCAGAAAAATCATTTTATTTTACCTGTAATATTATATATATCTTAAAAATTGTAATTATTTTAGATTTTTCGTTTTAGAATCTTCTGGCATAAGGGATGGATAGAGGGGGAGGGGGGGATGTACATATGATGTCCTTTCATATGATACTTTACTCGGAATCGTATCCGTTTTGAACTCTCTAACAATAAAACAAATAAAAATATTTTTTTCAATTATTTCCATTGGGATACGTGTGGCCTACATATGATGCTGTTGATTTGGAAATTTGAAATAATTCTACAAATTATTTCAAATTTCCAAATCAACAGCATTAGTAGTTACTGAGATAGTGAAACTCTGACAAACAGTTGAACAAAATCACACTATACTTTGTACCTTTTTGTTGTACCTTAAAAACCTAAAAATGACAAGCAAAACATATATTTTACTTTTATTTTTTTAATACTCGTATAAGAATGTAAATGATAGATCTCAAGTAATTATTTTCGTAAGATTTTATTGTTAAAATCTTCCATTTAATTATTCTTTTCTGTATAAATTTTTGGTTGTGTATCTGAGGTAACACGAAGCATAAATTGGTTTCCGTTGGATATTTTTTTTTTTTTTTTTTTACAACACAGGGGGCAAACGAGCATGCGGCTCACCTGATGGTAAGTGACTACCGCCGCCCATGATCACCCACAACACCAGCGGCATTGCAGGTGTGCTGCCGGCCTTTTAAAAAGGAATATACTCTTTTCTTGAAGGTTATGTTGAAATACTGCTGCTGGAAGTTGATTCCAAAGAATGGTTGTGCGTGGAAGAAAGTGCCTTGAAAAACGCACGGTGGAAGACCGCCACTCGTCCAGATGATTGGGATGAAACTTTAGTTTGTGGCGGGATATAAATCAATATTTTGTTATTGGTTAGATATGAAAGTGCTAATGTACGGCTAAAAATTGTGAAAATTTGTTGCTGTTAGAAATTCAATTATTATAGTAAAATTACAATGACCGTTTGCCCTCATCCCAGTTTATTTTTAACTTCAATAATCTTCGATTCACTCACCATAAGCATGCCGAAGTCCGGCGCGTGACCGGTCATACCGAACACGGTGGTCTTGAGGTAGCGCTCGTGGCCCGCCAGGTCGATGAACGTGATCACCTTGGAAGACTTCTCGCAGATCTTCACCCAGTCTAGAGTACCGTGGTCCGGTTTATTCACGACGTTGCCTGACAACAAGGACATTTTACGATAATGATTCAGCACTGTGGCTATGCAAATTATACAGAGTTTAAGAGACATTTCACTCTGAATACTAAATAAAAATTAATTTAAAGATATATCCTATTAATATAATAAATCCAAGAGTTGGTAAATTTCATGTGCTCTATCCCTTGTGTAACGAATATTGTTCTGAAAAAATTGTTTGAAATAATGCCTACAGCCACCTTTTATCATCGCAACGTTCGCTATCAACAGGGAACTAATGCTCACACGCATGATCCTAAATGGTCACATACAGTGCGGTTTCAGAGAAATTTACTCCCACGAACGTACAAGCTGTGAAATGAGGTGTATATAAAAAAAAAAGATGGATGGATGAGTGTATGTCTGATCCTCTTTTACGTAATTTTGTACATGGGTAGATTATATCATAATTTAGCACATAGGATACTTTACATGATTGTAAAGCACCCGCATGATTCACGCGGGTGAAACCACGGGATATAGCTAGTAAAACATAAAGTAATATAAGTCCACTAGTACAATTTTATAAGTGTACATAATATGAACTAAAATACATATGTTCATCTTTTTTCAAAGTTTTAATAGCGTTTTGATGGGAGAAAGGGATTGTTAGTAATGGGATCTAACCTCTACATTGTTCCTCCTGGAAACCGTCATGGTCAATTTTTGAATTCATCATGATGGGCTAACTGTCCTGCTTGCATCTTCACCGATCATTTCTTACTGGTGCCCCGCCAGTATATACAGATATCATAGGTGGGGTTACCATTTCGTTCTCACATATAAAAAAAAATGTTTTGATAAAAGTGACATAAGCACAGTTTATAAAAAATCTATATAAATTATAGTTTAATATATAAAATAAAAGTAATATATAATAGGTATAAAACTTTGTGTTGAAGTGATCACAATCTCACCCAGGCTATCAAATCCCAGTATATCGTTCCCCACAGAGCTGGTCCTGCCGCTCTCCATCTCGTGTTTATGCCTGAACAGCCTCTGCCGGGCGTACCCTCGCCCGTTGTCCAGCTCGCCGTGTGTCAGCACACCCAGCAACGTGGACTTGCCCGCGTCCACGTTACCCACAACCGCCACCCTGGTGGGAACAAATTATTCATATTATCACAATATAAATATACATTATAAAACATCTTTAAAAGCCTGCGGTTCTTGAACATCACGATGTCATATCGGTTCGGAAATACTGATGCTGGAAGTTGATTCCAATGTGTGGTTGTGCGTGGAAGAAAGTGCCTTGAAAAACTTACGGTGTAGGACCACACAGGAGTTACTCATCCAGATAGTTGGGATAGAACTTTAGTTTATGGCGGGTTGTACGAATTGAAAATGAAACATGAGTTGGAATGAGACATCTGACATTGCTATCTTATTCTATCTCTTGAACTCGCTAGCGATGTCGATTTCATCGATGGATTCGCTTGCCACTTGTCTAGAGAGCCAGGTTGCTAAAGTATAAATACAATACAATACCTGATTTCCATAAAATCTGTGTCGTCCACCTCCATCCTCAGCAGGTACTGGCCGGTGAGGCCGGTGCCGCACTGCCAGCGGCGCAGTTCCACGCACGACACCCGCTCAGCGCTCACCAGGGACTGCAGCGTCGCCAGCGACGCACTATACTCGTCCTCCGTTAAACCTCTGCCGTCTACGGTTCATAATAATTTATTAGAGAAATATATAAAATAAATAAATGCCGTGCAATCACACAAACCAAACTTGGAAACCAGGCGGTTTGTGTGTTATGAAGAACAAGGCAATAAAGATCTGGGAGCACAACCCAAAATACCCAGATCTTTTTCTTTTATACAACTTAGAATGGCAAACAAGCTGACGGTCCCCCTGATAGTAAGTAGTAACCGTCGCCTATAGATATGAGCCTACAGAGTATACTGTTTCGCCCATGGTACCCCCCATGCGTTGCCATTCCTGAGGACTCAGTTGTTATTCCTCTGTGCCCAGTAAATTCACGCCATATCCCACCCTTCAAACCGAAATACAGCTATGAAAACACAATTGCTTTACGGTTGAAACACGAATGTGACAGAGGTATCCAAGCAAACGACTTTTGTACAAAGTCTCCCTCTGTTCCAAGATCCAAGCCAATTCAGTAAAGTTGGTGACTTTAATTGGCCCGACAGGAAATCGAAACCCAGGATCTCTTTTACGTAAACCAACATATCCGTCAAACGAACTTAATGATCGGGGGATGGGCAGCAGTGTAGCTCTTATAACATTTCTAAAACCTAACAGCGGTCGCCAATCCGCTTGCCAAGCGTAACAACTACGTGCAAAACCTTTTCAAGGAGGAGACCCATATATTTAGCAGTGGACAGTTAACGCCTGATATGATGATCATCTATACATAATTCTGTATCACATAAAAAATCAATTTCAAATAATAAAAGGTATATGGGGCCATTCTGGGTAACCACTGTCAATTGGGGGGAAAGGGATTGTTAGTAATGGAGATTGAGAATCCCATTGTTAGCAATATACCCAAACACGTCGACCGCCTCGCGGTTCCCACTGGAAACTATCATGGTTAATTCCTAATGAATTCATCGTGATGGGCTAACTGGCCTGTTTTCATTTTCATCGATGACCCTTCACTGGTGTCCCGCCAGCGTATCCCGTTAGCGCAGGCGGGTTACCATACCATTTTCACCCATAAAAAAAAGCACTGTCAATTATAAAAAGAATCATTGAAATAATAGGAATGTATTTATTTCAAAGACTAAGAAAGGATTGCGTGCCCAAATTATTTAACGGCTTCCCCCCTATAAAAGATGTCGTAATTCCTAACATCAATAATTATTGTCATAACGGTTGCAAAATAAAGAAACTGATGTATAATTTACAGATATAATCTAAGATAGGAAATTGATAACGCAATAATAAACTATTGTAATTAAGAGATAAGATAATTATGTGTGGTGGGTCTGTCAATATTAGTATAATTGATCAATAGCTTCAAATATCTAACAGATGTTTTGAAACAAGTATACAAGATATGGATAATATTATATGGATAAGATATGGATACCATTTTAACATTTGCATACCTCTGTGGGGTGCTGCATGTTATGTGCCTGTATATGTATGTAACTTCTTATTGTATGATTTGATTTGATTTGATAAAATTCTAATTATAGGGTAAATTGATCGTCCCCCTCCCCCTCTTATTTTTAAATCTACTGAACTTAAATTATGAAAATAAATTTAAGAAATTGTTCTTTACCTATAGACTAAGAAAACCTTATATATATATATATATATATATATATATATATATATATATATATATATATATATATATATATTCTATAATGTTATATATTAATTTCATTTTCATGTTCACTTTGTGCATGGCAGCAGTCTCGATAAACAATAGGAACATTTTATTTTCATATATGGCAATAAATCAATCATTAGAGGTAGAAAGAAAAAAAAGAGTGGTTGGTGTCTGTTCTCTAAAAAAGAAGTATACGATTTATTTCGTTGTCATTTTTAAATAATTAAAAGGTGATGAATTTAGTTCCACCATCTTGAGACATATGAGAATTTAATATCATTGTTATTGTCAATATAAAGTATGGAAATAGTCAGTTGGTTTGTCGCTAAAAGGACACATCAAAACCTATAGGAGAATTCAAGATCAAAACCCTTAGTACTTATAACATTTATGAGGTAATCTCTGTTAACTTTAGCATGCATGGAAATTGAGCGATCTGAGCATGTCTTAAGTCAGTAAAACGAATTTTTACAAATAAAAGGGTAAGTCATTTGACCATTGTTTGAATCTAAGTAGTGACTTTTGTAAGTTTATTGTTATCGTATTTTCGTGTCTAGATTTTTTTAACCTTCTCATAAGGGGGGAAGGGATTGTTAGTAATGGAGACTGAGAATCCCATTGCTAGCAATATACCCAACCAGGTCGACCTCCTAGCGGTTCCCCCTGGAAACTATCATGGTTAATTCCTGATGAATTCATCATGATGGGCTAACTAGTCTGTTTTCATGCTCATCTGTCACTCTTTACTAGTGCTCCGCCAGCGTATCCTATTAGTGCAGGCGGGGTTACCATACCATTTTCACCCATAAAAAAAAACCTCATAAACATCTTAATTATATTTTCGCGTAAGTTATTACAACTAAGTTGCTTTAACTAGATAATCAATACACGAAACCTCCTCCACAGTAGTTTAACCATCACTTGTCTGATTATTTAAGTAACTGGAAATAGCAAAGAAGCTCACTTGTGGTAAATGATAACTGTAGACTATAAATATTAACAGCATAATTTTTAACTAAGCAAACTGTTGCTTATCAAAGCAGTAACAGTAAACCATAATTTTTTGTTGTTAGTGGTGATTATAGGCATATTTAAAGGAGGTCTACGTGGGTCGTGCCCACCCTAGAGTTGACTGGTACTCACACCAATATAAAGAGTGAAGTTGTCAGCAAAGACATGTCTAAGAGTCTATATGTGTCTTTATGAATGGACTACACATTTAACTTTTACAATATTTATATCATCACTCACCTTCACCGTGTCCAATATCATATATAATTTCACCATTCCCAGACTCCAACCTTTCGAGCAGTTGTTTCCGTAGCAGTTCATACTCGTCCGCTGTTGGACTTACCAGCACCATCTGTATTATTAAAATGTTGTATATCAGTAAGATGACCCAATTTTTTTATCTTATAATTAATAAACATGAAAGTATCGTGTTGTTACTTCATCATGTATAAATGGCTGAATAAACTGAAATTAAAGGCATGCAAGTAGTATCCTTGCCTAACATATAGAATACAAATCATAACTCATGTGGATAAAAGCTATAGGTTAAAATTTATTATGAATAATAGAAATTTTGGATTTTTCCATTCTACAACAATATATTTATGTTTAAAAATATTTAAAATATAAATGTAGAAATTGACTGATCAATAAATAGTTGAACCATGCCTAGATCCACAGTGAATCAAGATTTATGGTCCAAATGAATGGAAATTTTATACAGGGTTATTTTATTTCTTTTCTTTTTTATGCAACTTAGAATAGCAAACAAGCTGACAGCCCACCTGATAGAAAATGGTAACTATCACCTATAAACATGAGCAGGACCATGGACATAACAGAGTATACTATATCGCCTGTGATACCCTATAAATTCACTACCATATCCCACTTTTCCAACTGAAATACAGCCATGCAAACACAACTGTTTCACGATAGAAACAAAAATGGGACAGAGGTACACAAACCAATGACTGTTATACCTATGAATATACTGTTTCACCCATGATACCACCCATGCATTACATCACTACTATCTATCTATTATAAACACATCTACCACTGATGAATTACCTTTTTTAATGATATTGTATCTGTTTCCATCACAATAAAAAAAAATCTGATATTATTTCTGTCAGTAGCACAATAAAATCTCTTTATCGTTACTAATTATTTTTTCAATTGTATATCAATAACTAACCTAAGGTACTTGAAAATGGTCTATTAGTATTATTATTTCTAGTAGTAGAACAATAAAAATAAATAATATTGAATGAATTACTTGTGATACTGTATCACAGACAATAAAGGTATATTAATGAACCATTTGAGAGTAGCTTTGTTTATCAGTGATATGCAATTGCATAATAATTTGTAACATAAAGTGAATGATGCAACAGAATACAATAATGATAAGCTTTGAACAATATCAGTTTTAATGCAATTTTTATAAATGAATTATATTATAAATAAAAATATACAGCATATTTTACATATTATTTATAGAACTTAATGCAAAGTATTTAGTTATTCTTACATTTTACTTCTTAAAAAATGTAATACCAAATAAATTATATTGTACTGCCATTTATTTATAATTTTAAGAAAATTCATACAGTATTTTGTCAATTTGGTACATTGTTTTAATAAGCAATAGACAATAAATTATATACTATTTATATTTATGTTTATGTTAGTAAACAATGGACCACCTAAGTCATACCTTGCCCCTGATGCTGGAGTAATCCGTTTCACTCTCCTTGTAGCCCTCATACTCGCCCTGAGGGCTAGTGTTTACGGGTGAATCAAAATTATTGTCCATATCTAGAGCAGTTTCTTGACCATCAACGACAAAACAGAACCATTATGTCATCGCGTTATTGTCGAATACACTACTTCCTGGTCATCATTCCTAAAATAAATAACGAAATAAACATATAAGACTTTTTTTATATATACGAATGTACACCTAACATTGAAATTAAGCAATCATTTTAATTTAAAAAAATCAATTCCAACTCTACCATATTGAAGGGGAAATAACAATAAATACAGTAGTAATGAGTTTAATAATACGGGTAACTTCTCGTAAGGTTTAATAAAATATATAACTACTCACTGGAATATCTATTAAAATTATTGTTCAAGTAAGATTCAATTTGTCCACAAAAATAACAAATGTACAGACGAGAAAACGAGCGAGAACAAATTTTGCAAGATGAGATTGCCAACTTTTTGACAAACAATTGACAACTCAGGCGGTCGAGTCTCAAATCTGTCATCGGCTGTCACCTCCGTCAATTAGTAATGAACTTCTGGAACCATAGATATTGAACACTATTTGCATTGTAAATAATGTACGCTTAAATTCAAATTAAATCTTACAGACTGCCCGAGATGTATACTTAGTTTAGTATGTATTCACTATTCTCTAACCCTATCCTAACAATTTAAATTTCATTTTAATATCACACCTACACACATAAAGATTTCACATCCTTATTTTATGGAACATATAAACTAAATTTCTAATAGATTTAAGTTAAAATTAGTCATTTAACGATACTGCTTAATAATTACTTGATAAAATCTGATAAGTCAAACGTCAGTAAGTCAGTTCAATACTTCTGTCAGTTACAAGCGCTTCATAGATTTTAGCGTCACTTCTTCACAAATTTTGTCTTAGTTATCGGCAAATAGAAAATGTTTTAATCGCCAGTGTTTTTCCTTAATATATTGTTTAAATGAATCTCTTATTCGAATAGAAACGGTGACTTAATATTTTTAATACATACCTACTATGATTCTGTGGATAACTCAATCCTTGAACAATCAATATGGGTGAGTTTAGTTCATCCGATTGTTCCTGGAAAAAAATGGTGATAGCCAAAACAAACAACAAATGGATTTCGACTATCAAATCAGACATTGCAAATGCTAAGAACCTATTAAATACTAATGATTTCAGTGTAAGCGACGAACAGATGTCTCAAAGACTAGTAAAAACTGAACGAGAAGAAACAATTGAAGAGCCAGATGGTCAAACATCTAGTGCAGAACCGGAATCAATGTTGCAAGAAGTGGATCCACTTTCAGTTCCAGAACCACAGATGCGAAGACGAAGAAAAGGCTCTATTCCTAAAAACGAGACAGCAGACGAAAGATCAGCTAGATTGGCTAAAATGTCTGCATACGCTGCCCAGAGACTTGCTAATGAATCACCAGAACAGCGTGCCTCGAGGTTAAGACGAATGTCAGAATATGCCGCAAAGAGACTAGCACAGGAAACAAGCGAACAAAGAGCCAGGCGTTTGGCCAGAATGTCTGCTTATGCAGCCAAAAGGCTCGCTGAAGAAACTCCAGAGCAAAGACAAGCGAGACTAGCTAGGATGTCTGCATATGCCGCCCGAAGACAGGCCATGAAGAAAATAATGAATCCCAACAGTAATATTGGCATAGATCCAACACATTATAATATAGCTAATATTACACAAGACCAAAGTTGAAATCACATCTCTAGGAGAATAAACAAATTAGATTATACATAAAGAGTTATTTAAGCTTTTTTTTTTACAGAATAATTAAGAATATACATAGGTATTACAATTTATGTTTTTCATCATTAAATTTAGAGCCCTATACTAATTTTTTCTTAGTTCTATTTATTCATGCTTTGTTTTAGTTGTGTATAAATTAAACTCGAAATAATGTACTATAATATATGCAACAAATTAATAAATAAGTTTTGTAATTTAATTGTTCATTTTCAAATATTTTAAATCCTATTACAAAGTTGCATTTTTCTAGGCAAACATTGTTTTTTTTTTGTCAACGCTAACTTATGTTACTGGATCTTTACATTTGCAACCTATTTATGACATTGACTATTTTATGCAAACTATTATTCAGAAAACTTTATATGAACATAATGGCAATGTCTACCCCAGACGTATACTCGGCTGAGAATACAATTTTATCTCAAATAATATTTGACAATACACTTGACATTTGAGTTGCTTATATGTAAAATAATAACTATATATATATTCATTAATATTTATTGTTTTTTTTTTTTGTATTTATATTTTTTATATAGCTACTAAAAATAGTTTAATATTTTCGTGCATTTATATCTTGACATTGATAATAAAAGTGAATGAAGAAAAGCATATAAACAGATAGATAATAATTTATTCATTCTCTAGCAACAATTTAGCTTGGGATTCAGAATTAATTTAAATCAAAGTAACACAATGTAGTTTTTTGATTAATTTATTATAATACTTGAGATTCAATAACAATGTCAAGGAATGTTCTTATCAGTCTATTTTCATACAATCATTATAAACAACCTACACCTTATTTTGAATACAATATCATAAATAATTTCTTTACCTCTAGATAATTATGTACAATTTCTTTTTAATTAATCATTTTAGTATAATATATTAATATGTAGCATTTTTTTACAAGGCTTGGAGAATAAAAACAAATTAAATATAACTTTTATCATATAAAATGAACATCATTGCAGATAATATAGTTTTAATATAATAACATTATGTTATAAATTACTAATAAGTTATTTAATTTTATATAAGACATCAAATCACACTTATATCAAACATATTAACAATTTTTTTTCCCAGAATATTAAAATTATTTACAAGGATAAAAGCTATATATACCATATGACAAAGTCTATGTAAATAATACATATGAATCCATATAGTTGTTTAAGGATAAATACCAAGGCTCGATCCAGGGGAGCACCAATCGAGTAAATGCTTAGAACGGCAACACAAGTTCACAGCAAGTTAAATAGCAAATCATAAATGATGGCAAATATTCATTTTGCCTGTGGAGCCAAAATAGCTAGAACAGGCATTGGCGACTACAATCTTACTCAAACTTTCAATTCCAATATCAGAATGACTAGCATACATACATTTCTTTATTCATATCAGCTTCAGACTTGAAAAATGTTTTCATTTCACAATATAAACATCAGAATTATAAATGTTGTGGACGAAGCAGCAAAAAAATTATTAATGCATAAACAATAATACAATTCATACAATGAATGACATGTCCATATGTCACAAATACATTTAGCCATAAACAATATTTTATGAAAACCTATTTATTGCTATTAACGGTCAACCGTCGTTCATTTATCCTGCTCTGGACATATTTATCGGCATACAATCGCAATTTTTTTTTTAATTTTATTATCACAAAAATACAGAATTATAGAAATTATGTTTCAAAAACCACGTAGGTTTATATTAATACTTTTAATTATTAATTAATTAAAAGTATTAATTTATATAATTAGTAATTTATTAGAAACAATAGAAATTACACTCATAAAAATTGCTTTTCATGGCCTGGCCAAGTGTGTACATGACCAAATATATTTATTATGTGGAATGCGCAATCCTAATCAACAAATATGCTGTGTTGTGTAGTGTAAAACGAAGATTTATAAATTTATAATTAATTCAAATAAAAGCTTTATAAATATTAAACATTTACGGCTCACATATTGCTAACATTAATACACGAATAGAGATCGTCCGCAAATATCACGCACCTCGTGTGTACACCGCATTAGAAATGAATTAGCCACTAATCACCGCTACAAACTTAAGATTCATGTATAAGATAAAATTAATTTTATATTTGTTGCCTATATGTTAAACTGCAGTCAACATCAGCAACGTTGATAGACACCTATAGATCTATCAATAATCATCAATCACTATTGCGTACATACATACTTATATAGCTCAATAATATTAACGCGGGAATTGAATAAACATAATAAAGCTCAATTTAGTTTAATATATACAATAGGATGTTTTTTTTAACAACACAAGGGGCAAACAAGCTTGCGGCTCACGTGATGGTAAGTGACTACCGCCGCCTACGATCACCCACAACACCAGCGGCATTGCAGGTGTACTGCCGGCCTTTTAAAAAGGAATATACTCTTTTTTTGAAGGTTACGTTGTCGTATCTGTTCGGAAGTATTGCTGCTGGAAGTTGAATGTACTAAGTATAGAGAATTTTTTTTTTATACAAGTTAGAATGGCAAACAAGCTGACGGCCCAACTGATGGACAGTGGAACCGTCGCCTATAGACATGAGCAGTACCATGGACATAACAGTATACTGTTTCGCCCATGATAACCCCCCCTCCCCCATGTGTTACCATTCCTGAGGACTCAGATGTTATTCCTCTGTACCCAGTAAATTCACGCCATATCCCACCTTTCAAACCGAAACACAGCCATGCAAATACAACTGCTTCACGATTGAAACACGAATGGGACAGAGGTACCCAAGCAATCGACTTTTGTACAAAGTCTCCCTCTGAAATTTGAATATCTTAATGTGGTCACCAATGTTTCAATCAATCTTTTAATATAGCCAATGGTTTAATGTTGGCTATATGAAAAGATGCTGCGAAGAGATTTCTTCTAGCGATTCTTATTCTAGCCCATATATGATTCTAGCCCATTCTTTTCTCTATGTGAAAATATAAGTAAAGTTGACAATAATACTTCAAACATTCGTGCTTATAATTATTATTATGTATTACTTCATTATATTTTTCTACATAAAAAGGTCTTATCAATTTAGCAGATCAAATCGTCACCAGGTGGAAGCAGTTTGTATACGAGGGTGTATCAATAAGGGGGTAGAGGGTAAGCGACGTTGTTACACCTGGGTCGGTGAGGTAGCGGCGCAGAGCGTTGATGCGGGCGAGCGCGGGCGGGGGCGGAGCGCTAGCAAGCCGGGTCGGCCGCTAGCGGAGCGCCCGCGGGCGCCAGCAGCTGCCGCGTCGACGACGTCGAGCTGTACGAGTCGCCCGACGACCGTACGCTCGACTGGCTAAGTGGCGTTCCTAAAAAAAAAAATAATTCACAACATTAGTTTCAACGTGTGCTGATAGAGGAAGTCACTACTTGTTTTCAATCCCAGGATACTATAATATGAAAGCGAGACAACTTTTTTTAATGAATGATAATGGAATGGTAACCCCATCTGCACTGGCGGGGCACCAGTGAGGGATGACAGATGAAGATGAAGATAGCGCAGACGGGGCTACCATACCATTATCACCCATTAAAAAAAAATTTTAACTTAGTTCTAAATTTAAAAAACTCTTTTTTATCTGAAAGGATATACTTGCAGATTGGTACCATAAAACTTTAATCAAAATCGGTTTAGTGGTTTAGTTTTAAAATCAAAATAACTGGTTTTTTGTTACAATTGAAGTAAGTTTTTTAGTTACTGATTTTTTTTTTTATACAACTTAAAATGGCAAACAAGCTGACGGCCCACCTGGATGGAAAGTGGTAACCGTCGCCTATAGACAAGAGCAGTACCATGGACATAACAGAGTACGAGTATACTGTTTCGCCCATGATACCCCCCATGCGTTGCCATTCCTGAGGACTCAGGTGTTATTCCTCTGTACCCAGTAAATTCACGCCATATCCCACTCTTCAAACCGAAACACAGACATACAAACACAACTGCTTCACGGTTGAAACATGAGTGGGACAGAGGTACCTAAGCAATCGACTTTTGTACAAAGTCTCCCTCTGGTAAATGTCTCTCTCCATCTGATGTGATTACATTTGTAAATATTTCATATATTTATTATGAACGTGATATACCGGGCAGTGAGGTGACATGGTGCGGCAGGGCCCAGCGTTGCGGGGCGCACTCCGCTACGTTGTTACCATTCTCCTGCAACAGGCATAACATACACGAATGTGGCATATTTCACTTCATTGGCTTGAACAACACTCCCCAATAAATTATAATAGACACAAGTACTATTGGGAAATGTTTTAAAATAATAATCTATAATATGGCAACACAAAATACAATGATCTCTCACAGTTACATGATAAAATGAATGCGCAAATTATAACACAATGGAAGCGTAAACTAACTGCTGAACCAAACTTCATTGCCTATAAAAAAAAAAAGTGCATTTCTAAATAAAATGTTGACGTAGGTAAAAAAAAAAAAGCTAGATTCACATTTAACGGATCTTCCGCGACGGAACGCCCAATCATTTTTAGAAAGATCATTTTTAGAAGATTTGTTGCTAATTTGATGGATCACAATGAAACGCTCTTTAGACGTTTCGCGCGTCCAACTTCCGTTCTGATCGTCTATTTCAATAGAGCTTAATGTAAAAGTAAACAAAGAAATAATTGACTTAACCATAGACAGTTTGCCGATACAAAAAAAAGTTGATTTACCGATTCAATTTATCGATTTATTAATTTGTTAAAACTTATTTTCTTTGTTATTATTATTAGTTTTTATCCGCAAATTCGTCCGAGTGAATTCCACACAAAAAAAAGCTTACTCGTACGTTTTACTCTATCCCAAATAGCATATGTATTTGGTTAAGCCGTTAAGGCGCTATAAGGTAACAAACAAATAAACTCGCTTCTATATTTATAATTTGATACCGAATTATTTTATTAAAACAATGTTTCTGTGATAATTTGAACAAAATTGGTCACCTTTACATTAAGACCTAAATGAAATAGACTATAATACAATCCGCCGCACTCGACGGACGGTCCGCGGAGACTGACGTACAAGACGATCGACGGCGCGGAAGATCCGCGCTGGAATACCCGCTAATAATTGAAATATAATGGCGAATGCGAGCAGAGGCGGCGAGTGACGTCACAGATGGGCGTAGCGGGCGCGTTGCAAACACACGGACTTACGAGCTTGTGCTTAGGTACGGTCAGTATGGTCGTGTTGGTGTCCTCGGGCGTGAAATAGTCCGAGTCGTCCGCCACCGCCGGCGACTCGGCGCCCGGCCGCGGCTCGGGGCCGCTCGCTGCGTGCGTACGTACACTTCGTTATGTATATTGCGTATGTACATGTCATTCATTGTACCAATTTTTATTATTAATATATTAATTTACAAAAATTCACATCTCTCTTAAGGAGAGGAGATGGCAAACGAACCCCCGGCAGAAGCACAGTCGGCCGGGGTTCAGGGCTCCAGGGAGAGAAACCGGCGTACAATGCGGGCAGAATCTAAGAGCACCGCTTTCTGCATCTTTCCCGGGAGTGAGCCGCCTCGGAATCCCACCCGTCTGAGATGTTGTTCCAGACTGGTTGGGATAAGACCGTTCACCGACAAAACGATTGGAATGATTTCGGTGGACGTCATTATTATTATTATTTCAGCCGTTAAATGTCCACTGCTGGACATAAGCCTTCCCCATTAGGTGAGTTTTGCCAGTAGTTGCCACGCTTGGCAGGCGGGTTGGCAACCGCAGTGAGGCTTTTAGAGATGTTTTAAGGGGGATGCTGCTGCCCATCCCTCGCCCAACACTGTACCAATACTAAGCAGAAATCCACTAGGTATTTATTATTATAAATGATTATCGTTTTTTTATAACACAGAGTGCAAATGAGCATGCAGCTCAGATGATGGTAAGTGACTACCGCTACCCATGAACTCCCGCAACACCAGAGGCATTACAGGTGCTGCCAGCATTTTAAAAAGTAACATGCTCTTTTCTTGAAGGTTATGATGACGTATTGTTTTTTTTTAATACTGGATACATGAAAAATGAAAATTTATTCCATAATTAGGTAATTTACAGTCAACCTTAAAAAGCTGAAAGGGGCCAACAGAATAGAAGACATTTTGGTATTGATAAAATTCAACTATTTTTGGAGATACTCAATTTCTATACAATAAGGTCACGTGATCTATTTAGTATTCAAACAGACATTTGTTTCATTGACATCTTGTGCACACAAACTCGAGTGTTTGCTTGGTAAGAGCATGTTTGTTATATTTCCTAGAAAGTGCAGGTACAGTGAAACAAAATTTTATATAATCTATTTTTTCATAGATCGTAGACGCGCCCGGTGAAACAAATAATGGAGAGATTTTTCAATATAATCATCAATTAGAATTAAAAAATTTGAATCTGTAAAAATCTTGGTTTGTAAAACTTTTTATTAGGGATAATATTGTTTCGGAAGCATCATAGCAGGTAAATTAATCGTATGAGATAGTAGTCAATAGCTGGTAAGATATAAATAAGCAATATTGGCCAAATTAAATTCGCTTCAAAATTATGATATTTCGGAAAACCATCGCGGTACGACATTACGAGGCTTGATTGGTTTTTATTTTGCGGAATATAAATACTATGTGAGTAGTACTATGTATCAAATAATAGATATGGTCGAAACAGGCAAAAATATGATTCAGCTTTTTCACTATTGTATTCGTTTTAACAAACGTTTTATTAATAAAAGTGTTAATAAACATCCCATTTATAACAATTCCGTTACCAAAATATATTATGTATGACACAAATTAATACAGTTGCTATCCCTTTCATTCCTATACGAATCAGACAAGATTTATATTGTTATTATTAATTAATCAGTTTTAGTATATTAGAAAAAGGTTATTATTTTCTTAATTACAGGGACTGATACTGAGTTATTCAATCTTGACCATTTTTAAAATTTACTAATTTTAAACATATACAAACTGTTTATCCATTTCTAAAATGAGCGTATTTTAGAGAGATAAATATTTGTCATTAATTGTTTATAATTACTCCTCTCCATCCAAAGGTTGCCTGGAAGAGATCGCTCTTAGCGATAAGGTCGCCCATTGTTTTCTCATTGTGATTATTTCTTGTAATTATTTATATTTTTTAATAAGTTTACTATTGTAATCTTTTGGAGGTAACAATAAAGAGTATCTATCTATCTACATTATGATTAGACCAAGTCACGATTTGATAATAAATATAACAAATTATGCAATTTTTGAGGACCAATATTCAGTATCAGTCCCACTGCACTGTGAAGGGTTGGTTTGAACAAGTGTGTACTGACAGTTGTGCGGGTGGTCGGGCTCGTCGGTGTCGGTGTCGTCGATGTGCGCGAGCGCCGGCGCCGACAGCCGCAGCGCGCCGCACGCGCCGCTCGCCGAGCACGCCGAGCACGCCGAACACGCCGAGCACGCCGAGCACCCACGCGTGCCAGCGCTCGTCGGGCACGGCGATGTGCGTAGGCTGCTGCTTTTCAATACCTGTTATCAAGGGGGTAATGGATTGTTAGTAATGGGGTCTAATGAACCTACTGCTAACAATACACCCTATCAGGCCGACTTCCACGTGGTTCCCCTGGAAACCATCGTGAACAATTCTTGTTGAATTTGTCACGATGGGCTAACTGATCTCCTTCATCCTCACCTATCATCCCTCACTGGTGCCTCGCCGGTGTATACCGATAGCGCGGGCGGGGTTACCATTCCATTATCACCCATTAAAGAAAAAATACCTGTTATCATAGGCGTATTTAATGAGGGGTCAGGTGGATCATGCCCACCTCAGGATACAAGTGGGGTTTATAACTATGCACAAAAACATATCTGAGAGTGTGTAATGCCCCTTTTTCAACCATTCCTGGAAAATAATCTTAAAAATACGTGTTATGAAAGTGAATTAGCACGAAAGACACTTTTAGGAACAGCCATAAGAATACTGCTGAATTAAAAAAATCTTGACTCATTAATAAAAAGAACAGGTGAGAGGTTACTCACCCCATTGGAAGGCAATTGAGTAAGCAATGGAGAGAGTCGCTCGGCGTCGCTGTCCGGCTCGGCGTCCGGGTCGATGTCCGGCTCGCCGTCAGGGTCGACGTCATGTCCGGCGTCCGGGCGGCCGGCGGCGGCCGGCGAGTGGTCCGCACGCAGCGAGCCCTCGTCCTCCGAACACGAGCCGTCCTGCGCCGACCCCACGTCCGTCGGATACTCCAAGCTTAAAGATGACTGGAACAAACAAATTACAAGAGAATTAAACTCAGATACGGAAGATTGAAAATGTATTAGAAAGTTAATAAATGTGAACTTTTATGATGAACACGAGTATGTTTAGATATTTTTATTATAAAATTACCTTTAATTTGAATGGAATAGAATTAAACAAATAAGATAATATTATTCTAATCCTTTTGGACAAAACTGTAAGTTGCAGTTTGTAATAGACATTTTAATATTTGTTCGCGACATTATTTGTATATATCGTAATTTATAGTTGTTAAGTCCTAGTTAATCGTTTTGTATTCTGTTATTTTATATAGATTTACATAGATTTAAGATAGTGTAAGTTAAATAAAGTATTCCTTTGCGTGTTGTCATTATTACCTACGAATAGAAATAGAAATTGTAACAATAAATAGAATTAAGAACTTGTAAATTGCAATAAATAAACGCTATAGAGTACCGATCTGAAGAGACACGCGTCTCGTTCTTTCTCGCCCCGTCCCGCTCGCGCAGATTCGCTAACGCGAGTTGGAAACGTTATCATGCGAGCGGGCGGGTATAAAGATAGGCCGCCTCTCGTCGAGCGGCATTTTGGATCGGCCAGCAGTCGAAGCGACAAGAAGGAAAAGTTTGGCAGCAGCTTGGCAGCACTGAAGACACATCGCAGCAGCATCACCGCTTCGGCACCGCTACAACACCTGCGTGTGCGCCGCCGCAGCAACTCGACCGAGCAGCACCGCGGCAGCGCCATCGTACTATCAACGCGGCTTCACCACCTTGTGCACCACCGTACCAGCTCCACCGTGTGCACCGCCGCACTAGCACCACCGAAGCAGTAACATCACGTGCGCCCCGCCATCGCCTCAACGTCGCACCGCACGGATCCAGCAGACTCACCGTAGCCAGCACCAAGGAGAGAAGACGTTGTCTGGTGCGTTTGTTGTTGCAAACGTACCAGGCAACGAACCGGCTGTCATCGGAGCGGACAGTTTTGACAAGATTGAAGTCCATCCGGGGATAGGCTTCCCCAGAATGAAAGGATCGCGGACGACTGCTTGAGAGGACGACCTGTGAAGCAGAAGGAAGGGAATCCGAAGGATTCGGAGAATGCCGAGCCCGGCCAGGCGGCCGGACGAAAAAGGCCCTTATCAGGGCCACAGTGTACCAGTGTACAGTGTACCATCATCGCAGGGGGGGGACCTACCACCGCTGCTCCTCTCCCCGCGCGCGCCCGTGCGCAGCGCCCGCGATCAGCGATCTCCCCCGCGGGGGAGAGAGCGCTCCCGCTCGCGCGCCGCGCATCGCACCACAGAGACGCCGAGCGTCTCCCGCGCCGAACCAGCCGCGCCGATCCGCGGCCACGCGAGTGCCACCACCTCTCGCGCCGGTTTGGGCGACGCCGATGCCCAGCGCGCCCCGCAGGCCGCGTCCGCCGCGAACCGCACGATAGCCGTCCCCCACCCTCTCGCCGCCGAAACCGCCGCACACAGTGCCGCCGCCGCCCACACCGACACCGACGCCGTACCCATGTGCAGGGTACAACAAAGGACAACAGCAAGACCCGGAAGCGCTGCCGATGTCCCGATGTCTCCAGCATCACCACCGGACACCGACACCACCACCACCGCTCCGAGAAAGGGTGCAGGCGATTTGCCCGCCACTGGGCGGCCTCTACCTCCGTCCGGAGCCGCAGGCCCCTCCGTAATTTCGGGCGGGGGTCCGCGCGTCGGTTTGTCACCGAGATCAACATTAGAGTGCGACTCGTTGATCTTGGGACAAGTGCTGGCGACGGACCTTTTGTCCCAGGGGATGAAGGAGAGGATTGCGGCTCTGGTCGGGGACGAGGCGGCCCGGTTGGAGGGCCAGCCGACGCCACCCGTAGAAGAGATGGAGCTGGCACGAGACATGGGCAGATCGTTCATGATCTCGTCCACTAGACCGGTCAGGCGACCCCGAAGCCCAGAGACCGAGGAGGAGGGGTACAAGCGCCCCTGTCAAGAGCCCTCCCCACCGCTACAGCCCACCCCCCTCGCACAGAGGGACCCAAGACTGAGACCGAGGGACACGCAGTTTGCCGGTCCAAGAGAAAACATTGTGCCAGCTCCCTCTTATGCAGAGGCAGCCAGAGCGCCTACTCCACCGCCTGGGACATCGGCAGGGACGCCCAGGAATCCAGGAGCGCTGTCGCAAGCTACCGCAGCGCCCCCTCCCCCCCGCGAGGCGAAGAAACAGAGAGTCCCGCCGCTCATAGTGGAACATCTGCCGGATTGGGTGCGTCACTTTCGCACTCTGAAGGGCAGACTGAACTACGCCCCTAACGCGCGCCCCTACGGAAAAGGGGTGCGCTTTACGCCCAAGTCGGAGGAAGAGTACCGCGTAATACAGCGGTACCTCTCCGACTTAGAAAAAGAAGAACACATCAGCTGGTTCTCCTACCAGCTGCCGGCAGAAAAGAGTGTGAAGGTGGCCATCCGCGGAATACCAGCGGACACACCCGTCGAGGAGATAACCGAAGCCCTGGCGGAGCTTGGACATTGTCCAGAATATGTCCGCCAGATAAAAGCCCGCCAGGGCCGCCCGGGGTGCATTTTCTACGCACAACTGAAGCGCACCCCGGCGACCATCCCCGGCATCTATCAAACAACAGAACTGTTATGCATGCCGGGGATAAGAATCGAAGCCTGGAGGGGAAAAAAAGGCCCGGCACAGTGCCATAGGTGCCAAAGCTTCCGGCACTCCTCGCACGGGTGCCACAGAAAACTTGCCTGCGTCCGCTGCGGCGAAGAGCACACGGCGCGCGACTGTCCGCGCCCCCGAGAAGAGCCTCCGACGTGTGCCAACTGTGGGGACAAGCACACGGCAAACAGCGTCTCCTGCCCGGTCTTCAAGAGGGAGATAAGAAACCGAAAGGCAGGAGCCACTGCCAGAACTCGCTCCAGATCAACGCACAAAGACCGCACAGTCCCCACAGCCGCGGACAGGGGCAACCTAATGGCCCCGGCCAATCCGGCAACAGAGCGGTCGCGGAAACCGCCTCAGAAGAGGAGAAAGAGGGGGAGGAAAAGCAGAGGCAACAGCGACAAAAAGAAAAATGCTTCCGGGTCCGCGGAGCAGGCCCCCGCACGCAGCATCTACACCACACGCCCGCCAGCGGTCGCCGCCCTCGATGCTGACGCGACAACTGATGCAGCAACTGCAGCCCCAACAAAAACCGCCGCTGCCGTACCTACAACACAGGCAGTACAGACACAAGTCGCCAGCAAGGGGAAGATGGCGAAGCGTGCTAAAGAAACCAGCACCTCCACCACCACCACCACCACCACCACCAACACAAGCACGGCAGACATGGTGAAAACTATGCTCACCATCCTGATGGAGGTGCTACTTGCGGTGCAAGCCGGATCGGACCCAGTACCGGCGATCACCGCAGGAATGGCGAGGCTGTCCAACACTAAATGGGACTAAGATTGCTGCACTGGAACGCGGACGGGGTCCGCAAGAAGACAACCCTGCTCCGGACGCTGCTTATGGAGTACCGTGTCGACGTGTGTCTCATTTCTGAGACACTACTGGGAGCTCTCGACACACTCCGCATTCCAGGATACCATGCATACCGACAGGACGAGATTACGGACGGCCAGAAGGCATATCGCGGGTTGGCTGTCCTGGTGAAAAGGAACGTAGTGCATCAACCGCTCCCCCGGGTGAATCTCACATCCATGTACGCACTCGGTGTCGAGCTATGCGTAGATAGAAGCCCCATCCGTGTGTTTGCAGTATACAAACCACCACAGAACAGGATTGCAGCTGCAGACGTCGCCGTCATCTTCGATTCGCAGCTGCCCACTGTCGCCGCAGGCGATTGGAACTGCAAACACACGGCCTGGAACTCCAACAACGACACGCCAGAAGGAAAAGCACTACTAGGGATAGCTGAGAGAATGGATATCACCGTGCTCGGCCCTGAGGTTCCAACTCACTATCCCTACATTTCAGCACATGCTCCAGACGTATTGGACTTCGCCTTATACAAAGGACTAGACAGCCAACCGACGCAGGAAGTCCTCCTCGAGGACATCCAATCCGACCACCTGCCGGTGTGCATGGTTATTCCACAAACACCGACATTCCTGACGCCGCGCCTCCCACGCCGTCGGATCGACTGGGTGAAATTCAGGGACTCGATGGAGCACAACACGCCCATGATGGCAGTCTCAACCTCGTCTGAAGTCGAAGAACTCGCTGCTAACCTGTCAGTCTCCATACAGCACGCCATGGACATCGCAGCGCAGCCGGGACTTGTAACAAGGACCCGCGAGTGGATCCCGGCTGCCACCAGGATGAAACTAGAAGCGAAGCGCCGATTGCGTAGGGACTGGCAGTCGACACGTTGCCCCACCCTCAAGACGAGGTTGAACAAACTCGCCGAAGACATCAGGCGAGACATTGAGTCCCACAGGAAGGAAAGCTGGGATCGATTACTGGAAGACGCCGGCGACGACTGGAATAGCATCCACCGCCTATGCCGCCGGCTGTCCCAATCCCAGCCTCCGGTCCGACCACTACTGGCGAGCGATGGGACGCCGAGATACCGTGCAGCAGACCGTGCGGAAATCCTAGCCGAACACCTAGAACGCCAGTTCCAGCCGAACCCGGTTACCGATACCGAACATGCTGCCATGGTAGTCAAATACGTTGAAAACTACCTGGCTCCGCCACTAGCGCCACACGAAGACCCGGTGGTGTTTACGCCGGGACAAGTGCAGCGTGAATTAAGAAAAACGAAGCCTCGGAAGGCCCCCGGCAGCGATAATATCACGAATACGGCATTGCACCACCTGCCGCCGCGCACTATAGCGGCAGTTACACGCCTGTACAATGGTATTATGCGCACAGGGCATTTCCCAAACACATGGAAGATAGGCAAAGTTATCACGCTGCCTAAGCCCGGTAAGAACGTATTGAAACCGGAATCGTACCGGCCAATCACGTTGTTGCAGCATGTA